AACAGGAAGAAGTGGAAAAGAAAAATTGATTTATCATTGTTTATATACCTCCCTTTAGTATCTTAGATAAATCTAGTCATCTGATTGGTCGAAATTGAAGTCGTGAGTTTAGCCATGCCCGCAAAGAAACGAACTATGCCCGTTGTCCCGGGTAACGGGCGGCATAGTTAAATTTTGCTGAGATCCCCATTGGTTTATGTGTAAAAAGTTCTTTGTGCGAGCACGGATACCATACAGTGTGTACAGTTTGTGCGATTCCCGAATGATCGTAACATTCAGGCATATTTACTGTGAAGATTAACAAACAGTGTCTCCCAATCTCCCATTACATTGTATCATTAATGATTCCATTCAAAATCATGTTTACTAAATGTAATCACTTAAGAATACAACGATTAAGAAGAAAAAGAAAAAAAAAAACAAACCGTTATTTGTTTCAAAATCGAGTTTCTTTTAATTTATAATTGTGACTGAAATACGTCCAAAAATACGAACACAGATTCCTATAGCCCTTCGCATTGTCCTTTGAAATGCACAAAAATTACAATGGCATAATTATATGTAACCCTAACATGATAATTTCTATGGATATACACTATAGGATATTGAAGTTGCCATCTCGAAAGTCTTTGCTCTCTGGATCCAAACAATTCTGACCGATTAAACCGTATCGCATCCGACTGCGAAGCAAAAACAAAACTATGTTATACAAATACAGAATCAAGCAACGTCATAAGCGATTAAACAAAAACAAAAATTCAAGCAATCGTATACAAAACTTAGGGCTATACTGAATTTAGTATCGATTCCTGTTTACCATTAAAATTACAGAAAAAAAAAGAATCGGCCGTATCCGCTAAAGTCCGAAAGTCCCAGGGTCCAGTTTCCTCCTTCTGCTTTCTTTTCTTTTCTTTTTATTGTTGAGAATTACTGCCACCGCATACACCTCAGAGATAAACCGGAAAACCCTGTATATAGTCGCGTTACAAGAGGTCAAATTCAATTAAAGGAAAACAATGCTAATAGTATCATTTACCATGTAAGCCTCTTGATCATCGGAAAGATTATTTTACGCGTTCAAAGAAAAGAGTTGTGTGGTATCAAATTGTATTTTTAGAGCACTTTCTATTATCACTTTATCCATCATGATGAAATATGTTTGACCCTTTGTAACTCGTCCAAATCAAAGGCAGCCAGAAGAGTTTTTTTCATATCGGTAGAAGTAGAGTACAAATAGTTCAATTATGGTCTGATTGCTTTCATTTTCTTCTTCTTCATGTTAATAATGTAACTGTATACTAATTATAAGATTCCTTGCGTGCCCGTAATCCCTACATCTATATTTACATGAATGATTAGTGTGTTTTTTTTTTACAGTATCTGATAACAAATGAGGTAAAATAATGAGTACACGTCATTGCAGTTAAGACATAGTTAGATATAGGAGATATCAAATGTGTTATTATTCTTTTCTTTCGTCCTTCTTTGTGACGGGGGGGGGGGGGGGGGGGGGAGGGAGGGGTAAGTAAGTAAGAAAGGGGTTCTATTGGTCCCATTGGCAAATATGTTGTATGCTTTTGTCATTTAATGCTTCATATAGAATATCATAGTCTTTCATCAAAACCAAATAAAGTGAACAGAATGAATAACAATAATAATGATAATAATATATATTGTTCACCTGGAACGGAGGTTAATTACACTGGCTGAACATTCTATCATATTCGTTTGAGAATGTCAGGATCCCCATTGAAACTGGTTGTCGGTGCCGTGTGCAAAATGAATTTTGAGGTGTGAGAAATGGCGTGAATTGGCGGGAAATCGATATTGTCAATATGGACACAGGTCATATGGAGGCTATGCATAAATTGGCTGGGTATCTAGCAGTGCATGATGTAGCTGAAACCCGATGTCTCGAGATATAGACCAAGAGAGAGGAAAGATGAACCCAAATAAATAGAATATTTTAAAGGGAGAGGAAAGTCGAGGAAGTAATAGAAAGGGAATCAGTTTGAAAAGAAAATGATACAACAACCCCCGCCTCTATCATTCAACTCGACTGCTTTGTTTTCTAGGATTTTATTTGTCAAATTAAGACTAGTGTCCAGAGAGAGCGAAAAGGAGATGGAAAGAAAGAGAGAGAGAGAGAGGGAGAGGGAGAGAGAAAGAGAGGGAAAGAAAGAAAGAAGAAGGGAGAGAGAGAGAGAGAGAGAGAGATAGAGAGAGAGAGAGAGAGAAAGAGAGGGAAAGAAAGAAAGAAGAAGGGAGAGGAAGGAAGGGCGAGAGAGAGAGATAGAGAGAGAGAAATAGAGAGAGAGAGAGATAGAGAGAGAGAAAGAGAGAGAGAGAGAGAAAGAGAGAGAGAGAGAGAGAGAGAGAGAGAGGGAAAGAAAGATGAAGAGAGAGGAAGAGAGAGAGAGGGAGAAAGAGAGAGAGAGAAAGTAATCCAGCAATATGATATCCATTCTGATAACTACGTTTTCCAGTTGAATGCAAAAGTCTAGTGGGCTTAAAGGGATCGGGTAACTTTGTCTCAGATTCTGAAACAAAATCCTGGATTTAGCTCATGCTGCAATGATCATTATAAACCTTTAGGTCAGACAGGAATCCGATTAATTTTAAAAGCCGATCTGGCTAATTATCAAGATATGTGATTGGAAATCGAAATTTCAGAAACCGTTTTCCTGGTTTTTATTTACACTACAGTCTATTGGGGAAAAATGAGTATGGTAAAACCGGTCACTCAAAGATTTTTTCTTTTTTTTAGGCACTTCATAATCATTTTGAAGCGCATTACGGCTTCTATATTATACCATATCACAGACACTGATAGGGCCATGCATCTCAGATTTAAAATTGTTAAGAATAACCTTAAAGAAACCACTTACATACCATTGTCATAGCCCTATATAATCGTGCTTGTCACCACCATACTATTAATTAGTCAATATCTGTAGTAATCATGCCAAAATGAAAGAACATTATCAAAGTTGTTTTAGCCGCCATGACGCTCATAAATACGCTTCATTTGAAGGCTGTAAATCATATTTTATGGCGCGACATCACAAAACAATGGACATGCATTCAAGAGAAAGGAAAATAATTTGTCTTCAGTGCCTTTAATTCATGATTGGAGAAAGTTTCCATTTCTAACTAAAGACAATAAAACAAAGGGTAGGTAAAATCTGATTCTTTCTTTAAAAAGAAAACAGGCGAGCGGGTTTAAAGGAAACGAAAAGAAAATAATTTGTCTCGTGCCTTTAATTCATGATTTAGGAAAGTTTCCATTTCTAACTAAAGACAAGAGAACAAAGGGAAGGTAAAATCCGATTCTTTCTTTAAAAAGAAAATAGGCGAGCGGGTTTAATAAAAAATAACTTTATTTGTTGTTCTATGACAATGTCATTATCAATGTCATCACCAAATTAATCTTGCTTCCAGTGGAGGTCTCAATTTTGTATTTAAAAAGTTTGAAGACATCCCTCGTATTTTCAATTATCTTAACATAGACGACTTTCGTTTAAGCCCATAACTTTTGAAAATATAGGAATTATCATAGATCTTGTTAAAACGAAACAAAACAACACAACACAAACGAAACAACATTAACATCAAAATATAGACCTTGAAGGTTGATTGGACACATGCTTTCGTTGCAGAGATTCTTACCGATAAATCCATAGGAAACCTTTCTTTTGCATCAACGTTTTCTTCATAATCATCTCAAATCGTCTCGAATTAAATTTTCAAAGAACCATTTTATGTTGATTTTATGTGTCGAGGCAGAACCATCGAATTTCAAGTTTGTGTTCGTTGGGCAGAACACACAGGGGCGCGGAGCTTGGACGACGGTTGTTAGTGTATGTCGCCCTCTGTTGATATAAATTGTATAGGACCGTTATATCAGCATTATGCACTGACCTCTGTTAGTCTAAGAACTGATTTGGAGGTTAATTTTGTTTTTAAATAAGTAATAGTGTTTGAATTATACATTTGTTAAACTACTTTAATATTGAAAACTTAGAGGCAAATAGGCAACTTGGTGCATTTTGGTAACCTTGCAAGAATGCCTGAAATCGTCATCCAACACGAGTTTCGTTTTTAATTAACTTGATGGCCCCATACATTCGATCTTTGACTTTCCAACTACAAATGATTAGTATAGATGGATAATCCTTTCTGACATCAGGTTGATTTTAATAAAAGCAGAGAAGAAATGATAAAAATACGAAAAAAAGAAAAAGAAGTAAAGATCTGTTAATAGTTTGGAAGTTAATTAAAAATTGGTATCTGTTTAATCTCCTTCTCGATATACTCCTCACTTTGTTTTATATCATTCAAACATAATTCTTTTCAGGCTCTTTTTTTATTCATTGATTTACTCCGGATTTACTCTCAAACGTTCCACTCCCAGTTTCTCTGATTCATTTCCCTTTCGTTTTATTTCCATGCGAGGCCCCCGATTATAATGTTTCGTGAACAGCGAATAACAAAGTGGATTTCCTTAAATTCTTCTGGGAACTCAACCAATCTCCATGTGTTTTAGACGAAGAGAAGTTGCCATTATACGATTTCTAGAATTTGTTACATAATCTTAGCGCGATACTGGTACGGTTCTTATTCTGAGGAAGAGCAGGCATGAAATGAATATGCATATTTACTTACAACCAATCAAATGGCTCGCAGCGGCATTAGCTAGTTTGCAGCCACAGACCCTGTCAGTCGAAGTGCGTAAAAGTGCGTAAAAGTGTCTAAACTGTGAGACCACACTAAAGGCATACTAAATGGACTCTGTGCTTTAGCTATTCCAGACCTTATTTGAAAAAAGGCAGAGATCGATAGAGCTAGGCTCTGCTAAAAGCGTTATGAATTGTGGTACAGTGTCTAACCAGAGTCTGTGCTTGCAGACTAAGCACCGCTGCCTCGCGCGCTCCTGCTTCTGGTAACTTTTGGGGGTTTCCCTGAATTCTGCGCACAAGCGCAAATAGCGACCAGATGATAACACAACTCCGACACAGATGATTGTGGTTTGGGCTCATCAGGTTCTCGCTAAATCCTGGAAAGTTATACCGCATGAAATCAGCGCTTTGTGACTTGTGTTTCGTTTGTTATCCGATTGCAACAGAAAAAAGCAGGATCTAGTTTCATTATGTACATGTGTGAATAATTCAATTGGATCGTCTCGAGATTTATAAGGTGAAATCTCCAAGGAGGGGAGAACAGTCCATTCAGGGATTTCAGCCACGCGCCTGTGACCCTTGGTGATGCGGAGCGGTACTCGTTGGCAAGCGGGTACTGGCCGCGATCGGAACATGCAGAGTCTTGTCTACTGATCATGTTACTTCGAGTTCGGCAATCATCAAAACAAAAGATCAGGTTTGATTGCAGTGCAGTGTCAGCCTGGCCTGGTCTGGTCACCAAACTTTGAATTTTCCCGTTTTTGGAACCTACTCGTGCTCTGTCCAGGTGTGTCGATTGAACTCTTCAGGACTTTACGGGTCATCTGAGTTTGCTTAATTCAAATTGAATTGCACAACAAAGAAACCTGTTTGATTTGAGAGTCGAGTGACGCGATTGAGGGGTTATCAACCTGCCAAGACCAAGGAGTGCTTTGTGTATAGCTGCAGCCAGGTAATTTTTTTAACAAACTGCCATGAGTATTTTACAAACTTTCGAGTTTTGTCATGCAAAATCACAATTTAAGACTTTTCCCATTATTCAGCTAGTGTGGATTTTCATGATTATGAATGGGTAATTTGATGAATAAGTTCAAATTGGAAACCAAGCATGTCTACTGTCGTCTGGTCATGAGTCATATTTACGTCTAATTAATTTGGTGAATCTTATGGCAGCATGTGCAGTTATTGAGTTAACAGTTGATAATTAAAACTATCCATATAACTTATAGGGGGAAAAAACACTAATGTGAACGTAACCAACAAATTATGGCAAACACTTTCACTATTACGGCACGCCGGATTTTAAGATCCTGTTTTGAATTAATTTCCAGTTTCGTGTTTAACTTTTTTTTTTAATTCTCATGCCACTCATAAAGTGCTTGTGTTGCACTGCCGACCTGCCAAGGGGGAGGGGGGGGGGGGAGCTATTGCAATGGGAATTTGTTCTGCTAAAAAACTGTGAGCTTGTAAGGAAGGCAATGAAGGGCAATTAAACTTCCACTTGAAAGGAAGAGTATTATTTTGTTTGCTCGATTGAGAAAAAAAATGTGGTTTTCCCCATGGTATTTTATATGATTATGTAGAGAGTTAAGTATAGACTGGGTCAGGCTTGAACTACATGTCACAAAAACCTCTGGAAAAAAAACCCTAACGGAAAATTGAAATGGGATTACAATAAGTACTATTGCCCTTGGGAAAACTCATATTTTAATATGATATCATATATCAAATCCTTCAAAAGAGATTCTATGTAAAGGAAAAAGAACCCAATGAATTCACTTTTGAGACCCATGCACCTGACCGAGTGGATAACATTCAGATTAATCATTCATCTAACTAAACTTGAAACCTTTGTTTTTGGAGCGATTTAATGACTGAATGATGTTGGTCATCCTTATTGGCAGAGTGCGAAACATGGTTTCGATTCCATCTCCTCCTCAGCAAAGAGAGTGAATGCAACCAGTAGGTCCATGATGCAACATACCATGATACAGTCTGCTGAGAGCCAGAAGGGCATTAAAGCCCCACTGCACTACTTGCTACTTGCGCCCTCTGTATAGCAAACAATGCCTAATTGGTGCCTGTTGGTCCCCCATGATCCTCTTTTTCCTATGTTAATTGAGAGCTGATTTGGTGAGATGACCACATGACAGTGACCTTGCAGGGAGGTCTGATCCCCCTGGCCAAACTAGTGCAGACAGGCTTTAACTCATGAATGTCATTTGACATAGGTTACACCCATCTGGATCTTAACAGTGTATATGTGAACCTATGGTATAGCATAAATGCTTTTGTCAATTTTTTCTTTTCTTCATAAATGGGGATGACATTTGATTCATACAAAGTGATGAGGATGAATTTCTCTCTAACAAAATTTCAGAAGCCGGATCTTTTTACTTCACTATCCCAACCTCACAAGACCAGTAGACAACTGTTTTCTCGTCTGTTATTGTTTAGGGAAGACCCTCAATCTCAGGTTACAAAAGTAGAATACAAATAGGCCTATGAGCCACTACCAGGAGAACGGTATCATTTCAGTTTCCCTCAAGGACGATGATAGCTTATACTCCCGGTATTTGATCAATGTTGGATTGACGCCATTTTTACTGAAGTAAGAAATCAGCCATCCGAATCCATGTATTTCTATTTCCTTTTCTTTTGGTGATAAGTATGAATAAGTTAAGAGAGATCATGAACCTAATGGGTCAAAGGAGAGACCATATGTCACAATACTTCTTTTTTGTGTGTGTGTTAATCTTTTGGGTGTATATGCTTGTACAATGTACTTATTCTGTAAATCTTCAATCTGGTCTTGTCATACTCTCTTCTTATCCTAATTTCAAATTTTCAGTTTTTTGTAGGTGGCAGCACCAATAAGGTATTTCCTTCCTAGCTGCCTCCTCATTCACATAAATACTCACTTTTCTCTATGTTTTGTCCAGATCACCTTTATGATGTATTTTATATTGTAATATTATGTTATGTAATGTATGTTTATTTTGACTATATATCTTGTGTCTAAGATTTATACTCACAATATTGTTCCTGCTGCCTTGCTGGCGCCCAGTTGGTACAAGTTGGGGCTGGAAAATAAAAGTGATCTTAGACTTTGCTACCTCGTTGACTTGACATTGAAATAGGAAGAACTCTTAGATGAATGATGGTCGAGTACAAATCTATTTTGAGATTGTCACTTCCTGAATATGATATTCTGTTTTGAATCATGCATGTATAGCAGCACTTGGTATAGCCAATGGAAATGGAATACACATTGTTTTTGGCTATGGTATTATTTCAAGAACACATGAAAAGGAAAGTAGTGTCATTGCACTTATTGCATGATTTAGAAAGGAATCAGTGAATTTTGTTTTATGGGCCCTGGGGAGTGTTTCACAAAGATCCTAAGTTGAACTTATCTCTAAGTTGGACTCTGTGAAACGCCCCCAGGTCTAATGCAACTTGACAGGGCTACAAGTTCATGTTGAAAATATTCATTGTGTTTCTGTGACCAATCCTAGATCCAATAGATCCAATATCAAAAGTTTCTATTAATAATGCACCAATATTTCTTTCATTTTATTTACATCTTCCCAAAATCATGGAAATTTTAGGAAACGGGGCTGGAGAAATTAATTAACTTTAAGTCAAATAATAACCATTGTGTGAGGTGCTGTGCAGTATTGGTCATACATTATGTTGTTGTTACTTTAGGAGTAACAGTTCTATAAGCAATATAATAGAACTGTGAGAACTTGATGAGGGTAAAGTTGCAGAAGCGCTAGTAGTAGTCTAGATTCTACATGCTCTTACAGATTTTTTTCTTCAATCATCATTTTCCCCCCTCTGATCCCCGAAAATTCACTTTTTGCGACTTGCAAGGGTAAGAATAAACAGACTGACTTGGTGTTTATTGAGGTTGTGTTTTTTCTCTCAGCTGATTGGGCGTGCGACTTAGAAACAGTCAAGGCAACTGATAGAAGCAAACAATGAGAGAAATAGTAGTTTTCACACATGAAGGCCCCTAAATTTAAAAGAAGTATGGTTGAGTCTTTGAGATCTTGTGCGTCTGATCAGCATGTCCCTGGTCTGATCATGGGTCCATGGTCTGATATGTCGTAGGACAACAGTTGCATGCCATTATGGAGACAGATTCAATGAACAAATAACCTTTAATGTACATACGTCCTTGTAAGTTTAAATCATATTGTATCGTGAATCTTCTAGACTTTGTGCTCATATAGGCATAGGCGTAGATAATAACAAACCTACAGCAAACAAATTTGAATGTGACAGACAATAGAGACATACTTGTTATTCTAATTTGTAGACTTTGATCTTTTTTTAGATATCACTATCAGTCATGGGAATAAGTCTACATTGTAAATTAGGGATGGGGTAGGGGTAGGGGGGGGGGGTGAGGGGTATATGTCCTCCACCTTTGAAGAAGATAGAGTCCACACACACAGACTTTTCAAAATTCAATTACAAAATAAATAAGATCAATCAGTTGTTTTACAAAACAAATTGGACAAAGGTTGATATAAGTGGCTCTTATAGTACTGACTCATTCTCTTTAAAATGCTGCTGCAATTCTGAAAAAAGGTTGAGAATGTCCCACGACGTTGTGTTAAACTTAATTTTGTTCTCCAAAATATCAGTCATCTCTATTATAGTTGTGTTTATCATTCTGAAAATCGTGCATGGTGCCCCCCCCCCTCCCCCGCCCAATTCATTCAAGGGATCACTGTTATCAGCTCTTGATATTCAATTTCAAACAGCATTCAGCTTTCACAGTGATGATCAGAATATGGCCCAAAAAAAGTAGAGTCATCATTAGAACTGAGTAAATAAGAGAAACAAACACATTTATGCTGGACAAGGAGCACACACTTGTCCTAACTCTAGGTGTGTGTTTATTTCCATTTGACTTTGGACTTTGTTCTTTCTAGTTACTTACTAACCTCATACTCCGATAGGTCATAGAGTAACTTTAAATTGTTAGCACGACCTAATATACTTCCCTGACATGTCATCGGCCTACATGTACATGTAGTTGTGATTTGTTCCTGTAATGAGGCTCTTAAAACCTCAAGTTTAATTAAATTACAATATCGGATCAGTTTTTTCCAATTTTTATCCCTAATATAAATGGTCTGTTTTCACTCAAACTTGCAGATTCTCTTTAATTGTACATCTAGCATTGAAGTCGCTATCTTAGCACAATTTTCAAACAGTGTTACAAGTCCCTTTAATATCCTGACCCCTTCTCCCTGGTAGTAACGTATTCATTCTCTCTGTTACATCTTCACTGAAGGGCAGGATGTTGCAAATCAGCTGATGTAAACAAGTTTTGTTTTGAGAAACTCCATCATGGATGAAACTAGATAACAACAGTAACAACACCAAAACTCAAACACACTTCTAGTGACACTGACTTGCCATTTGAATGCCAATATTTTTGACTTCTCTTTGATTTGTTCATGAACATTTGGAACAGAAAGAGCAGGAATCAAGGCTAGCATTCTTAACAAAACGTAACGACCGACCTTGAGTCGAAATCCTGATTATTCCATCCATCAAACCTGGAAAAGTAGGCAACTAGTCTTCTGAGATTTCTTATCTCCCCTCTTCAGGCAGTTACCTTTGACCCCACATCGAGGATTAGGGCCACATGTCATGTGCGGACTAGTCTTCAACTTCACACCCGTCCAGTTGCATCTTCATGACAAATATAATATACAACTCTATATCTGCCTACTCTTAGAGTTTCATGATTTGAACAGGGAGGAGGGAAAGCCCATGTTTGAAGTGGCACACAAATTTAAATAATTTTATCTTTATGACAATCATGCAATGGATCTAGTACTAGTAGGTCCATGATCAAACCCATGCATCACTATGAATTTACCAATACACACTTGTGGTATGCAAAGTTGAATAAAAAGGCAAAAAGTTCAATATTGGTGAAATACGGTATGAGGAAAGGGTGTCTTTGAGAGTTTGAGTCTTTATAGATTGTGCTATTCTGATAAAGAAGAAGATGAAGAAGAAGTAGAAAAAAGGCAGACTGAGAAAAGGAAGGACCGGATGAGAAACTAGTATAAATTCATTTCCGCCTCTTCAAGCACCAGGACACTTAATACGAATCTTGTAAAATGAATCATTGTATAGGAAATATCAAGCTTTACATTGGCCCTACACTTCATGACTTATCAAGTCAAGTTCTGTCATGAATTTTCATCGAAGAAGACACATCTATCAAAACAGGTGTCTGGACTTACAGGTGCCGGGAACTACATTGGATTGTCAGATGTTTAGAATAGGTAATTTGTGATTGATGTTAATTTGGGAATTCGTTTACTGGAATAGGGAACCACCCCCTGGTGACGTCAATGATGTCATGTGCTTATTTCTTTTTATGAATGAAAACAGCATATGTGCATCATGTAAACGTATAGTGGGAGCTAAGTTGGTAACCAACTGCTTGCATCGCTTATGATGCATGTATTTGCAAACCAGAAGCTTGTGTTGTGAATTGTTCAGGATGCCCATTTGTCCATTTTCACGGCAGAAAACTTCCAGGATGACATGCAAAACTTCATTGTTATGTCAATTGTTTTTCTATTATTTTGTAGTATGAAACTTGTCCTACTCCTCCTCCTTATTGCAGTTCATTTTTGCAGATGTCATCATGACGTATCACTCTATTCATCCATTTCTGTTGTAGATTGAATACTGTACAACTTTGTTGATGTAACTGGTTTAAAAGTATCAATAGTCCATAAAGCATATCATTTTTTATGCCCTGTAGTGTACCCTGAAACTACCACTTTATTTGTGTCAGCTAGCAGACATAGTGAAAAATTGAAGGGACATTACAGAATTTTCAGTTTTTGCAACAAGATAATGGGGGGGGGGGGGGGGGGGCGGTACTATGATTATTTCACAAAACATTCGCTTGTGGTTCAGAGTCAACATTTTAAAACTGTTATTTCAAGAGAGTCTAATGGATTTTGATGTCACCTATAGTTTTTTGTACTCCTAGGACATATGAAAATAATCGTACATTTCCCACAAGAAAATTGCTTTATCTTCTGTGTTTCGTTTTTTGAAATGGCAGAGGAAAAAATGTAAAACAGAATACTTGGAAATGTTCTGCAGTATTTTCTCTAGTGTATTGTATACCTTCCAACCCGGCTGTTATCTATAAATCTGCTTCTGGAATAGATACTAATGGTTTTTAGATTGCCCCATATTTCATGAAATTTCTTGGTCTATGAAAACAGGAATGTTGCTTTTTTACGTCAATACAGAAGGAAGATGTCCCCAAAGACTTTGCTTAGATCATGATAATCTAGGGTGGTATCAAAATCATGTCTAAATGGTGCACAGGATTCAAAGTTATGGTCTTGATTATATTGAATAATACCAAAATATGAAAATGGTTGAATGGAGCATAGGATCTTCCTTAACCCTTCAAATGCAATTTGGATTTTTATATGAAAAGATTTTTTACATAGATTCCAGCTTGAATTATCTGAGGCTTCAACAAGTTTACCGGTAAGAAAGTTTCATGACAGCAGACATTGCTTTAGTGTAATTTTAGTGTGTCATTATTTAGAGAATAGAACCCTCTTTTGTACGGTCCAGACACTGAGACAGTCTTGTGGTCTCACCTCTCTACAAAGACCACCTGAAATTTGTCTCCCTCAATCATTAAGAAGAAATGTGTGTCGCAGAACCTGTCTTGAAAGGACATCTGACTGCAATGGCAAGTCTTTCGCTTTCTCATGAGTTTCTTTTCAGGTGACTTTTATTATTCACAGATTTGACTGGGGATTGGGTCGGGGGTTCTTTTGCCTATAAAGTTGTTATTACTATTGGACAGAAACAATGAAAAAGAGTCAACAAATCATATTACATCTAGGGTCGATGTGATTTTGAATGGTTTTGACTCAAGTTGCATCTGATATCTAGAGTTAGAGTATTCATATGAATTAATATGCCAGAGCTCATATTTTATCTTTTCCAGAATCATATCTTTTCCTGCCTTTGTTTACTCCAGTAACATCCTTGTTTTTGGAGTAGGCTATCTTATGACGCTGCAGGTCAAGTAAGGTGTCTTTTAAGAGTAAACCTGTGATAAAAGAAGACAAAGGAAATTCTGCATAACAGGAAATGTTTTCCATCGCCCACTTCGCCTCTTGTCCAGGGCAAAGGAAAGTGCCCCCACCCTTGTAAATGAACTTTATGTCAGCTACTAAGTATTAGACTATCCATCCTCGTTATCCTGAAAGGCATTGGCTATTTTAGAACACAACAAAATTAAAAAATTAAAATTGGTTGAATCTTCATCTGCTCTAAAAATATTGTAAGTTTTAAGGTCAAGATATTGTTTAGTGAGATTAGGGACCCGTACTGGTGAGATGAAAGAGAATTTTTTTTTTTCCATTTTAAGTGTATTGTGGAATTACAAAATGTGAAAATACAAAATAGTATACAAGAATTAAACATAAAATATTATTTTCAAAGTGAAACATACACGTATCAGTGGGTGTTTTTTTTTAAATCTGGTACATGTACAAACAAAATTTGATTACAGAAAGTGAGAAAAGAAATCCAAATTGCTGCAAGGAAATTTAATTTTGTTTGCAAGAAAATCCTCAAGAGTTTTTTTTTAAATTTTGCTCAAAGGACTGTTTAAGAAAATATTTGTTCTTCTCTGTTATTAAAATTCATGCATGTACCAATGCTAGGAGCCAGCACTGCCGTGTACATAATGTGTACTAAAGGTTGAGCACAAATAAAGATGTGGAAGGAGTTCAATATTTGTCCCCAAGCTCGACGTCCACCGAGACGTACTTTACTTGGAAAAAGGACTTCTGGCATTGAACCTATAAGTAGAAGTACATATTAAGGCCTGTTTTCATCAGCTCGAGATTGCCAAATAGCACGCTATGTCTGATTTGGGAAATAATCTCAAAATTACAGATCGTGTCTTCATCAGCTGGAGTCCTGACCTCAAAACTTAAAACTCAAGCTCGAGATAACTTGCTCAGTGTTTGGGCATAGTGCGATTCTTCGGGCTTGTGAAGACGCACCGGACAAATAGCGGGATATTCAGCAAACTAGCCCAAGATATCTTGGGATGATTATCATGACCAAATATCCAGCTAGTTGCATCTTCAGGATGAAGACGCAAATTAACTGGATAATTTGTGATCGGGATAGTTCAAATAGTGAGATATTTGGCAATCTTGAGCTGATGTAGACAGGCCTATAGTCAGTTGACATAGTCCGGTGGATGTTGACTTGGTCCACAAGGGAGAAATGTAGTTTGGGAGCATTATGTGAGGTTAATTTGCCAACCCAAAGACTGATGAATTAAAAGCATGTTTGTTAAAGTCTGGTCTCTTATTGACTCATTTTTTTGTGTGCAAAAGAAACAAAATATGAAAAGACAAATGTTTTCTTCTTCATTAGGAAGGAATTTTGCCCCCAAATCAGTTTGTTCCCAGGCCCTAATAACAACAAAAAATTGAAAATGAAACCAACTAAATGCTCCATGACTCAGGAAGGCATTACGTTATATATATTTACATTAGTACCATTTGGGTGTTTAGCAAACACGTTGTTATTGTCGTAGCAAATTGAAAGTAAATTTGAAATTTAGTAATTTCTTTTGATGTCAAAGTTTTTGCATTTACTTTTGAGATTAAATCAGGTATGTGTACTTTCCTTTTTTTCTTCTCCATCCTTTGTGTGTTTGTAATAAGAACCTTTGCTATTGAATGTCTTTGTGCTGTTTTTATTATTATCATATTTCTGCCCAGGTCATGGCAAGACAACTCCAGAAGTTTATTTGCAATAGCTAACAGAGCAGCCTGTATGGGCATAAACAACGGAAAGACTACACACAAGGAAATTAGATCCTTATCTACCACTAACATCTGTTACTATACTCTGCTGACTTTTTTTCCTTTCTTTTCTTTTTCATTTTTATCTTTCAGAGAGAGAAAAAAAAGTAGCACTACACAAGGCCACTGCAGATAGCCAAGGGAAAAGAATGAGGAAGTGCGCTTCAGGAAATCGGGCAGTGTGCCAAGACTGCCCACCGACCAATCAGGCGCGAGGAAGCCTATTGCACCTGGGGCTTTTGACCAATCAGAGGAGAGGGATGTCATTCAGTGAGGCCAGGCATGCTGACCAGCTGGTGGTTAGGGGCGGAGCTTCTCTCCCCAGTGATAGTGACCATTTGAAGAGGAAAGCTACTACAACAACTCAATACCACAACCCTGGATCATGGGCTTACCTGGGAATGATGACCTTTGTCCTCTTGACCTTCATGTCATGTCAACCAGTAATGGGGATTGAAGGTAATTATCCTCAGAAAACTGTGTAACTCATTGGCATCTGTTATTACAGTATTTCAAACTTTCAGTGCTTGTCTTATTTTGATGCAAACAGGCTGTAAATGGTTCAGCACACTTTGTTTTTCATTCTGTTGGTCAGTGGCTATTGATAGCATATTTGCCCTCCGAAAGAGAGTTTTCTAAAAAAAAATTCCAAGGGAGCAAAACATGAAGAAATTTCAATGAATCAACACCGATAACTATTAAAAGTTGCCCTAAAAGCACGTTTTATCATGCAGCTTTGAATTTGATAACAGGATGATTTCCTCACATGACATATCACACCTGGAATTTGATTTCATTTGAAATCATTGTCAAATTCCTTTCAAGCCAACAGTTGCATATATACATGTAGCAAAAATACTGCACTTGTGAAAAACCATAACCCATGATATTTTATGGTGCCTTTGGGCCCTGTGAGAAGAATGTAACATTATGACCCTGTTTATCAAGTAAGTTGTAACAGAAAGTGTTTTCCTGGTCTTGTTGAATGTACTTTTTAAAAATGAAAGTGTTTTAACGGTTTATAAAAAGTTCCCCAAGTTTCTTTTTAGCACAAGTTTAAAACGTTTTGAAAAAGCAATCGTTCATTTTGATTTAGAAGTTAAAACAATTTCAATTACGTTGGAACGGAAAGTGTTTTCCTGGCCTTGTTGAAATTTTTGTACTTTCATGTAGTATTTAAAAATGAAGGTGTTTTAACAGATTATAAATCTTTCTTTTAAGCGCAAGTTTAACTTAAACAAAAACAATCGTACATTTTGATTTGGAATTTAAATGCTGTCATATAAAGTTGCTCAGAACTCAACTCAACGTTCTCTTTCAGTGGCAGTCCAATTTATCATAAGTTCAGTTTTTGTGAACTTGAAGACAGAACAATAAGAAAAAGAATGGCCAAAGTTTGAAATAAATTGGACAAATAAAAGTAAAGTGCTAACTAAACTTTTTTGTTGTTGATAAGAAATGCCTCCTCATTTGGGGCATTACTTAAAATACATGTATAATGGTATTAATGGATGTATTATTGTAGGTGCTTCGAGAGAAGAGACCCCCCCCCCCACCCAACACAATGATTAGCACTAAAACAAATTGAAAAAAAAAAATGACATTCTAGTTATTAACTTAATTAAGTGTGTTGGAACAAATGGGAGGGTTGTCCGGAACTACATCACAGTGACATTGTCGCTTCTGCTCATATAAAATTCCCATAGTGTTCAGTGGTTACATTTTCAAAGTTTCATTTTATAACTTTCTTATTGGTTGTCTGATTTAGTTAAGACCTACATCGATTTGCTTTCTCTGAATTTCTGCTTTGTTTTAGAGCAAATTGCTAATAAGCTTGGATTTCCCTTTATTATAATCCCTGATCCTAAGCACCCCCTTTCCTATGCATTTGAACCTTTGCCTTTGAAGAAGTCATGCAATGATTCTGCTCATGTAGGTCAAATGTTGGGTGACATGAAGGGAATTCTCCACTTGCCTGACATGAAACATTAGGTATCGAAAGCAAGCTTTTTAAATATTATTGCAATTTGCCCCTAGTACCCAAAACTGTAAGCCAAGATTGTATTAAAGGAAAATCTAATCTTGGTAGTAAACTAATCTAAAAGAAAGCAGAAAAATCAGAGAAGCAGACTGGTAAAAGTTTGAAAGTAATTTGACAGAGACCAGGCACCACAGAGTTTTTGAAAGTTGTAATCACTGTACTAATATGGGTGCTTCAAATTGGCTGAATCTCATTGGCTAAATTGGAAGTGTCACTGGGACGAAGTGCTGGACAACTTTTCCATTTGATCCAAAACAATGACAAAAGTCACAAAACATTCAGTTTTTCAAAATGTATGATTCTGGAGAGTCTTCTCTTTTTAGAGGACCTTTTAATAATTTGATGTTATTATATTTGTGACCCTGCCTCTTGTCAATTTCTCTTCTTCTGGCAGAGGACCTGGGTAATTTAAATGTACCTTTTTATTGTGTTCCAAAATAAAAATGACTTATATGTCACTTCTTTTGTAATATAATTGTTTCTCCAGTTCATAAGATCCGTTTATGGACTTTTTACTATTTGATTGCACCAAACAATCACAGTAAAATTGGTTTCATAGTGGAAATGACTCTTGTATTGCAAGGAAGTGCTTAATGATTTAAAGTTCCTGAACAGTGGTTAAAAAAAAAGAGGATCCTATTTCATTTTTTTGTTATTTTATGATATCACTTTATCCAAGTTGCGATTGTTTTGTTTAAAGGGAGAGAGTTGTTTTACGAGTCTATAGCAAGGCTTGTGGGGTGACTGAATTTCAGGGACATAAAATTATAGCAACTGTATGGCAAAATAATAATAATAAAAACGTTGCTTATTTAAGCGCTTACCACCAAAGTCTCTAAGCGCTATAAAAAACAAATATGATAAACAATTATGTAATAAATAAAAAATTGCAAATAAACCTACAAATTACAATACATATGAAATACACATCAATGTGAACTGAGTAAGTTGATCATCAAAAGCAATTTTGAATAAATGTGGCTTAAGACAAATTTTGACAGTTTTTGGCAAACAACAGTTACCTCGCATCATTAATTTTTTTCTTCTCTGCACAGTTGATATTTTTCCTGAAAGTGGTATTATTGAAGTTGGGGAGGACCTGAACATCACATGCATCTTGAGAAATGATAGTGTAGCTGAGAGAGATATGTCGACATCGTCATTGACATCGACATCGACATTGACATTGACATCAAATGACATCGTGTGGTACAAAGACCAAGACATTATTCCGTTTGAGGATTATTATATGGTGAATGACATGGTAAGAAAGTTACCCTTTAATCAGAATGATATGTCTGTCTAGAGCCAGAAGGGTTTCGTCTCTGTGTACAATTAATTAGATAATACAAGTTTAGTAGGTCAGAGGTCAGAGGAAATAGAGGTCAATATTTGAAAATACAGTTTTTAGTCTCATCACACGATATGACAAGACTCTCTCTCGATATGAAGCATGTACATGTATGAGCATGTATCACCATAGGAAGACCGATCCAATTTTTTGGGAAAATAGGTGAAAGTTCAAAGGTCATAACGGTCAATTTCTATGAAATCTCAGGGTTTCCCTCCTGATTAATCAGAATGTATTATGTGCAATTTGAACCATGCACTAGGGTGGTATAATCCAATACGAATTAGTCTGCATCACCATAGTGAGACAAATTGATTGATTTCGGGCAAAAGAAGGTAAAATGTCAAAGGTTAGCAAGTCAATTTTGATTAAATAAATTTTTTTCTAAACTTCTTATCACCAAATCAATGACTGTTTTTTTTAGCTACTTTAGTAGTGAACTTTAAACCTGTAACTGGTGTGCATCACTGTAGGGAGCAAAGTGAGCAGATTTTGGGATTGTCCAGTCAAAAGTCAAATGTAGTAAAGATCAGTTGACATGTCAGTATAGGCTTTTTGTCCTCATCACGATATTCAAAGAATAATTCAAGCACATTGGAGACACAGTCACATTTGTCTTCTTGTCTGTACTTTGCTTCCCTTTTTCAATCGATCCTTTTAGGAATTAGCTTATACTTTTTTAATTTTTCATTTTCCTTTCGTTTTTTAATGTTAATGCCCTTTTCTTGTCTGACCTGTTTTCCTTTTCAGTCCATGATTTCCATTGTGAATGCCAGCTTGACAGATGCAGCTACCTATCATTGTGCCCTGTTTCAAGACTCTAATGTCGGTGAATTTCAGAGTTCCATGATCCAGGTTGGATGTGAGTATGATATAAGTTTTGGGGAGGCTCAGATTAAAGATAGAGTTGAGTACTAGCCATGTGATGACATTGTGAAATAAACTGGAAGCAATTGGGAAAGGTTAACCCTTTCAGTACAGAAACTTCTTAAAATTTGCAAAAATTATACTTTTCTTTTATTTCTACATTATTTGAATAAAAATCTGTCTCTGAGAATAATATGCATGGTTATACGCTATATGTTGAAATTGTTCTATTATACACATTTTATATGAAAAACATTGATTTGATCCTATTGTTTGGCCAATTTAAGAATTTTAAAGCTTATTTTCCTTTTTAAAACTCCTGGCATCACAAGCAATGCGGTCATGCAAAGTGCAAATTGGATACAATGTATACCAAAACTTTGCCCTTTCTTTTCCTGTATAGTTTTGTTATTAACAAATGAAAAGTTATTGAGCCAATACACAAAATGTGGAATAGTTGTCTTGAAAGGTTAATTGTTTACCTTTGCATGCACATGTAGTACAAAATGATTGAAGTTTCAGAATAGTCGTAATTAAAAGAACTTGACTCAATCGTGATGACTATTGTCAGAGAACATTTACACTGTCTAATACAGTACTTAAATGACTATTCTTTTGCTTAATAGTTCCCATTTATCCTGACATTGAGCAGTAAACAAAAGTTGAATAAGATCACATTTAGATTTGTGATATCTGCTTTAAATACTTTTTACGCAAATAAGAAGATCTGATCTACACTTCTATGTAAATGTATATCAAACAAATATCACACAATTATTAGTTTGAGCATTGGAATATTTTACTACCACTCTTCATTACTTTATTTTTTTCCGGTTAAGAGATATATTGTTTATATTTAATTCAACTCTGGAAGTACGCACTCTCTTCCACCCCCTGTCTGTCTCTGTCTCTCTCTTTGTCATTTTTTCTCCAATTAAAAAAAACAAGTTTTTTTTTCCTTCTGGTTGTGACTTTCGATTTTCTGTAATTGTTGTTGCAGATATACCGCAGCCTGCAACATCGCTGACGTGCTCCAGTCATAATGTCCTAGACTATGAATGCGAGTGGGACCCGATACCTACTCACATCATCAACGAGTCCCATACATTTCAATTCATGTAAGTGACGTTTCTGATTTTAGGATCTCAGATGCAATGAAATAGCAATTCATTCATGTCACTCAACAGTTCCAGCTTAACTTTTCATGTGTTACATGAGACTTTTTGTCTCTCCTATCTCACTGCCTATGTGTATTTGTTCATCCTATTTTTATTTATAAATTATATAACCAATGCAAATTATTTGCAGTGAGTGTTATTTTTTATCCAACTCTATATCTCATTCTGGGTCTGCTCGCTATTCACAAGGACCACTATTCATAAGGACCGCTATTTACAAGGACCACTATTCATAAGGACCGCTATTCATTAGGACCGCTATTCACAAGGACCGCTATTCACAAGGACCGCTATTTATAAGGACCGCTATTCGTAAGGACCGCTATTCATAACGTGTAACTTCCCATATCTGAAGGACCCCTATTCATTAAAAGAAAAGGGGGTCACTATTCATAAAGAAATAAGGACTGTTATTCATTCACTTTCATTTAGGTCCTTCATATCACCCATCATTCAGAATCGAGCACTGATATTGCTGTATGACTGACATCTCAAATTCACATTTGTTAGAATCTTATATGGATCACTGTGATTGGAATAAATAAAACAACGAAATACTCATAATCATTCCGTATTATGAATTTCTATGAGGACTATATATCCCACCCCCCCCCACAAATAAAAACAAAATCAAATTTTATGTATTTTCTGTGTTTGCTTTGAATTCATCATGTCTTCAGATTAATTAATGTTTTATTTTTTCTGAACCTGCATGCATATTTATGTTTACATTCCTAATTTTTCCTGCGTTATTTTTCATTATATCCTGCCCCCTTGTTGCTACAAGGGCTAGATATCGCACCCCAAAATAAAAACAAAAACAAATTTATCACAGCCTACTTTGTTTTGTTGCAAAAAAAAGACAATAAATGTTTGGTTCATATCAGTTTAGTTTAGTTCAGTTTATTTCATTTTTGCACGGCACCAACTTCAGCCAGAGGCTGTTCTTCTGCAGGTGGGTGCACAATAAAAGATACATGTACAATTATAAGATATGAATAGCGGTCCTTACAAATAGCAAAGTCACCCCTCTCATTTCATATCTGAAGTCTTGCTCTTCAATTGCTTCAACCCGTATAGATTTAGAAGCAGAGGTAAAAACGGCCAAGTGAAGGTTTTAGAAACAAGACAAAGTGATATTCTCTTCTTGTTCTAATTCACAAAATCTCATTTTTTATTGATAAGGCCTAAAATAAAAACTTGTTGTATTGCCCTTTGCGACCGGCCCAAAAATCTGAAAATCTATGGTCGGCATTTTTTATTTTTTATTTTTTTTAACCGTTTTTTTTTAGATTTGTTTATTATTAATTTAAAAAAATATGGCACCGGTATGTATTTTTTTTTGGTGGATAAATGCATAAAATCAAATCATAACCAAATTCTCACTCGTCTTCTGCCCTAGTTTCAAAATCCTACTAGCGTAAACATCTTGATCAACACAACATTGCAAACCATGGATTATTATGAGGTGAAAAGATATGAATGGAATGATGACGCTGAAACACATGTATTAAAGCATTTATAACTGAGAAATATCAGCCAAAAGAGGGCGGGAAAAAAACAAAAACATTCAAAACTGAAAAATATCGGCCCAAAGAGGGCAACAACAAAAAAGTTTAAAAAAAAAAAAAAACGGCTTTCCGACCGACCGACCCATGTTTTGGCACCCAAAGGGCAATACAACAAGTTTTTATTTTAGGCCTAATGAAGGAACAGATATATAGTATATGTATTTCAATGAGTAGAAAATATGAAAACATGTTACCAATCAATATATTTTTGGCATGCGAGGTACAAAAAAAAATAAAATAATGTAAATTTTGTAATATATTACTTTAAAAAACAAATTGAGAGTAGCTGGGAAAGGTTAGTCTTAGAGTTGCCAATTTGTGTTTGATTGCATGATTGCAAAAAATTGTTGAATTTTATGTGATTCATTGTCTTTGTCTCAAACTCTCGTTGACAGGAGGGTTTTCTGTGAATTTTATTTCCTAATTGACTTCTTGCCCTCTCATCTTTAAAAATGTCGGTAATTTCATGCAGCCTCACATAAACTTTAAATTGATATCATTCCATATTTACTTATAAAATTGGGTCATTCCATAGTGTTGGGGCAATTTTTGTGACATACCAAAAATGAGGAACTATGTCTCCTATCAACTGTTACAATGTTTGCTCGAATTGAGTTCAGCATAAAAATCATAGCCAGTTATATTCAGAAGTACTCAAGCTTTATGGTGAATCAATATTATAAACCCAAAGTTTATGTGCTATTCTATAAATGTGATGTATATGTAACGCTGGTAAAATAAAATACATACTAAGCAAATATTTTTAAGAGAAGCAGCTGAAACAGGAATGATTCTGGCAGGGCACTACTATAAATATTCATTGCATTAAAATCTTCAACAGATGATTTCATCTACCGATAATATGTGTAGTAGAAGATCTTGTACCACTATTATGTGGACGTCATAGTTTTCACCCCAACCTCATGAAATGACCCAATTGTGAAGTATATTTATTTCTAAAAATTTGTATGATAAATGAACTGCATTAAAATCTTTCTAATTGAAGGTCTGCCGAATCAATAGCCTCAACATGTTGGCTTTTTTCATCTTGGTTAGTTTGACAAATATCATAAATATTTACTCTGCACTTGTTCACACTTTCACTTTGTTTTTCTGTAAAGGTATCGCACAATTTGGGATCATTAGAAAAGAAAATATTATTTGAGCCATGAGACTTGTAGAAAATCTAAATTTTGTATTAATTCCTCTAAGAATTTAAAGATTTTTGCATAAGGTGTTTCACTAAGAGTTCATTTTCAATACCAGTATGTACATTCAGCTTTTGTGGTTAAGATGATTTTATTTCAACCGACAGAACTACCAAATTAGCTACCCCCACAATTTCTTTTAAATTTTAAATGCATGTGTTCACAAATACTGCCAGGTTTTGCACTGCTTCTGTACAGGTATTTACAGCAATATTTGGAGGAATTCACGGAAATTATACTTAGAAAATAAAGATATGTAACCGTGAAAAAGAAGATATTGATGTGGAGTTTCATTGTAAAGAAGAATGACATTTTGACTGCAAATTTGGTCATTCCCATAAACATTCTTTTTATGAAAAGAAGAAATTAATGCAGAATAAGGCAGATTTCACTTATTAGCACCCTATTCTTTTTTTCAAACCTGGGATAAAAATATGCTTTTTCTCACCTGTGATATGCTTTTTCTCAGTTTAGCCTGATTTATGCACTGTTTGAACCACTTACTTTTTGCACTGCAAATATTAAAGATAAACTTTAGTTTTGATAAATATAGAAAATAAATTCTCACAGAATCCAACAAAAAATTACACTGAATGTTCAAGATTACAAATAAATGGCATGTGCCAAACAAGTTTGGTAGAAAATGTATAGTACTAGTGCTGTAGCTCGAAAGGCCTACCGGGTTCTAAACCGCCGGTTGAGTGTTTCGGGCCGGACATCTTGCGGGCTGAACCGCAGCCAGAGTTACGTCCACCGGTAACAAAACCTGGTAGAAAAAAAAAGTTTTGAAATAGCTCATTGTTCGTTTATCTACTTATCTTTCATCATGATAAAACCTTCAAAGTAACTGTAAACAAACACAGCAAGATGATTGCCATGGCTCGATTATGTTACATCTGTTGAGTCTAGCTTAAAGCTCACTTACGTATAGCAGGATAGGCCTATATGTGCAACCTGACCTCATTTCATTTGAAGGAAAATAGAAAATAAAAGATATTTTCAGCAAAAGCTTGAGATTATATATCATCTTGGTTTCTGAATTTAGGTTGTGTTGGATTTAATAAGCACGGATTTGTTCTCGTGTATGAATAAGTAAATATAGATTTGCTTTTTTCGTAAGTTTCTAACGTTAAACAGATTAAACACTATTAAGTTTGATTGCTTACATAAATAAAAAATCTCAGAAGTCACTAAACTGCATGACATTGTCCATGAAAGTGGGCTGTTCTTCCAATCGTCACATCCTGTTCGTCAGAGGAATTCCTTCTTTCATAGAAATATAGGAAGCTTTGAATTTACTTTCTCTGATATTGAGATCAGACATAAAGAGATTTTTATTGCTTTTACAGCCCTACACTTCCTGGGACGGGTCGGGCAGGAAATACACACTTGTATGGAGATTCCACATTATTTACTGAAGTATCCAGGGGCACGGGGCATAAGCGCCCCCCCCCCCACCCATTCCAGGGCAAAAGACCAATCTGGCATATATCTCATTGAATATGAAAGGAAGATTTGCCCCAAATTGTGCCCCCTGGCCCTGTAAAAAGACCCCCCCCCCCCACAAAAAAAAAAGCTGTTAACTTTTTGTTGTTGTTGCATGTCTGAAAGGTTTAAATAGTCTTGGCCCCCAATTAATCCTGGCCCCGTTTCTGTTTTTTCTTTGCACTTGTATTCAACCTGACGACCTCAATAATGTATAACCATTGCAGGTGTTACTGTAGCGTTGATTTTTATGAATAGCTTTCATTTTGTTGCATAAATTTAGAAGGATCTGATAATTCCTTTCACCAATTTTGATTTTTGAAGAGTCAAATAAGATTACAACATTAACAACAATTATTAACACTAAAAGTACTCGTATACATTAAACAAAAAGGAAAACAAATGGTAAATTTCTTTCTCTTTTCACCTTCCATCATTGTTCAGACAACTTTGCTTCTTTGTTCACCCTTTTTATTCTTCCAAATGGCATGCCATCCCAGAGAGTCAAGAAAACCCTGAGTCAAATCAAGTTCTTTGCAAATTTGATTCTTTGTAATTATTATTAGGAAAAGGATATAATACCTTCTGCATCAGTCCTGTTTTGTTTCTACTTTTCTTTTGAATATATAATTTCATGTAGTAAAAATCTTTTTTTTATAAATTTTCCTATCCTTTTCCTATGTTGGCTTGACTTACTGTGTGTTTGAGTAAATAGTCACATATTCTGGCACTTGTGTTCTTTTAGTTCTATCCTCTGCATTCTAATGTGATATTTATTTGCTTGAATTTTTGTATTGTTTGTTTCACTCCCATTATTTGATTTTGTAGTCGCTATGGTACCATTTATTTTTAGCACCCCTCAAATCCTCAATATTGATACAAATGAGTGCTGTATAATAGCCATAGAAATGATTGCCCCATGTTCATGCTTTAGTCAGGTTTTATGGTAGTTTTTTTTAAATATTATGTGTTTGTATATTTGAGCAGGAGAGTACAGGTCATTGATAACTTTGATTCAAGAAATGATATTCTTCCTCCCAAGCTGGCAACTAAAGTAAACTAGATAAATTTTGTTGGGAAAATTGTATTTTTTATCCCAAGTATGATAACCAATGAGAGCTCGCTTGCACAGGTGTTTAAGATCGTGAATATTGCTATATTTTCCCCATCTTTTTGTGCTTTATAGACTATCATAGTTATGAAATTGGAATGCTTTTTTATTTTGGGGAATTACTTTGGGCACTTTGATTTTAGGGGTTAGCTGAGAACCTAGTTCAGCGATTTGTAGAGGCATCACTATGTTTTCTCAATAGTTATTTAAGATATTGCAATTGTATGTCAACCATTTGCATATGAGCAGATAACATTCTACTTTTTTTTTTTTTAATCTTTAATTTTTTGCTGAATATGTTTGTTGAAGGTCTCAGAATGCCATGAAATTCTAGGAGTTAGAATTGATATATATATATATATATATAGAGAGAGAGAGAGAGAGAGAGAGAGAAAGAAAGAAAGAGAGGGGGAGGCGAACAATATCAGGGAGTCTTGTTTGGAAGTCTGTTTTCAGAAAACAGATACATTTTTAAAATTTGTATTTCAGCAATATCAATTGATTTCATCTTTGACTAGTGTCCTTGAAATTTCTATTCATATTGTTATCAAATTTATAATATTATGAAAGATCTTTCATTGTAGTTATTATTTTCCCTGAAGTTATTATTTGTGTTGATTCATGGCAAATTTTCACAGTATTAGGAATGGCCTTCAATTGACCTGTAGATGCCGATGTACAGACCATTCACAATGTCCTTACATAACGCGTTTTAATCTGTTTCCTAACTCTGTAGTTTTAATAGGAACTGGAATGACTGCCCAGAACTGCGGCCCCCAAACAAGTGTTTCATATCATTCTCACATCACAGTGGATCCATGCAGGAAGTGCGCGTCGTTTCATCTAATGACTTAGGAGACGATGCCGTCCAGACTGCATCCTTTAACCCTGATGCGGAAAGTGAGTTCATTGTAATTTTTCACTTTCAATTCACTTTGATGTGTACAAGTCTTAAAGAGAAGGTTGAGTTCTGGGAAGATGTGAAAAATTAGGAGCCAGAGCATATAACACTGAGTTCCCATATGACATATATTTATTCAGATGGTCATATCTCAGCCAATGCTTGATATATTCAATTGGTTTTCGACATTTGGACATTATTTTTTATGCTCTTTCGGAAAATGAAGAAAAAATTGAGAAATTCTAAAAATAGATTTTTGATGACGTCACACTTCACCACTCTATAACTGCTATTATGAATGCGAGCATGCATGCATGAAGCAGCTATAAGCTATAAGCTGTGGCTTGCTTGCGTGAATTAAGCTGCCAATCAATAGCCCGCTCGCATGTACAAAGCACTATAACGGTAGCGTGCATGCGGCCTCATGGCAGGATATGAGTTAATTTCTCTTTGGTCTCCATTCTGTTGCCAGCTATTCCTCTACCTCCAGGAAACCTAACCCTGACGTCCAGGAGCTCGACTGCTCTCCAAGCCTCTTGGGCATTATCCGCTGATTGGGATGAACGATTTTCTTCCATGCTGGCGTATCGTCTTCAATGGGCGTTGGAGTCCAACCCTAAGAATTGGCTGGGGGAGGTAAGTGTTTGAAAGACATTACTCTTGGCATGTATTGTCCATGTGCACTATCTTATAAATCGCTGACACGCCGGACTTGATGGAAATACCATAGATGTGTGTACACGTCTGTCGCACCCAGCAAATTTTGATGTCCCACCAAGAAACTACTTGAGCACACCCTTGCCAGTATCTTGGAGGGTCTTCGGGACTTGGAAAAGAAAACGTCATTCATTTCGTTTAAAAAAAACCCCAAAACATACCCTTTAATACCCATAATACTGATCATAAGCCCAGCCATTAATTTTTTAATGGTATAAACCAAGTGGCCTTGATAATTACAAAGTTATACTTTAATCCCATGTTCAAATGGTCTGATGAAAACCTACATGTAAGCGGTACTGTACTACATCGCAATATTTTTTTCTTTATAATGATGCATTTGTAATGTGCTTACAGCTTTCTTTGTAAAGAGAGTCCCAAATAGGCCAATCAAATTGGTTTTCTGCTGCTCAGACGATGTTACCTCTGTTTTCTTTTTACTCCTGTAACGTCCAGCTGCTTTGCAGTTCCAAGCCCTGTGAAATTCGTCAGCTAGAACCTTACACTAAATATTTGGTGGAAGTGGCCGCCCAGTATAAGTACCACAAGACCAAGGCTTGGGGAGAATGGTCCGACCCTGCAGAAGGCAGAACTGACGAAGCTGGTAAGAAATTAAATAAAAACATTCTCCTTTTTCTCTCATTTCATAATGTTATATCTGTACAGTTGTATCTGACCCTATCTTCCTTTTTCCCTCTCACTTTAGTGTTAGGATTGATATTACAGTTAATACATGTACATCTTATCTTTAGTTCTGGTACGTGTACCGTGATGAACTTTCGGGACAAGCATTCTACATTTTGTGGGTTTGGCTCGATAATACATTTGATTTAGAGCCCTAAAAAGTATACCAGACGCATGAAAAGAAAGGACTAAAATTTCAGGACACAATCTGTCCAATTTTCTAATGACCGCATTACATGTTGATACCAGGAATTTTAAAACGAAATTAAGCCCTAGGACCCTTAAATTTGCATCATGTTTGGAAGTTCATTTTATCGTTTCTGATCAAACTTGTTTAAACTTTTGGATAAAAAAAAACTACTATTATTAACTGTTTTCTAAGACATGTCATTGTATTAGAACAATGTAATATTAAATAAAAAATATGGTTGTTGCCAAAATGAAAAACAATTCAAAGAATCAAAATTGCCCTGAAAAACACAAAGTTCCTGTTCTGAAAGGGTTCAGCCACTACCTGTAAAGACAGGCCACCTGTCTAAAGACAGCTTGCTTTTGGTTTCCCTCACCTGCTCATTAGAAATACGACATCTCTTGTATCCATTAGTATTTGAACAGTCATGTACAATCAAACCTTTATTTAAAGTACACCCATGGGAGACAAGAAAAGTGGTCTTTATAGGTAGGTGTATGTAGTCTTTATGTACAGGTTCCTTAAGTACAAGTTTCAATGGGAAACATTATTCAAGGGAAACCAAAAATGTAGTCTTTGTAGACTGATGGTCTTTCTGTACAGGTGGTCCCTAAAGTAGGTTTGACTCGCTACCTGTATGTGAGTATGTGCTGGTTTCACTTGTACATGCAGTTTGACATGATTTTCATTGATTTTCTCCTGCACAGTCCCTGTCGGAACTGTTCAGAACCTACAAACCTCTTACCTAAACGGAATGAGTGACTATGAAAGGAACGTCCAGATATCATGGGAGGTAAGATGATCTGCTGGTCAAACATCAAACGGTTCTTGCTTGCTTCAGTATCATGTGCAATACTGGTTGGAAGATACATGTTCTTGGGAGTGTTTCACAAAGACTAAGATCGACTTTAAGTTGGACTTAACTGTGGCAGGCAGTTCACGCCACTAGTTCCTCCAACCATTCCTGGCATTTGTTTCTCAAGGGACGTATATACAAATCATGGTCACAATTCTACACATTTTCATTTTTTGATATTTCATTATTGAAGGAAAAATATTATCTGCAGATCATAATTGAGAGACCAATGGTGAGAGCAAACAGTGGCATGAATGGCCTGCCATATTTAAGTCCAACTTAAAGTTGATCTTAGTCTTTGTGAAACACTTCCCTGGCAACAATTGCTCTGTATATTGTCAAGTTCCTACATTCTTTACTCTATCCCTTGACCAAACACTATACCTACCTTTAGCTCTAACCCTAATCTTGACTGATGAGAACCCAAAAACAACCATATCTATCTATCAAGTTATCTTTTCCTAGCTCGGAGGTTGATTGCAATTTTTGAAAAACATAAATTCAATTCAATTCAATTCACCTCAGTCATACAAGGTGTGTTGACTGACCACTCGCACCAATACAAGCACAGTAAGAAGTTATTTGAAGTGGCACAGTAAAACTATACTAGATTATATAATCTGTAATCCAGGTTACAAATTTGCAACAGCAATGTACTCTCACTATATGTCACCTGGGTTATAGCGATGACACAGCATCGAACTGTAGGATCGAACTACAACAGCACTACCTGTATGGTTGGATTTCTGTTTGGACTTAGAGGAAAATTTGTCTGTCATCTTTAGTTTTAAAAATGACATTGTTACTATAATTTGTGACATGTTCACAAGAACAAATCGGCGCCTTTAACTGCACCTCGCAGTAAAATAAAGGTCCTTCCCCGCCTGCGTTTTTTAACACGGATCTGGCTTGCTGACTACGGAGAAGGCAGCAAAATAGGGGTGCGTCTTATACACATGTGCGTCTTATACACAGAGGTTTACGGTAATGAAAAATGTCATAATCCAGATGTGCAAGGTGCCTGTGTTGTGGTACTATATACCCTAGCTGTATGATAGTTTTAGTTTAAGCATTCAAGGAATTTCTTCCTACCAGGTACCTGTTAACTACACCTGGGTTGAGAGTGGCAATCTTGATGAGATGGAGTGATAAATCAGTTTGTATTTGCTATTATCCTCGTTTCAGACGGTGGCAGAGGGTGAACAGAGAGGTCCTATACTTGGCTATTTTGTCACAGTCATCCCTCATTTGCAATGTGTAGATCAGCAAACCTTGGAAGACGCAGTCAACAACACACAAATCATCATGGAAGGTATGTATATACACTAATAAAATGATGATGGTACAATGATAATAGTATAATCATTTTGTACACTCTCCATTGTAAATCTATGTAATAGCATTTAATGATAACATGAATATTATACTATTATTCTTATTATTTCTTTATTGCATCCAAAACTTGAGGTGGGATATTAAGCAAATATTAATTGACTACGAGGGTAATGGTACAAACTATCATCACCGAGGCGATGATAGTTTGTATCCATTGCCCGAGTTAAGGAGGTTAATATTTGTTTTATATCCCACATCGGCAATAAGGTCTATTTAAAGTGAATGTTAACCCTATGTTAACTGGGCGGGGGGGGGGGGGGGGGGGGGGTTCAAATTGACCCCCCCCCCCGTAGTAATTTAGCTATAAAGTTTGCCTTTCACAACTTTTTCCTTTCGAGTCTTACACATCTTCTAAAACAATTTTTTGGAAAATCGGTATAGTTACAAAGTCACGTGACCTTTTGTCTTTACATGTCAGCCCGAAAATCGCTCATTTTTGTGATTTGTTGTACAAAACATATGCAAATATCATCTTCCTAAAAAGAAATAAAACATTGGTAATTTGGTCTTGTTTAAAGTTTAGGTGTTTGTTTTGGGGTCAAAAAAAAAAAAAAAAAAAAAATGAAATACCTAAGGTAAAAAACAATGAACTACATAAGATATCATATTAAGAGATAACATAAGGAATAACCCGGTTCTTCCAATTTTTTTTTTCGTATTATTATTATTTAAAAGAAGAAAAAATAACCCTCGATGTTTCATTATTATAGGACTGGACAAGTTCTGTTCCTATACAGTGCAGATTAAAGCATTCAACAGCATAGGGTCTGGGCCTGTCGAAGATGAAGAAATAGAGGATATGACAACTAGTAAGTATTTAAAAAAAAAAAAAAAAAGTCATATTTTTATATACTTAAAGAAGCTGTGCGAAGGTTTCAAAAGGCTTTTAACCTTAATAATGTTGGTATCATTGCAAAGTTAATGTTACAATCTTTCTAATGGTTCATATTTAGTTTTCAAAAATTGTTACAGATTTGACTTATCTGCTTTTAAAAGTGGTGAAATTACTACCCGATTATTCCGCCCTTTATGGGCCCGCTATTGTGACGTACGATTTGTGACGTAGGAGGTTGGGCACATGAGCGAGAGTGCGATCCTCAAGCTCTCACACAACTCTCGCCTGCATGCATTATACGTATACAACGCCACTCGAACGCTAAATATCTGATCAAAATGTCCGAGCTCGAAGAAGAGGTTTTACTCGATTTAGAATTCAAAGTTGATGAGCACAGCAGTGGTACTGGTAGTGATAGTGATGATGATGATGATGATTGGTATGTAGGAGAGATGGAAGAAAGAGAACAATTCGGAGAAGACGGCGTCGATCGATGCTGGTGCAGGTCAAGTGATAGCATATCAGCGCGAGCTGGCTGAGCTGCCAGCTGCCGCTCAGCTCCCCCGGCCCCGCTCAACTGGCGATCGATCTGTCATGACTGGGCGAGACATTTTCTAATTTTTCGGGATGTGTGGGGCTTTTTTTGCAAATTTCACGGATAATAAAACAAAGATGATTAGATGTGAGATTATATTTGGCGAAAATCAATTACAAATATGCACCATTCAGAAATAGAACTGCAGCTGCAGTACATCATACAAATGCAAAAGGACGCTCGCGATTCACTCATCATGGTCTCCGTATATAATCAACAGCAATCATATCCCGCCAAGGCATAACGACCGAACAAATACAAAACATCTCAGCAAATTACACAGAATGGAAGGGTATTTGGACAAATCGAATTGCACGATTCACCCCTCGTATTATATTACATAAATTTACTTAATATTATATGTAATTACATGATTTCTAGAGATTGTTATTCCACTTTCTGGTCAGGATATGAAGCATGCGAAGTCTGGATAATGTATACGTATAGCTATGCAAAATATCGCACGCGAGCTTGAGGCCTTGAATTGCGATCGTGCCCAACCAGGGACGTCATAATCGGCCTACTGCGCGAACAATGTTCAAGCCAGGAATTGAAGTTCTGAGAAGGTTCTTGGAAAAAGCTTCTTACCGCGTTTCATTTATATTTACAAGACTTTAGAGCAGAATGTGTGTCTTTATATTGGTCTACGCTATCCGGACATGTATAATTTGCCCATTTTGAGTGATTATGTGAAATTTCTTCGCCGAGCTTCTTTAATGTAGAATTTATCGTAATTAGTTTGAGAGTTGTATAAAGAAGTAATATGAATAGAATTTCATATTTTCACACTTTTTATTACCTTCTTCTACCATTTTTTTTTACCTGCTTCAGATATACAAATCTGTGAATAACGACCCCTTGCTAGATTTCCTTCTGAGACAATATCATAAAAATGAGGTACATGTATATATGTAGAACGATATGCTGTTGCAAATTTTGTTTCTTTTGAAGCAGAAAAATCAGTAAACTATTGGCAACAAACAGTGTACACAAAACTAACAGTTCAATTGAAATACATATTTCAGACATTTAAATGCTAATTTTATTGGAGGAGCTCGCGCCTTTGAATGTTTTTTTAAAACAGATATATGGCGCCATACAAATGCTGTTCATCATCATCATCATCAATAAAAGGATAGGAAGGAAATACTTCCATTAGAGTAGTTCTCATATTACTATGTAGGCCTACTTTATCATGTGAAATGTCACCATTTTAATTTTCTTCCTCTTCCTCATCCTGCCAATAATGACTCCCTCCCAAAGTATTATTTTTCTTATCAAAGTTCCTTCATTGTCCTTATACATTCACATTACATGTAGATAAAAGAGGAAATCAGCTAAATGTGGGATTAATGCGTGTGACAGATCATAATTTATACACATTGACTTTATAATGACATTCTCAAAGTTCAACCTGTTGTATTTGCTCTGCAATATCAAATGACATGTAGATAACATTGCCTTTGTTGATAGCCAGAAGGACCTTAATTCTCTATGAAAAGATATAGGTGAAAGCCCTTCTTGCTCTCAACTGGTGATATTTACATAAGCAGGGTACGTCTTGCTTAATCATCATAGAGAAGTCTTTGCAAATTGACTCGGGAGCATTGTTTAATGTTTAGTTTTCTCATTTTACTATTATAGAGATTATCTACAGTATGTTGACAAGTAATAAATTAGAAGACATGCTGTCTACAGGACTAAAATACAGATATATATATACTCTAGGAATGAGATAGAATGTTCCAAAATAACCTTTGTGATTAAGGTTGGGTGTAAATGATTTGTACATTTGTACCAACTTCAGGCAATAATCACTGGAGTTTTCTAAAATAAGATATTGAGAAAAGTTCATCAATGAAAAAGGAATCAGTACATAAGGTTTCAAAGAAATTATAATGAAAACAGCCAAGCAAGTGACAGTTAGATATCAAGAAAAGTTTACAATTTGAATGTCTAAGAAATTTCATGATTTAAAAACTGTTCAGCAATATGGTGTGATTGCTAATATTGCCAGAACGTAAGAAAGAAAGAAAAGAAGAATGCAGGACAAATGTTAGTATTGCAGGGTTATTTTGCCCTCAAGCAAAGATATAACAAGTTGAAAGGAAAAAGATTAAATTTGATGGGACTTAAATAATTACATGTATGTGAGCATTCAAGGGAAGTAATAACGTTGGCTATATAATACGCATATTTCATTTCCTTTTATATGCTTTTGAAATATTGTATTCATACATGTATATCTGTCTCGTACAGTCTTTTTTTGTTTTTGTTATTTTACATCCATGTAGATGTACAGTTTGTTCATATATCCAGGTATGAAGTTATTGGAGGGGGGGGGGGGGTAGAAAAATTCCTGGAGACAAAGGAGCCATTAATTTATTTGTTTTTCTCTTGAGATTTTGATTGCACCATCCGTTAACACAATATCACCACATCATCGCATAGTAATGTAATTAGGTCAAGATTTGTGCAAACAGGTGTGTATCACGCAATATGTGTCCAAAGTCCAAAGGTTATGCTAGCATCAATATCGATATAAATCTACCCAGTGGCCTAATATGGTTGGTATGTACAGGAAGGATATCGGAGCATGAATATACTATGTGTCGGTCGTATATCCCTCATCAGAGCCCCTCGCAAATAAGTCCCTCACAAGATAACACTTTTTCGTTTAAGTGTTCAAAGTCCAAACTTCTCAATAGCAAAGGGGTGCTTCATAGATGTAGTACTATGATCCATCCATTTATGCAAACATTTTAGGAGAAAATGTTTCTTTTTTTAGTTGAGAGGATATTTTTTCTTTTTTTCATTTCGACATCCAAAGCATTTCTTTAGTGGGTACGTGTGTATATCCAATCATTTATTTAGATTTTAAATTAGATCTTCATCGTTGAGCCAGCTTTAAAATGTATACAATTTCTTCAAAGAATACAACATTTTTTCATAAATATAAATCATAGGTGTGTCTATGAAATATACCTTGTATAAAAAATAAAAGCATATCCAGCTTCAAGATATTCTATATAAAAGCATATTGCTTTCCTGGAGTTTCTGAACTTTAACCTGTTTAATACAGTTTGGTTCCAGTCTAGCACACGTTTTTATAGCCCTTAACTTGTTTTATGTTTATATGTTATAAAGGACCTTCTGAATGTTCATGTATATTGAAGACAGTTTAGTTTGCTGTAGCATGCATTTCCTATTGAATAATAATAATAAACATGGATATATCCCTATGCGCTTATATGTCCCTATAGCCCTTGCCCTAGTTAACTTACAGGTTAAATTGAGAAAGATTGAATAGGGCTTTGTTTGCAGACGCTTTCTTATCTTCAAGTGAACAAACATTGACCAGTTACCAATTACTGCCAACATCTGTCATAGTTCTTAGAAAAGATAAGATTTTAATTAGTTCCTGAAGGGATACTACTTATCTTGTCATTGCCAATGGTGTAAAAAATATCCAGACCATGATGAAAGATGAAAAATTCTTCTAAGAAGTGCTGAATTAAATATTTCTCAGAGAGTTTGATTTTGTTGTAATGCTTAAGAAGACAAAAAAGAAATGAACACAACAGAGGCAAATCTGTAGCAATCATTTTCTGAAAATTTATTTTGTTCCTTGGGCAGTTTATGTATATTTCTATCTTATCATGCTCACAGGTACCCCTAATAAAGGAAAATTACTCAACAATATGCATGATAGTAGACAGTCAATTGTTAAAAATATCATGAATATGTATACTATTAATATTCATGAACCTTCTGTATACTGTCATTGTGTCAAGAAGTAAGCGAATGGGGGAAAAATAAACTTTTTTGTTATGATTCTTGCAGTTTTTCTATATTCAAGTGGTTTTCTTTTTTTAATGTTTATTGGATGTGAAGTATGAATCATTTAACATTTACATTAAGACTCTCTTCCCATGTCTGTCCTATGTCTGCAAAAACTAAACCAATTCAACAAGTCTGTGTTCAATTTTTTTCTCCTACAGATCCATTTCCACCCAGTGTTGTTGAGGCAGAGACACTATCACACCAGTCTATTTTGGTGACCTGGGATAAACCAACACCTGTCCAGGGTTACATTAGTCATTACACTGTCCACTGGATACAGGCTAGAGGTCAAGATCAAGGGTGAGACTAAAAGCCTCTTATATTCTTTTATGAACTTTAGGTTACTTCTAATTTGTTATTAACTTGAATTTATCACTAGCTTCACTGGATGTCTTCCGAAAATGTCTCAAAACTCTTCTCTTTGAACATGATCAACAACATATTCTCAGATATTTTTTATGTAAAGCGCTGTGAAAGGACAGTTAGTTTGTAAGAGCGCTATAGAAATGACTTTATCATATTGTATTGTATAGGAAGAACAAGTCCAACAAACTGTTTATAACCCACTCATTTTGGCTAAAATACTAATTTCAAGATTTTTGTCTGAACTATCTTGGTCTTGGTAAAAAACAATGTTAATTATTCCCCCAAACTGTTACACAATACATTAAGAAAAAATTCTAATTTTGAAGTCCAAAGTCATAACAAAAATAAAAAATAGAATCACCCAAAAATAGAGTTAGTCCAAGATTGAACGTTGTTTTCTTGATGTGCAAGTCATTTTATCCCACAGCTGCCATCAGTTTAACACTTGAAAATCATGGGTGAATCATCCAAGAATCAAATCCAAATAATTGAACTCAGTATAAAATAAATAAATACATAGCTATTGATGAAAAATTGGTTTTTGAGCAGGATTAAAAGTCCTTACAAAATCTTTTTACCAGAATAACAAAGAAATATGAGTCAATCCCAGATAGAAGTTTGTTAGAGTCTTTGTATGCAATTCATTTTAATGGTGTGGGTTTATATCCCACTGTTGCCACCCTTTTAACACTTATTGTATGAATTAATGCAGAATCACTCCACAGTTAAATGGAAAAAAATCAAATCAATTGTCAGAAAAGTCTTTAGCATATAGAAATAATGAATCATACATTGAACCAGATCTTAATATGCGAAACGCTTTACAGTTGAAATAGGCGCATGTACTTCATTCAATAAACCAGGGAAGTATTCCTTGTTATTTTGTATTTATAAAGTATACATCACTTCAATTTTGCTGTAAAGAGGGAAAAAAATATATGGAGTACACTTCATTTTTCCCTTCTACGTATCTTTTCGCATCAGGCAATCCAAAGAAGTTCCTTCATCCAACCTGTCCTACGTAGTCGATGGTCTGGAAGGCTATGTCTCCTACAGCTTCAAGGTCTCGGTCACCAATAAGATAGGGGTCAGTGGTTGGTCTACGGAGGTACAGATTACAACAGATGAGTGGAGTAAGTCAAGTTCAAGTTCAAGTTCAATTTATTTCTCCACAAATGCAAAACATAGGGAGCTACATAAGATAGAATACATACATACAATACAATAATAGAACATGTACTTGTACATCATATATAAAACGACTCCAGTTGGAGCTATGTATGTTTTAAAAAGAAAAAAATCAGCAAATGTGGAAGGGGTAGTCAAAAATCAAAAATGATTTGTCGAGGACTACCCCCAATAATACCAAAAAAAATTATACAATTAAAACTTAAAAGTAAATATAAGGTAAAATTTTCACCTTTCTTCTCTAAATATCCAGCTGTTTGGATCTTTTGTCAGGATAGTTATTGAAAAGTTTTAAAAAAAATATAATATTAATATGAAACCTGACAAAGCAGATGCCTGCATTTATTGAAATCGCTAACCTGTCAAAGTTGGTAGTTACATTAGTTAGCCATTTTAAGTCTTTTACCGGTAGATGCAAATCAGCAGTTTTGAAATGATTTCGAACAAGCAATATTTTTTTTCTGGATATTTTTTTTATATCCATATGCACTGGAGGAATTTTATGTTCTGATTTAATTATTTTGCAACATCTGTTCATTTTGTGAAAGTTTTTGGCAGAAAAATTGTCTCTTGTTTCAGTGCTTTGGTTCCTGCGATTGCATATCTTAATGGATTTAGTTTAACTTCCCTCATTAAACTGTAGACCTGGGGCCCGTCTTATAAAGAGTTACGTTTGATCTGAATCAATCAACCGCAAGTTTGCAGTCTCCTTCCTCTTATGTACATAGTTGCAATCGATATCCATCGCACGTAAGTTGGGATTAATATCAACTCTTTATAAGACGGGGCCCAGGTGTCTGGTTTAAATTTTAGTTAAAAAGAGACAAATGTAATACTCTACTATGCGAGCCAAATTAAACGAACCGTTTTACCTTTTCCTGATGTAATTCCAGCCCCAGAGGCATCACCGACCAACGTAACTGTTGAGCCAATCATGAACAACCCGAACGGCCTCTTGGTGAACTGGATAGATGTATCTGAAGAGGAGGCGCATGGGCAAGTAAAGGGTCACCACCTATACTATTGCCGTGTAGCGGAAGAGAGTATTTCAGATCCGTTGTGTCAGCTGACCATCTCAGACTGTCTTGGTGAGTTCTTTGAAAGAGAGATTGGGTCTTTGGTTAGTCAAAAAAATCTTTGAGGAGCTTGGATTACTGGTGCATACGTGCCAACCCTTCCGAATTATCCAGAATATTCAGATTTTCTGGATTTTTAGGACCTGAAAATCCGGAATTTTCAGATTTTTCTAAATTTTGTACAGCTTGGTACAGATTTACTGGGTATTAATTGCCATTTACATTGCCGCTGCAAGTGCGATTTCTTATTTTCGAAGGATATGGTGCTAAAAATTTGTAATTCTTATTTTCAAATGTTGGCAGGTATGCTGGTGCCATTTGCACTTACAAATGAAATGGATTGCTGTGCTTAATTTAAAATTAAAAACAAACTTGAATGATCTGGGTTACAAAAATTTTGAACCAATGTGAAGTTAGGGGGCTGAATGAATTGATTGATGAAATCCCATGACGAAACCTCACCTGAAGAATGGCACAGATTGGTCAAATGCCACAACACTTCAGGAAAATGTGGTTTTGTGTAGAACAGTGTAATAATGTCATGTTGTGGGAATCTACTTTGTTACTTGCGACAGATAAGCGAGAAAGGCAGACTTTCTCAGAAACCACCCAGAAGCCAGTGACGCTGACTGGTGTCGATCCTTTCTCACACTATGTCATCTGGATTTCTGCATTCACCAGTGTTGGAGAAGGGCCAACAAGCAGATGTCCATCTTCAGGACTTACAAGTGAAGGAAGTGAGTAAATTGTGTCATGGATTTAGAGAAGACTTGTCAAATTGTTGCTTTGTTCATTAATTTATTTTGGATTAAATTGTATAGCTGCATACCTGTCTTCCCTTTTTAATCCATACTATGCCCATTACATATTTGAACATTCACTTAAGAAAATGTTTCATCTTTTCGGAGCCAAAAGTGCATTTTCTTGTGTACTTTAACACAGAGTTAATGCACTTCTCATTTTGAACAGATGATTTCATGAGAGGTTAGGTAACATTATCAGCAGTCTTATATGTATGCTTACGGTTTTGCTTTTCAAGAAAGAGTGAAGCCTTTTGGCACTTTAATTGTGAAGTACAAGTTCATCTGTCCAAAATATAGGTTTTGATTTAAGTGCCTCTGTAAGGTTGAAAGGATTAATTATTTGTATGTTACTTTATTGCAGCACCAAGCCAACCTCTGAATGCAAGTGTCTTGGAGTCGACTGCAACATCAATAGCACTAACATGGTCACCCCCTCTGGAGAAAAATGGAATTATCCGCAATTACACAATCCTAGTGAAGAGCAATTCTTCCACAGATCAGCAGGAATTCTATGCTGGGGGAGTCCAGAGTTATCTGGTGGAGGGACTGTATGGCTATGTCCACTATTCCCTTCAAGTGAGAGCCTGTTCCATCATGTGTGGAGCTGCCTCTGATGAAGTATACCGGAAAACAGAAATAGGTGGTAGGTTTCTGTCAATATTCCTTGTTCTATAGCTAACACTTAAATCAAAATTCATCCTTAAAGGAATTAAAGATTGGTGACATCATAGTTTTACATTGTATGTTTTGTAATAGAATAAGTAAAACAACCCTGGTCGTCAATGGACAAAAAAGGAGAGGACCTAAAGCTGATCCTTGTGGCACCCTAATTGGAATTCTTGTGATCAAAACAATTTTGTAATAGAAAATTGGGCCTTGTGTAAAAGTTTTTTTTAATTCTGACCATATGTATGTTTTAGATTGCAAGGGCTAAAAGGCATTTATACTTTGAGATATGCTGATTATTACCTTGTCCTGTAATAAAAAATACAAATTTATTGTATCTTCCACAGTTCCTCAACAGCCTGAAAACTTGAACGTCCAACCATTATCTCACAACAAAGTCAAAGTGAGCTGGGAGTCACCTGTCCACCCCAATGGCCCGACTGTCTACTATCTGGTTTCCTACAGCCACATAGAACCAACTCCAAGGCCTGTCATCTATGTCAGGTCATCATTGACCACCACCCTTGCCAATAGCATGGATGACTGGATCCCGACAACAGAGTTGACAATGGAAATGGAGGTTGACTGTAGCCAGGCTCCATTCTTGTTTCAAGTGGTTGCAGTGAATATCATTGATGGTTCATTAACATCAGGAGACGCTGCAGAGTTTGTGCTGTCTGAATGCATTGAAATTGAAAGTGAGTAGACACAGCTGTTGAATGCTCCACATGACCTAAATCTATTATGTAAGAAGTTTGAGAGAAAATTTGCGAGCTTTGCTTTTACAAGAAGGCCTTATCAAATGGAGGACTAAATTTGTAGTGCCATATGACGGACCAATAATGAATATTTTGTTATTATCGTTGTCACTTGTTTTGTGAAATACCAAGTTACGTGTAAATCAATGATCATAATTGTTTCTTCTGTCTCCATAGCAACCCTGTCACCACTGATCTGGCTGATACTGCCTGGGGGTGCCATTCTCCTCTTTGCCCTGTTGGTCAGTCTTTACTATGTCCAGAGCAAGCTTGGCAAGTCTTGGCCAGACCCCGTTTACACAGACATGGTGAAAAATAAAAAGGTAAGCGGAGAGTGAAACTCGCATCGCCCAACGTTGCATTTTTAATTAATTTTATTTTTTGGAGATTAAGAAATACCACTCATCAAAGCTGAAATATATTTAAAACTGCAATTGTAGTTTTTTGTACGATGAAGTGTTTAATTTTATATGATAACCCTCAGCAGAATGGAAATAGCTAATGTAGAAAAGTTCTTGTTTTTTATCTCCAGGACATGCAGCCATTATCAAGACCAAAGAGAGGTGAAAGGGAAGAGTTTGACACGATCCAGAATGTCTGTCCGCCAGACTTAGAAGAAGTTGTTGTCGCAGAGGAGTATCCATCCCAACCTTATCAATGTATCATGCAAACGTCCATGACAGATCCATTAACAGACTTGCTGAACTTGAAAAGTGACATTGGTAAACAAGCATATTTAAGGACTGTCAGCATTGATAGTGGTGTCCCACCCTCGCCACAGGATCACCTGGACTTCTCTAGCTCCGATGATGTCTTCCATGCAGCGGACTATGATACGTCTGACTTCATGCAGGACACGTACTCCTTCGAAAACCCCAAGGTGATAGTGTGCCAAGCGGGCTTGGGAGGTAAAGGAGGGCATCTCCCCAAGAGGTCTGTGTCTCTGAGCAGCAGTGATGGGTGTGGAGGTCTTCCAGCAATTGAAGAAGACAAATTCATGGATCCGATCTTGGAGAAGGTTCCAGGGGATAAAAATGCCATTGCAGTTGGTGCCTCTACTTCTGCCCAAGGAGAATGGTTGGAAGATGATGATGATGAGGAGGAGGAGGACATTGCCTACATGCGCATCTCACAGTTATCCTCCCCTCTGAAGAAGCCTCAAGTTCTAGTCAAAGACCAGTGTGCACCAGTCAACCAAAACAAGCTTGATGACCTCGCCGAGGTTCACACTGCTCAAAGGATTGAACAAACAATGTCAGGTTGTGATAGCGGTTGCCGTAGCATGGCTTCAGACTCGGGATATGTTAGTAACAACATGGCATACATGAAATTTGGATTAAATGAAGTTGACCAAGAGACAGAATTCAAGGCCAAACCTGATGATGACTATGTTTCTGGTCCAATGACCTACTCGGTTCTGGCAATTCCTCAGTTGGGACAGCAGCCTAGATCTTTAGAACAGTCCCTAACAAGCAACTATGTGACCGAGGAGAGTCTAGCATATACAAAATTGGGTATGGCTTCAACCATTGCTGGAAATGAGAATGTTCCGATTACAGTTGCAGTAGTTGAGCAACCCACTTCTAAGCCATGTATTGAGACAGAAGGCATTGGCTATGTCAAGCTTGGTGACAAACATGAAGATGATGGAAGAACAGATGGAGAGGTGGAGTTGTCCTGGAGCGACATGACCCTAGAACCCCCATCTTCTTGTTTGTCTGATTATGTAAGAGGAGTGGACTTGCATAAGGTGTTAGAAAATAAAAGCGAACTATCCGAGTCTTCAGGTTCTCCTGGCTCACCAATCTGCATCCCTGGAGACATGGTAAAAGTTTTGCCAGAAATCACTTTGGATGAGACAAAAGCCAAAGAAAAACAACAGGCAGTGAGATCCAGGACCGATTCATCTTCATCCTCATCCGGTTATGGGAGTGACCATCGAGGGCAGGTTTCTGGTTATGTTGTGGTCTCGACTCAGCCTCAGGAGCACTCCGACAATTACGCCAATCTAGCTTTCACTTCGTCAGAGTCAGAAACAGATTCTGATGATGTCGATGTCAAATCTAAAAAATCGGTTCATCTGAAAGATGCGCTTAAAGTTGGTAAATGTTCTGAATCTCCAGGTAATAATGCAGGAAGTGGAGAATGTGACCCCTCATTTGTTGAGTACATCAGTAATGACAGCTTTGGGATTGGGTTTGTGAATGATTACCCTTCTCCTTCAAAGGGCAATGAAAATCTTGGCTTTTCAGACACTACAAATCCAAGTGTGCACTCAAAGGAGCAGAGTAATTGTCATCAAGGACGTAAGCGAGGCAGCTGCAAAAGCGTTCCTGGATATATTACCTATAATGCAGTCCTTGGAGCCGAGGCCACAGGCATCGCAACTGGTGTTGAAAGGTTACTCTCCCCAGCAACACCCGATGATGCCTCAAAGCGTGATATCTATCAAGTCCCAAGCAGGGGATGTCGAGAACTTAAGCACAGAACTGGGCGCGAATCGGATGAAGGAGATGACGGGTACGTGCCTTTCGGTGGAGATTCGGGATATGTTCTACGAGTTTTGGATGGAAGTCAGAAGACAGAGGAATACATGCCTATGTCTCCCATTAAAAAATCTTCATGTAGGATAGAAGAAGATTGTTTATAACTATGACCTATTGGATCTGAGCATCACTAAGAAACATTCAGTACTTTACATGCCATATTTTCCCAGTACAGGTACATCTATATGCCTCCGTTGTAAATATTGTTAATACTTTAATGCATTAGTTATGGGTTTAAAATGAAGGAAAAATGTACTATGTATTACTAACATTTCTGCTGATACTAAAGAATACTATTTTTACATTTGATCTGTATATATATATTTGTACAATTTCAAGCATGCGCATGTACACATTAAGGAAAATGTATATTTTTTGACCTCTTACAGAAACCTTGAAGTATTTTCATCATTAAGATTAGCAGATAATCTTGTTAAACTTCACTAATCCTAGAAATTTTAACAAACTTTATAGTTATGAATGGGGATGTATAATGAATATGCATGGAGCTTTTCACAGGTAGCTCTAACACATCCAAAAGAAAAGAAGTTGAGTATCATCTGTTTGGAACCAAGAGGGTGATACTGATAGCTCTGTGTAAAATGATTTGAGTTAACAACCTTCTCACTCAAGAAGAATTAAACATTTTCTAGAAATAATTCTTCTTGAAACAGCACTATTTCTGTTACAGTTGTGTACATTACTTTTGTTAAGTTCATTCCTATTAAAGATATTCCATTTCCAATTCAGTAATGAATCAAATAGCAATATTTCTGTTACAGTTGTTTACATTACTTTTGTTAAGTTCATTCCTATTAGAGATATTCCATGTCCAATTCAGTAATGTTATCATTCTATTATTGTTATACAAGTCTTTGATTTTGTTATATTGTATTTGTTTTGTATGATGTTTTTCGGAAATAAAACAAACAAGTAATGAATCAAATAGAGAATGATATAATATTGAATGACCTTGAGTGGGATACAAGGTTACCGCACCCCAAACCATAAGACATGGAGAAATAGTGCACGGTCATCGTGGTACTTTTTCGTCAACCTTGAGATATGGTTTTAACATTGCATGGCTATCCTGTACTTTTACTGAAAGCATAAGATTTTCTGATTGGCACAAAACATGTTTATACAAATAATAATGACAAATATATAACTTTGAACCCTGGGAGTTTAATTGTGATCATTGTAAACGAATTCCCCCGGTTAGGATCAGAATCCCAGTACTAAAAAAAAAAACAGTACTACATGTACAACTAACTTTATTGGAGATTTGACAAGGGCCCCTGTTTCACAAACTTGTTATCAGTAACAAGGTACAATAATTGTTATAAGCTACTCAGATCCTGACATGTAATTGGCCATGAGCACAAGATCTGTAGCAGTTGTTATTGATAACAAGTTTAATGAAACAGGGCCCTGGGTCACTCTCTCAATTGTATATAGACCTATTTTGTAGAAATGAATGTGACAAGGATATTTTTGCAATTTTGATTACGGTAACCATTGTTGATGAATAACTGATTTAGGATAGCATTGTAATTAGGATTTACTATTGTTGATGAATCACTGAAGATAATTTTGCAATCAGGATTTTCTTTTAAAAGTTGTTGCCATGAATTTAAAAATCTAAAGAGATTTAAGTATTAAGTTGTTTCATAGATTTATGAACTTCATTGTTAACATGGAGCCTTATATAGCAAACCGAGGAATGTTAAAACAATCCTATTTTTAATGGACAAATTCTCACGGGCTAAGGATAGCTAGGTTAATTCCTTTTGTTACTCTTTTTTCTTTGATAAATGACTAGAAAGAAATCATTTTTGAATGTGGTTGTATAATACTGTAAAGATTAGTTTGATAACACTTTTGTTGTCAGTATTATGAATAAGAGCTTCTTACGAATCCTCTTATGCTGATGTGTCAATCTATTGTATTATAATTGTTTTATAATTGTTGTTATCATGAACAGTAGCAGATATTTACCGGTAGTTTAGATGAAAAATTGAGAATATCTTGTACATGTACATTTTCATGTAGTGTGACTGTTGACAGTACCATGAGCAAAAATGACAATAGGCCTGGCAAATCTTCTAGGAATGTCACGTGTTTTATAAGTTGAAATCGCCTATTTATTTATACAATTTAGGCTGCTTAGAAAGCTTTTCGCAGCAGTACTACCATTAGCAAATGCATATGTCTACTTTGCACTTTCTTCAGTTTCTTGTATCAAAGTTTCATTTTTGCAGAAATTCAGTCGAACAAACACATGAACAATGAATGGATCAGTACATGTACATCTAGGACTGTATGTACATTTAACATTCAAATTGTATACATGGGTTTCTGTGTTATTAAAATAATTTAAATGATGTATAAACTACACCGACACATTTTCCCTGGCTGCAAACATATACTGTATTAAGCTCATCTGTATAGTGTTGGAGGGGGGGGGGGCGTGGGATCTGCCAGGTTTAGCACTGTATTGTGCAAGATGTATTGGCAAATTGAACTGATGGACAATTTCAGAATTGTATGATGAATGAATTACAAATGATTTTATTTGCAATTCATGTAGTCTTCAACATGTACAAGGTATTGCAACATGTCAGATACAAGAACACTACATCATCATCATTGATTAAAGTTGGCATTTTCCCTCTTGCAAGGGGTTTCTGATTATCGCGCTGTGATGACAATCCCTCCCTCCCTCCACTTCTTCCTTTCTCGGGCATCCTCCCTATTGATACCAACTTGACTGCTTTCTTTCTTCACTGTATCTTTCCATAAAATCTTCGGTCTTCCTCCCCCCTCCCCTATGCCATCCATTTTCACTTCCCATAATGCTCTTCTCACAGGCTCATCATCTTCCCTTCTTAACACATGACCCATCCATCTCAATCCACTTCTCTTTCCTAATTCCAACACAGTTTCTTCCAGACCCAACCTTTCCATGAGCTCATTGGTGTTCTTTCTGTCGTACAATTTTACACCACTTTCTTCATGCTATGTACATACCTGTATATGAAACTAAGTTGAGCCTTCTGTATAAAGTTCTTTACCTATAAAGGTAGAAAGATTTCGATCAAATCATAGTGAAGGAGTATCATATTTCAATAGAAGGGAGGTTTTTTTTACTCTGCTTGTGTGGTCATTAAAGACGCTATTTTCAATTTCACCATTGTTTGATTTTAAATATATTTTACCTTGTATAGTCGGGTTTTAAGATTTGCCTTATAAAATTGACAAAAAGGGGTCTGAATAATGAAAATACTTAAATGTAGATACTAGATATGTACATACATGTATCACATGTGTTCCCGTCAAAGAATACAAAACATTATATGCCAAATATATATGATAGGGACACTACATGTAGATATTAAAATTGTATACTTTAAGTGTCTGCCTTTTAACATATTTTAAAGTAGAATATAATGCTATTTTGCAATTACACATTTTAAAAATGTATGTTCTTTCATATTTCTTTTTATACATTGTGTTGTACATACACGTAGTGATATTTTGAAGGAAAAAAATATTATATTTCATTGTTTTGTGTCACCTATGCCAGGAGATAGATAAAAACAAGTTGCAGTATTTTGGAGACATTTATAGGAGAGAAGGTGACAACCTGGAGAAGATCATTACCCAAGGTCGAGGGTCAACGAAACGTGGTAGGCAAAAAGTTTGATGGGCTGCCGGAATAAAAGATATTACTGGTATGAACATCTGCAAATTATCATATGCACACATTACAAAATAATTAATATGATGGCAATAAGTAGTACCCAGTAATATACATGATACATCATATAATAAGTGTTATAACATGTTTATCAAGAAATAAAACAAATAAAATTGCATTAAGTAGTGAATGATAGCGATGTGAGGTTTTGGAACAAAATTCACCTTGACTAGCTCGTCTAACTCCTTGCCAAATGTGAGTAATTTTGCAGGTAATCCTTGTATAAAATGTCCAGAAGATTTGTATGAGAATAAAGGTTACTGACACAAGATGATAAAGTTTTGCTAGTGCTTTTCTGTAGTCTTTAGTGTAATGTGTACTGTTATAGAGTATACCATTTCCTTTATTTTCTATCAAGGGTACTGCCGAATGAAGGTATGAAAGAAAATTGGTTATGAAACTTGAGGTTTTATAAACATAGAAAATACATAGATATCAATATAGAAATTCATAAGTATTACATGTATCTATCCATATGTTGAAATGAATTACACTTATAGTTGTACATTATGCCATTAATGTCATATGCATGTATATGTAGATCATAAATCATACATATAGACTGAAAAGAATTCCTGAATATTATATTTAAATTATACAAAAACTTGAATTGATTATGTCATCAAAGGTAAGATGTAGGCGTACATGAAGAAGCAATGGAGAAAGGGACCAGGGAGAGAAAGATAGAGGAAGAGATAAGACAGAAAGAACAATATACCGAACGAGAGAGAGAAAGAGAAGAAAATGTAGTTTGAAAAAGGGGAGGGATAGGGGAGAGAGAGTATGAAAAATTTATTGAATATACCTTAAAGGCCACACCTCGCCATCGTGGTGATGAAGATCCCGTAAATAGTGTGGCAAAAGAGAGAGGTACATGCAAGTAGACAGAGGAGAAGGGGGACTGGAGAGAGAGAGAGAGAGGTATAATTAATAATAGAGCGGGATATGAGATGAAGGGAGAAAACCGAGAGAAAGAGAGGAAGAGGAGAGAAAGAAAGAACAATATATGGATAGAGAGACGGGAAAGAGAAAGGTACCTGTAGGTAAAAAGAGGGGAGGGGGGAGTAAGAAATAATGGAAGCGAGGGATAGGAGAGGAAGGGAGAAAACCAGGAGAAAGAGGAGGGAGGGAGGGGGGGGGAGCTAACAGGGGCGGATCCAGTATTTGCCGATAGGGGGGGGGGGGGCCTAAAATGTAAAAATCGCGCCGACCAATATTTCACTCAGTGGGGAGGGGGGGGGAAGGTAGTATGCATAATTCATTTTTTGTATTTGACCCCGAAAACTTTTTTTTTTTTTTTATTAAAAAAAAAAAAAAAAAAAAAAAAAAGCCAGGGGGGTGGCCCGACGGGCCCGGCCCCCGTGGATCCGCGCCTGGGAGCTAAGGTGAGAAAGAAAGAGATTGCCCGTCAACCGGAAAGAGAGACAAGTGACAACACAAAAGACGCAGTTACATGGCGTGAATAGTGTGTTGGCGAAAATTTAATATTACACAACCTGCACATTTTAACACAAGTGTTAAATGCAAAACACAAAATATTTTTAGCTAGGCGTGATAAAAGTCAAGGTGAATTTTTGTTATTAAATCGCACAAAAATGATTCTTTTTGCCAATACTAATTACATGTCAATCATGGTGAATCGAACACATTCACAAGACGTATACATATGTATATGTATTCATAGTCATACCGTGTATACATGTATATACATGATGTACTACCCTATATGGACAAAGGTAACACAGATACATAGATCTCATACTTACAGTACAGTGCATTAAAAACTGCAAAATAGAAAATTAGAATTAATTAACGATCTACAATAACTTAAACTGATTATTATTACACAGATAATCATTTTTGCAGAGCTGAAGATAGTTGTCAGGTGAAAAGGGAAACAAAGAATCAAAGAAAGTTAAAAGAGGAGTTAGAGATATGAGACATGAATAGATAGAAGAGAGACAGGAGAAAGAAAGAGCGAGAGATAAACTAAACAAAAGAGTGGGGAAAGGGAGAGGGGGAGGAATATGCTGGGGTCAACATACATGAATGTGATGAGAAAAATAGGGGAAAAAGGGAGGATAATGTATTTGAAAATAGGTAAGCGAGGAGCGGAGAGGAAGGATGTCGCGGTGAAACAAGAATCTGCAGGCGAGTATGATGATCGATGATTGCTTTATCTGACTGCTAAGAAACCATGTAAATGCTTGCAAGTATACAACCAGGGAACTGACGGCTTTAAGTCCCATCCGAGGGATTTGGTATTGAGGATTAACGCCTTACCAAAGGGCACGAGTTCATTGACTCGGTTTCAAACCCACTGCTCAACCACTGAGCCATCGCTCCTCCTTAAGATGTGGTCACAACTGATACACAAAACATCACCATATGATTAGTTGGGACACCTGTAATTATATGTAAATGTATAACATCTGCATGCATTTTTATTAAAGTGGATTATTGCAAAGAAAAACATTATTCAAACTGTATATAAACAAGATTGCACTCTTATACTGCACAGAGTATTTACATGTTTATGTATGTCCATTCTAAAATGTAACAGACAATGAATATATCAGTAGCATAATAGTTTATAACGCTTGCAATAAATAAATAGGGCATACGTAAATCTTCGAATAATGATTATTTACATTAATTTAGTAACTTTAATTTCAAATAGATAAATAATTAAACTTGAAACAGCCTCTCTGATAACAGTGAGGTATTTTATTGCAATATTACGCCCTTTAAGAGCAACAAAATATGCGAGGAAAAATTCATTATTTGATGATTAGTAAGCCCCTTTTTTAACATTTTTTTGTTTACCTTTAGTGAAGAATGTATACAGTTACACCAAATATATCCTTATTTTCAAATCAATTTACAATTATTATGTTGCAGATTGTGACTTTGCAATGACATGGTCCTTTTTAATGAATAAGTAATTTACATGTATAATCAATATTAAAATTGATACAAATTCAAAAATGACATCTACGTTGAACATGAGTCGTATATATGAAACGTTTGTACGCAATGTAGCCTCAAACCTCAATAAAAAAATAGGTGTATAATTCTGCAAAATTAAATTTCACCCGTTTACATCATTTATAAATAATGCAGATAAATTATGCGAAATTCGATAGAAGGACATGAACACTTAAGATAGCTTAACATTTCAGTTTTACAATTATTACTCCAGATTACAGCATGCAGTACTGTGCAGATTTGTAACTTGGTCATTTACGAGTTGTGATGTGGTACATACATATAGTATGTGGTGAAGCTATAAAACTACGCGTGCACATTATTGTGAGACTATGCGATTAGTGCTGTATATACAGTCAAGCAATTTTTGTCACATTTCTTATGTGGTTTATTCATTGTCACAATTAGCTTTCCATACACTGGCTCATCTCCATTTCCTTAATTAGTCTCCATACTCAACTATTGCCTCTTTTTGTCTTCCTTTGTTATTATTCTGGACCAAGATTCCTTCTTCTTTATTCACCTCTCAATCATTTCTATTGGTTCTCCTTCTCTCTCTGGCTATTCTATTATTTTGGACTCGTCCACTTTCCGTTCTGTGATTAGTAAAGATTTATAAGATTTTAAATTCCTGCAAAGAGCAGTCTGTAGTACTGAAGAATAAACCAAAACACCATAACAAGACTTCACCTAGTAAAACTCTTTATTTGGGCTCCCACTTTATATAATTAGATACTGAACTGTTTTCAAGTTTATTTCAATCAAATAAGGAGGGATGTGCCCATAGCTTGCCGAAAAAGTAAACAAATTATCAAAAACAACCTTCTTCCATCATAGTTTTTGTAATGGGAGACATAGGCACGTATTCCTCTGTCTTCTGACTTCCATCCATAACTCGAAGAACATATCCAGAATCTCCACTAAAAGGTACGTATCCGTCATCTCCTTTAGCCAACTGAAGCCCATTTCTGTCCTTATTGAGTTCCTGACTAGCCTTATCAGGAAGCTGATATCCGTTTAACTTTGAATGACCGTTGGGCATTGAGGGGGAGATTCTTCCTATGCTAGATTTACTCCTGCCTGCGGTACCTGCTCTTAGTAATTCACTGTGGAAAACATATCCAGGGTTGATCTTGCATCCTTCTCGAGGGCCACTACTTTGGATTACAGACTTTGGAAACCCAACACCAACGTTAGCCTCTCTGGAACAAGGGTGCTCATTCATACACCGATTCCCCAAACCATCATTTCTGATGTACTGTACTGTGTCACTGCCTTTACAAATACCACTCACACATATGGAACAGTCACACATTCCTTGTATATGAACAGATCTATCAGACTTGACATCTAGTTTTGACTCTGACAATGTGATAGCCTTAATAGAGTTATTGTCAGACTTTTGCATGGATTGAGCAGAGGATAGCACGTAACCAGAATCCTGTCCTTGATAGTCCGTGCCATAACCTGACGAGGATGAGGATGAATCGGTCCCGGGCCTCGCCACTCTTCCTATAGAGGTTTCTGCTTTCATCCTATCAAAGATGATTTCCGGCAAATCTCGGAACTCCGCTTTCCTCATCTCTCCTGGGATGCAGGTTGGCAAGTCAGAAGAACCTGAAGACTCAGACAGCTTGTTCTTGCTTTCAAACACCTTATGTAAGTCTTCTCCTCTTACATAATCAGAGAGACAAGAAGATGGGGGTGATGGGGTCATGCCACTCCAAGATGACTCCACCTTGTCATCTTTTCGTGTATCCTCATGGTGTTTGTTACCTAGTGAGAATTCTCCAAGCTTGACGTAGCCGGTGCCTTCTGACTTGACACATGGCTTAGAAGAGGGTTGCTCAACCAAGGCAACATGCGAAGAGCTACTCAGAATGCTCTCCTTTCCAGGACGGTCAGAATATCTGCCAACATTGGAACATGCCAGGGTCTCTTTGCTGACATAATTGCTGGTCAAAATCCGCTTGGAAGATCCTGGAAGTTGGTGGCCTACTTGATGAATTGATTCTAGCCCTGAATTCATAGGAACAGACACATTCTTCATGGAGAAATGCCTTTCTTTTCCCCCTAAACTGTTATGGCATACAATACCCTTAGGACCTCCAACGGAGTATGTCTCCGGCATCATCTCAGAGGAAGTCTTACAGTTTTCCGAGTCGGAGATGTCTTCGGGACTGGTAAAGTCTTGCAGATCCTGTGGTGTTAGGGGTAAACCGCTATCAATGCTAACAGTTCTTAGGGTCGTTTGCTCGTTCCCAATCTCACTGTTGTTGTCGAGGGAGTCGGTTAGTGGGTCCACCATGGGCGTCTCCGTTGGGCTTCGGTTAGATGTTACCGGTCGGGAAGGAATTTCCTCTGTTACAGAAACCTCATTGAAGGCAGACGGACAGACGACCTTAATGGTGTCAAAAACTTCCTTTTCAGCTACCTTTCGTTTCAGTACTGGCTGCAGGTCCTGACAAATAAAAAGAATGATATTATTCATTCAATTTCATTCAAGTTTTATCTTAAGATAACACAGCAATTTTAGAAATTCTCTATATCGCTTTGGATAATGCCCTTGTGTGAATGTTGATTAGGCTCATGGAATATCTTGTACAAAATCTAACCACCGACAGCTTTGTTTATCAACAATGTACATACAATTTATATTAATTTGATTTTAAAATCGAACTAATACAGTGCAATATGGGTTACCCTAACTTTGAATAATAATATAACATCATGGAAATGTTTAGGCAACTTTTACAAATCTCTGAAATATATTCATCTATAGTTTATTTGCAATTACCTTTTTATTTTTCACCATGTCTGTGTAAACAGGGTCTGGCCAAGACCTGCCTAGCTTGTTCTGAGCATAGTAAAGACCAGTCAACAGGGAAACGAGGAGAATGGCGCCCCCAGGCAGCAGTATCAGCCATATCAGGGGTGACAGGGTTTCTATGGGGACACAATAAATTATGATCATCAATTTAGCTCGGCATTTTACATCATATATGACAAAGAAAGCAAAACTACAAAGTCCAATTTTGTTCAGGTCTGATATGACACTACAAATCCTCCAATTCGTAAGGCCTTCTTGTAAAAGTGAACCTTAAAAGCTTGCACTCACACTTAATATAAGACAGGAATGTATCTGTCCACTTACTATCAATTTCAATGCATTCTGACAGCACAGCCTGATTAGCTTCTCCAACTGATGTTGAACCATTGATGTCATTCACAGCAACCACTTGAAACAAGAATGGAGCCTGGCTACAGTCTACCTCCACTTCCATAGTTTGCTCTGTTGTCTTGAGCCAGTCATCCATGCTGTTGGCAAGGGTGGTGGTCAGTGATGACCTGACATGGGTGACAGGCTTGGGAGTTGATGGTTCTATGTGGCTGTAGGAAACCAAATAGTGGTCAATTGGGCCATTGGGATGGACAGGTGACTCCCAGCTCACTTTGACTTTGTTGGGATATAATAATGGTCGGACGTTCAAGTTTCCGGGCTGTTGAGGAACTGTCAAAGATACAACAAAATCGTATTTTTAGTACAGAAAAAAGCAACAGACAGCATACCCAAATCTAAATGCCTTCTGGCCCTTGTAATCTAAAACATACAAATGGTCCATTAAAAAACCTCTTACACAATGCCCACCTTTAATTCTAAATCAAAATTTATTAAACTACAATAAGCTTTAGGCCCTAATCTTTTTCTGACCATTGATGACCTTGGTTTGTTTTATTTATTCTCTTGCAAAACATACAATGCAAAATTATGATGTTACATTTTGTGCATGAATTTACTCTTCATTTTGTTTAAGGATGACTATCAATTAAAGTTGTTTAAAGATAAAGACCAGTTTTGGTCATGCGATTGCATTGTGAAAGAAACGTTGTGGAATCGATCAGAAAAGGTTGATCATCTAGCATATAAGTATTGGTGTGTACTAGGTTCTGGAATCATCAAAATAATAAGAAATTTTGCCCAGTTTTCGTAAAGTTACAAGCACTGTACACAGAAAGATAAATATGGAACTACGCACACGTGCGCGACACGTGCGTTTATCTCTCACAGTCCAATAGATAAACTAATTTACCAAATATATCAATTAATAGGCAGTTTTCACGGCAAATTGTTTATCATCATGTATTTATAGTCAAAACATATTCTTTCACATGATTGGTAATAAAGAGCTTCCATTTCATTTTTTGAAATTGGGGAGTGTTCCAATACTGGTCTTTACCTTTAAATCTTAGCAATAGAGTAATGAATATTGACAGAAACCTACCACCTATTTCTGTTTTCTGGTATACTTCATCAGAGGCAGCTCCACACTTGATGGTACAGGCTCTCACTCGAAGGGAATAGTGGACATAGCCATACAGTCCCTCCACCAGATAACTCTGGACTCCCCCAGCATAGAATTCCTGCTGATCTGTGGAAGCATGGCTCCTCACTAGGACTGAGTAATTTCGGATGATTCCATTTTTCAAGAGAGGGGGTGACCAGGTTAGTGCTATTGATGAAGCATTTGAACCTGTAATGCTTACATTCAGTGGCTGGCTTGGTGCTACAGAATATAGAATAAAAACAACTTAGGTAACAGAATAGCAAGGTGAATAGAGATAAACTAGTTACATGGATACAACAAAGACAATCACTTCATATACGCAGCAGATTCTAAATTAAAACTGTCAAGTTCTACTTCTTCCCGAATTGAAAAACAAATATAATGTAGATGCTGCTTGTAGGTATCGGCTTGCATGATGATGTAGATATGCTTGCGGATGCACCATGTGAGAGAGAGGGAGGATTGAGGAGTCTCCTCAAAGCACTATCCTTAGAACTATAAGCTAAGAAAGATAACCAATAGTCTTTTTCAAGACTACACCAACAGTCCTTTTCAGGACTACACACCCTCAAGAAAGATTACCTAGAGGTCCTTTTCAGGACTCCTCAATCCTCCCTCCCTCTCACATGGTGCATCCGCAAGCCTACTATATAAACATAATGTATTGGGTGATCTTGCGGCAGACTATTGAACCTATACACAAAAAACAATGAAAATTCACATTTCGACTTCATGCAAAAATGCTAATTTGTAGAACAAAAAATGTGTATCAGTATAAGGATTGTAAAGTGGAGTTTCTCAACATTGCAATTTCGTCAAATTCAATCATTTAACAAATCAAATATTCAGGAACAGTCTCTTTTTAATTCCGTATGACAGTGGAAATGTTTTACTCACTTCCTTCACTTGTATGTCCTGAAGATGGACATCTGTTTGTTGGCCCTTCTCCAATACGAGTGAATGCAGATATCCAGATGACATAGTGTGAGAAAGGATTCACACCAGTCAGCGTCACTGGCTTCTGGGTAGTCGTTGGAAATGTCGTAATTTGTCGCTTCACTGTCCCAAGAAAAAAATAACTTCATCATCTGGAACCATTATCATTTTTCACATTGCATAGTTTTATTCAATAAGTCTTTTGTTACAAGCATTTACAAATAGCTGAATTTGGGCACTCGCAAGACGTAACAGCTTACAGCCTTACAGATAACCAAAACAATTACTTCAAATCTCTTGTACTCAAAATCTTGCAAGGCGAATACCTGCGTTTTTGGTGGTAAGGATCTATTTACGAAGTATGTATTAATATAAAAGTATCCCAATCAGAAGTCCTTAGTCAGATTTGTTCGTTTTGTTTAAATCGTTTCTGCTGTATGAACTTACCAAGACAGTCTGAGATGTTCAGCTGACACAACGGACGTGAAAGACTCTCTTCCGCTACACGACAACTGTGTAGGTGGTGACCCATCACTTGCCCATGTGCCTCCTCTTCAGATACATCTATCCAGTTCACCAAGAGGCCGTTCGGGTTGTTCGTGATTGGCTCAACATTTACGTTCCTTGGTGATGCTTCAGGAACTAGGGAAAAAACACAATTTATGTTTATTGCATTATTCAACTGTTTTTCAAACGTCTTTAAATAAATTAATTAACAAATACAGGCACAATTCTTACATTCATCTAATTTGTCAAGGTACATAATTGTGTTTGTTGGAAACAATACAATCTAAACAGCCGTGTATCTGATCGTTTACATCTCAAGGCATACTTACTCCATTCTTCTGTTGTAGCCCGTTCCTCATTAGACCAACCACTGACCCCTATCTTATTGGTGACAGAGACCTTGAAGCTGTAGAGGACGTAGCCGTCCAGACCATCGACTACGTAGGACAGGTTGGATGAAGGAACTTCTTTGGATTGCCTGATGTGAAAAGATATGTAGAAGGAAAAAATTAAGTGTATTCCAAATATCTTTTCCCTCTTTACATCAAAATACCGGTAAGATAAATACAGAATATACAAGGAATACTTCCCTGGTTTATTGTTATAGGACAGGTTGGATGAAGGAACTTGTCTGGATTGCCTGATGTGAAAAGATGTTCAGTGTGTCCCAGAAAAAACGAAACCAGAAAACAAACGATTAAAGCGAGCAAATCATGAGATGTATGCAAATATTTCCTCGCTTTTCATAGAGTAGAAATGTAATGTAATTTCAGATTATATTTTGATTACATTAATCCATACACGCTTCACAGACCAACGTCGCTTTAAATTTAATAAAAGAATGCCAAATACATTTTGACACATTTTGGTAAAACTATGAAAAACGTTAGGAAAAGCAGCGAAAAGATAAAGTGTATTTCCTATATTTCTTCCCTATATTTCTTCCCTCTTACAAGCAAATCGTGATATATGCTTTTTAAATATCAGACATATATGATGTGTGCAATGATTTTTCACTGGTTTATTGAATAAAGTACATGCAGATACTTCAAGGGATGACTTCTTTGTAAGCTGTAGAGCACTTAAACAAAACTAAGCTCTGCATTAATATTTTAACCATTATTCTTATATGCTCTGAATAATTCGGTTTTGCTTCCTAAACTCGTAGACTCTGCTGAAAAATTTAAGGTGCTCTCACTAGCTCTTTTTAAAACTGATTTTATTTTATTATCTATTCCATTGGTGAATGATTCAGCAATAACTTCCAAGTGTTAGAATGATGGGAGCAGTGGGATATAAACCCACACCAGCTAAATATCATGCATACAATTTGAGAAAAAAATAACAAGTTGTATATGGAATTGACTATTTTGGGGGGCATTCTTATCTAAAAAAACAAGAGAGACCTTTTTACATCCCTAAAAAGCTTACATTCTCTCACTAGCTATTTCTCTTTACTTAGTTCGATTTATATAGGGTCGATCCAGGATGATTCGGTGATGATTTTTCAATTTGTATACCCCTCGTCTGCTAGTGCAGCAGAGGTGTATAAACCATGCTACCAAAGATTTGCATACCATGAAACTATCAAACTTCTAATTGTATCTGGAAATGACTTGTATTTCTTAGCCATTCTAGTTTTAAGTATTTTTTGGAAAAGAGACTTTGGTTTTCCTCTAAACAGTTTATCTTTCTCTTATAAGCTTTTTTCTTTTAAAACTGACTTTGATTCTTGTATGTTCAATAAGTTTGTGGAGTGATTTAGCAATAATTCTCAAGGTTTAAATTGGTGGCAGCGGTGGGATATAAACCTACACCATTGAAATGACCTGCAAATAAAATTCTCCAACACACTTTTCTCTGGGATTGACTCAAATTTCTTTGTCATTCTGGTAAAAAGAATTTTAAAGGACCTTGATTCCTGCTAACCAAGAGAAAATCTTCACTAGCTGTGTTTTTCTTTAACCACATTCAATTCTGTTATGTTGCATTTTAGGAAGATTCAGCCATAATTCTCAAGTACTAATCTGTGTAAACTTCAAAACAGGAAGATTGGATGTTGAACCATAAGATGACTTGCATATGAAGAAACCATAGTTGAATCTTGGACTAACTTGTAGTTATGTATATTAGAAAAAATAAATATGACTTTGATCTTGAAAATTATATTATTTCTTAATATATAGTTTAACAGTTTTGGGGAATAATCAACATTGTTTTGGAAAGAACAGATATTATTCTACCAAATAGGAGATATATATTTAGGGAAGAATGAGTTGGTTAACAATTTGTTTGAGATTTGTTTTGTATCGACTATTGAAGTAATCAATGAATGATGCACTAATAAACGAAAATTCATCACATTCTGTTAATGATTCTCTACAAGAAGAGATGAATGGTTAAATAATAAGAAGCTTTTAGTCTCACCCTTGATCTTGACCTCTAGCTTGTATCCAATGGACAGTGTAATGACTAATGTAACCCTGGATAGATGTTGGTTTATCCCAGGTCACCAAAACAGACTGGTGTGATAGTGTCTCCGCCTCAACACCACTGGGTGGCAATGGATCTGTAGGAGTGAAAATAGAGCAACAACGCATAAAGAAGAGATATCCTTAAGGAGTGTTATATTAACAATTGGGCTAATTTTTATGGGAGGTATACAGAATCTGTACAATTCTTTTACCGATTGTTTCAATGATATGGCTATCTTTGCTGTGAAACCCTGCATACATCGATTTTTGGTCTAAAGAAAGATTTGTGCTAGCGTGCATTGGTAAACATTTTAATTTTGGTGGATAATAGCTACAACATATTTAGACTTTCTATGTGTAAACATGCCACTTTGTTAAAGATTTCTTAGGAAAAGATGAGCTCCTAGATTGAAAAAATGCAGATAGTGAGTACGTAGCTGCTTATGACGCAAAGCATCAACATTGCATAAATCTGTAATGGAGAGACTTGGGCTTACTTGTTGTCATATCCTGGATCTCCTTGTTCAGAGAAGGTCCAGGCCCTTTGCTGTTGAATGCTGTAATGTTTACACCGTAGGAACAGAACCTCTTCAGTCCTGCAAAGTGGGGGTATCAGTATTCGTTTTGCTTTTGTGCTTGTTAAAAGGGCACAAACCAATCATTTTTCTAGGTGTTACTTCATACATTGTATGTTACAACAGCAAGTCCATGTCATAGAGGCATGAAGCATTCTTTTTGTAGGTGCTCCATCATACATGTGTATGTTAGAGCAACAGCTGCTCCAGGCTTTATTTCGTCACAGAAATAGGTTTTGGTTAATAATAATTAGTAATAATTTCTCCCTATTTTCACAAAGTGACGGTAGTGAATGAGAATCGCATACAATTTGTGTGCGGATTTTCCTCACTACCGTCACTTCGTGAAAACAGGAACGAATTATTACCATCATTATTACTATCTTTTTAAAATTATCATCATCATTATTGTTATTATTATTATTATTATAAATATTATTATCATTATTACTAATGTAGGATGAGTATAGTCAAGGGTTGATCTGAAGGATATGTTGAGTGTAGCGTATAGACAATTGATTAATTGTTTCTGGAGAATTTTGTGTAAAAGCTGTTTTGCAGCTGGTGGGAGTTTTAGAAGGGAGGCACACGGCCCCTCCCCCTACACATACACCAATCTACAAATGAGAACAATTGGCTACACTTTGATACAGGCTTGAAGTTTTCATTTAGTTTAAGATATTTTACAACCAAAAAAGAAGCAGAAACAGCTACACTTTCATACAGGCTTGAAGGCTTTTAGAAGTCATTATACTTCTGTCATGCTAAAACCTTTATTTTTCTTGAAAAATTTTCCAGGACATGGTGCCCCCTGCACAGAATTATGGATTCGTCAAAGGCAATTACTAGTGAGCTCTCCTTTTACTGAATATAATCCCATGTGTATTCAGAAGAGATAGATGATATGGTTGAGGTCAGGGCATTCGCTCCCCAAGAGTACTTGAATCCTAAGCTGAGCTTCCAATACAAAGTACATCAATTTAATATTAGATGAAATGAAACCGGCATGGTAAAGCATTTTGAACTACATGTAAGATTTATTTTGCCTATAAATATCTACAAAGCTTATTTAAAAGCATGTAATTTGGAGAAATCTCTTGTGAAAATGGATTTATCGGTAACACGGGTCATTGTAGTGACTTCATGTATACCTTCTGTGATGACTTGAGTACTGTTGACCGTTTCGTTGAAGATTTGCTGATCTAAACAATGTGAATGAGGGATAACTGTGACAGAATAGCCAAGTATAGGGCCTCTCTGCTCACGCTTTGACATCGTCTGAAATAAGGATGATAGCAAATACAAACTGATTTATCACTTCATCTCATCAAGATTGCCACTCTTAACCCAGGTGTAGTCAACAGGTACCTGGTAGAAAGGAATTCCTTGAAGTATCAGCCAGGGTATAAAGTACGTAAAGAAAGTTATCTTGATTATGTATATGTTATATAACACTAAATTACATTTACTAAACTAGTTTGATAATTATCTCAAAAATATGTACAAAAGCAAAGAAAGAGCCAATACATTCAAAATAACATGGAGATGTACAAGCACACATTATACATTTATTTTGATGACATCAATATGTTATCATGCATTTCATTGATGCTTAAAGGCCAGTTAGTAATATCAACAGATATTTGCAATGATTTGAGCCGAACTGGGTTCGGTAGAGGTTAGATATTGTTTGGCTTCCCAGAACGTCTTACCTGCCATGAAATGGAGACATTTCTTTCGTCATCACTTGTTCCGTTCAGGTCTAAGGTTCGTAGGTTCTTCACTCTTCCAGTAGGAACTATCAAAGATTCCATTGAAAGTTATTAAAAATCATTATTTCAAAATCATCAGTTATTAAAGTTCCAGATTAATCTGTACCAGAATTAAAATGGTTGCCAAGTAGCTCATCAAGACTGGAAATGGGGAATATTGCAAAGCGACTGTGTTGCACAAAGCAATCTATCCGTCATTATTTTGGTGCTCATTGTTTTGTGCCAAAATTGTAAGTGTCGCAAACGAGCAACCGTGCAGAGAGGGGGTGAAAGCAACAGAAGTGGTTAAGCCACTGATTCACATACATTCTGATGGCAGTTTTTAGTGCGATTATTAATCTTTTTGCTGTTAAAGCCACCTTGCTATGGTTATCTCTTACCTGCCTCATCAGTTCTGCCCTCTACGGGGTCGGACCAGTCCCCCCAAGCTCTTGTCGTGTGAAATTCATACCGACTGGCCACTTCCACCAAATAGTTAGTGTAAGGCTCCAGTGTACCGATATCACAGGGCGATGGTGGGCAGAGCATCTAGGGAGAATAAGTTTGTGGATCAAACAAATGACTATGAAAAAGAATTGTGATACACAAAGACATTGGGTGACTGTGTTAGGCATCATCCAACTCCAAAGAGACGCACACAGTAATAAAAGGCAATTAAACGGATTAGAAGAGGTAAAGTTATTTACGGCTGCCTTGGATACATACAGTTATAATGGATCATCATCTTTCATAACCATTTCAAGTTTCAAGTATAGTTTATTTCCACATGTGGTTCATAAAAAAACAAATATAAATACACGTCCAGACATATACAAAATGCAAAGTAACACACAAACAATACTATCAAGAGGAAAAATGAACAGTAATAATAATCTTTTAGTCCACTCCAAAACAAATGTACACGAACACAGAACAACTAAATAGATATTCAAAACAAAAACATATGGGGGAACCAGCAAAGGCCAGGGGCCTGTCGAGGCTGATCCCTAGTACAATAGGCATTTTCTATATTTATATATAAACAAAATATTAAAAAAACCCACAACAATATCACATTCATAAAAGTGAAAACAGTACATAACAAAACAAAATCAAGTTGGCAAATGTATCGGGCAAAAAATTTAAATTTTGTACCATTATAGATTTATCAATGTATATTGAAATGTATATACTTGTTTGTGTCATGAAGGGCCTCAACGAAAAGCAGTATTTGTTTGCTGATTGGGCTACCCTTCTTTTTAAAAATGTGTTATAAATAAATAAATAAATAAATAAATAAATAAAATCAATTCTTTTCATGTAAAATTTTCAGTATAGATTTACGGTTGAATGTAGAAAATGTGGGACTGTCCGCAATCTCTATTGGTATTAGATTCCAGCATTTTACGCTCGTGTATAATATTATTGTTTGTGAAAAACTATATTCATATAATGGCAATCTCAAATATTTTGAATTTCTCGTACAATGGCTATGAATTGCACATTTTGAACTAAAATAATAGTTAAAAGTATTTGGTAAAATGCTCTTAACATAGGAGTACATCAAAGTTGCTACTTGCAAACTTCATCATCGTCATCATTATAATCAACATGTTCAAGAACATACCGGCCCCAACCAGTTCTTAGGGTCATCTTGTGAGGCCCAACGAAGACGATATCTGAGCAGTTTATGAAACCCTTCTGCCCAATCTAACGGTAACTCCCAGGAGGCCTGGAGAACAGTCGAGCTCCTTGAAGTTAGAGTGAGCCTACTTGGAGGCAGAGGAATAGCTAAGAAGGAAGTAAATTAATTCTCTTAATTATATTATAACAATATAATTACATTTTAGGTGAATGATAATCGTCACAAAGAAATGAATTGGCTTTATATACCATTCCGGACATGTAAGTGTTGAAATTACAAAGTTTTGGTATGGGGTCATGAATTTGGTTCAAATTAATATATTGGAAGCATATGCGTTCCCTACAATATTCATTGATCGTTGTCGTGGTTGAAATCTAGTCCAAAGTTATGAAATTATAAATAATAAACTCTTTATGTTGTATAGTTCCCTCTCAAGGTCAAGATATTAATTTAGCTATGAAACAATGTTTCTTGAATAAAATCGAGGGATTAGCTATTCCCGTTTGGAAATTATATATCACAACTACATATTCTGAGATTTTCATGGTCGCAGCTACCATTGCACGGCCATAGAATTATTATTAGAATTTACCGGGAGCACCGGTAAATTTTTATATTCAATTTTTCTCGAAAACAGAAGTGTTTTAGGGGCTAATTTTTTTAGTGCTTATAATACATCCACAGGGGCATCCAAATATATCAAAATTGTAAAGATTCACTATCCACCCAATTTTCAAAATTTCCCAAAACTTTGTATTACTTTTAACAATAATCTGTCTTACGTCTTATTTCCATGAAAAAACGGTTGGGAAAATTTATAAAAATGGTTGGGAGAATTTACTGTTAGAGGGTGTCGCACAGTGACGCCTTCAAAGAAAACCATAATATGTTTGTGGTTTTAGAATTGTTTGTACAATGGAAGGCATATAGTAGGTAACATTTCATACAAAAATTACGCATCCACATTTTTCATCAACCTTCAACAATGTTACCGAGTCGCTTTAACACAGTCCATCACTCTTTGACACTCGATTTTATATCTGCTGCTTTGAAAACTCACTTGCAGTATCAGGATTAAATGATGATTTCGTTACAGCGTTGTCTCCCAAGTCATTGGATGAGATAACACGAACACGTTGAGTTTGTCCTAAATTATAATCTTCAGTTATCAGGCACCTGTTCGCAGACCTGTAGTCCGGGCAATTTGTCCAACGTTTTCGAAATCTGGAAAAGGTATGACCAATTAGCAAGATTTCACGTCTAAAGCAGAGGAAATTTAAGATGGCATTACAATGTTAACAGATAAGATCATTTAAAGGCATAGTATTTTACTTACATTACTTCAGATTGACATACTGCCATCTGCTGCTAATAACGTCTATATGTGTCGACAGTCATATCCCACAATGCATCGCCAACTAAAGACGCGCGCTTGCAAGATGCTTGCTACAGGAATTGGGAATCCCTCTATGAACACTTTCACTGAAAGGTGGCGCAATTGTAAATACATTACATCAGTGGGATCAATGTTGATAATGCCTTGTTTTTTTTTCAACTGTGAAAATGTGAACTGACATATTTTTTTTTTCCTGTTTGATCTTGATTTTTAAAAAAAAAGTTCTGCAATGAGGATGAATATAACTCTCAACAACAATAAAGGATTAGATTTTTTTAAAATCTTTTAAAAAGTATAAGGGATTGGTAAAAAACATGGATAATTAGTCCATTTTTCGTGAATTACCCTATAATATATTATGAAGATTTTGTTTCTATCCATTTTTTTTTACCAATTCATGCAGTGAAATGAACTATCAGGAATATGTGAGAGCAATTTCATATCAATAACCTAAAAACTTCCATGCATAATTGAAAGATTTATAAAATATGTCACATTTGCACTAAAACTGTGAATATATGATTTTGCTGTTTAAAGGAGTACATATATACTCTTATTGGGCATACCGGAATTAGATATTTTACGGAGGTATTCTTCAATGTATTATCTTTCAACTGGGCAAGAAGAAAAAAGAGAAAAAATCATCATAAATGACTTTTGGCACACTTTGGTTCCTCCGTGGCGGGGCGGCGGTAACCTAGTTGATTACTTTCAAGCAAGCACATGCATTTCTAACAGTCTGGTAAAACACACCAACCAACCAGCCAACCATTTGAAGAAAAGAAACAGGTGATCGAGCTGAGTATATTATAAATTTGTATTAAAACACACACACACACACACACACACACACACGCACACACGATACACACAGACACACACACACCCGAACTTGTGATTGGGTAAAACAAATATGAAAACACATTACTGATTATATAACGTCTAGAAAAATATGGGGAAGAACGGAGAAGCAAAACGGGTGATTATGTTTCGCTCTTGAGGAAGTTGTAATTAAAACAAATGGCATCTAATTTTAAAATATCGCTCACCGAAATTGAAATGTATGGGACTCATCGATGATGTGTGTAGGTACAGGATCCCACTCGCAGTAATATTCGATGACATTATGACTGGCGCAGTTTAGGGACAATGCAGCCCGTGGCTTATCTAAAGTAACAAAAAAAATTGTGCAAGTATAAATCAGGCAAATTTCTTAATACAACGGGCAAAACATATTTGTAACATAATGATCATTATTGTTTAAAGTAGGACTGTAAACACTACCATTAATATTAGTTATTTGGCACAGTACAGTAAATTGCTTATTATAAATAAAAAATAATGAAATACATTTGGTATAACCAAGGATTTTTAAGAGCTGGATACCGAACTGGCAAACAATTATTCCAAGCAGCTGCCGTTTGCTACGGTTGCACAATATAATCTGCTGGTGTGCTGTTGACTTTGACGTCCGAGGTGCAAAGCCGCCAATATTATTGGAAAGCTTGAGTAAAGATTTTTTTCACTAAGAAATATCCTTAATATTGTGTCAAGAAATTTGCTTACAATGTATGATAATAGCTTTAATTTGTGAAAAATTGATTTTTAAAAAAAAAATTTTTTACAGTCCTATAACCTGCAATTTGACACTTTTCCGATTACTTCCGGCTCACGAAAATAAAAAGTGAATTTGTTCATGAACAGCTCTTTATGATGTTATATGTTAGATAAGTGCCCACATATGCCCAGTCGAGTAATTATGATTAATAGTTCAGGAAATTTTGCTTCATTTCCTTTCGCTTGCTTCCTGTAAAGGTAAGCACTGTATTCTGCTCGTATTATCAGACGAGTGGTATAGCGAAAAGTATTTATCATTACAAAAGCATATTTCCCTTTCAAAGTGGCCCGTTAGTTTGCAGGCGGGAAGGAATCCTTTGTGTACGTATCTGCAAGGAAGGTCCAGTTAAGCACATGCCTGACATATTTTCTCCTGGCGGCATCGAAGATGGAACAAAGGAAATGAGCTAGATACGACTTCATTTGTTAAAAATCCTTGGTTTAACAAGGGGAGCCTAATCAGCTTCAACGCTGTTCTTCCTTTAAAGCCCATTTCACACCGGGACATGCGTAGATTCAGCCGAGGACGCAGGTTCGAAAATGAGTCACGTCTTTCGGATGGTGACGTTTAAAGGTCGGTCCCCAGACGTAAATAATCATATCTGATTGATACACGTCTGTAAAAAAAAAAAAAAAATACACACGCGCCATGCGTAGAGTTGCGTAGTGTTGTGTACCGACTACGCCGAGCGTACGCTGGCCTACGCTGGCCTACGTTATAATACGCTTAGGGACGCAAAGGGGTACACGAGATGGACGCACAAAGTTAAACATGTTTAATTTTTGCGTACTTTCGGCGTAGACAATAGACGCAGGAGGTACACATTTTGTACATCTATATTTTGTGCATCTGCCCGTGACGTGCAATCACCAGTATCTGGTTGTCGCGTTGTCGGCTACAAGGTTTGTAACGTCTAATGAGTCCAATTTGATTTTAAAAGTTTTCACATCGGGTGAGTTTCTGTACGCAAGTCTACGCAACACTACGCAATACTGGGAGGGGCATGCTCTATTTTTAACGCTGAAAATATATTTCATACTCACATCCGACTTGGACCACAGAACTCCTATATTCATCGACATCAGAGTCTTGGATGAGGGCACAGTGGTAGGTAGCCGAGTCTGCCAAGCTTGCATTCACAATGGAAATACTGGATGTCTGTAAACCAGGCATACAAATGGGAGAGAATGGGACACGAACAAGACAATGAACGCAAATTAATAAAGCAATTAAATTATAGGAAAAAATGGCAGTGGATGATTTTAAAAAGGAACGAAAAAGGAAAATAGGAAGGCTGAAGACCAGTAGAATGGAGAAAAATGAAGAGAGAAGAGGATATAAAACTGAAAGGCAAAAAAAGGTCAGCTACAGGCCAACAAAATATATGTTTTTTAACAGACAAAAGGGAGAATAAATTGTGAGGAAAACTAATTCAAGGAAAGTAGCAATACTAACATCGAGAACATGAGAGATATAGAGAGAGACAGGAAGGAAATAAGAGAAAGAAGAGAGAGAGAGAGTGTGTGTGAGGGAGGGAGCGATCCGAGGGATCCAAAGGCTAAGAAAAGACAATAAAAAGAAATAAAAAAAGAATTGAAGGGAGTCGGAGCAAAAGCGAGGAAGATATAAAAGGGGACAAAAACGAAAGAGAAAGAGAGAACGAGAGAGATTATAGATAGAGGGTGAGTGGAAGTGAGAGATAGAGATCGAGAGAGAAAGAGAAAAAGAGAGAAAACGAGACAGGTTTATAGCTATTATAAGGGGGATTATTTTCTTTTCAGACTTGAAGTCTTTAATGTTGAACTGACAGACATTGTACTTACCGTGTCATTAAATATATGATAATCTTCAACAGGAATAATGGTTTGGTCTTTGTACCACACGATGTCAGTCGATGTCGGCCTCTCTCTCTCAGCTCTACTATCATTCCTCAGGAGACATGTGATGTTCAGATCTGTCCCAACTTCAATGATACCACTTTCAGGGGAAATATCCGCTATGAAGAGAAAACTAAATTATGGCAAACCCTTTCATGACAGTAATTCCACATTTTGTGTTTTGGCTTAATAAATCTTGATTCAGAGCCTTAACAAAATATACCAGCGGATTGAGAAGAGAGGGCAAACAAAATCTCAAAAACTGCCTCTATATTTAGTTGAATGACCATATTGTGTTTGATGCCAGCAATCTTAAAAAGAAATATATCAGCGGCATGAGAAGAGAGGGCAAATAAATCTCACACACTGCCTTCATTTTTAGTTGAATGACCATATGGGCCCGCATTCACAAAGGAGGTTGGTCGACAAACCGAGGTTTATCGCGTTTTTTTACAAACCTGGTTTGTAAATAAAAAAGGAGGTTTGTCGAAACAAAAGGAGATTTGTCGACAAACCTCCTTCGTGAATTCGGGCCATTGTGTTTGATGCCAGCGATCTTAAAAGGGAAAACAAGCCTTAAAATCCTTAAATTAGCAACACATGAAAGGTTCAAACTCATCATTTTTGGATCACAAATGGTAATTTTTCAAAATTTCGACAAAGTTTCCATCCATGTTTATTGTTTTCTGAGACATTCACTTTTATTAGAACAATGTAGCAATAAGAGAAAATAATTTTGTTGCTAATTTGAAGAACGAACATATAATAAATTTAGGCCTTCAACGAAATCCTGCCCTTTAAGAGTAATCTGGGGGTATGTTCACCATTTTTTGATAATTTTACTTTGTGTATATAATTTTTTACTATTGTTATCTATCTGATTGTATTTTTGATTTAATGACGACATTTTGACAGTGAATAAATTTTCAGCAATGTCCATAAAATGGGCATTCCTATTCTATCTTTTGGGGGCATGTAGGCCCTACTGTCTTTTAATTCAAACAGTTCACAAAAGTTTCTGCATCACCCTAACTGTTTCAACTGAAATTCTACCCATTCCCGATCCCCAATGCACGGCCAATTGCAGCAACCGTTTCCCTTTAAAGGTAAAGACCAGTATTGGAAACGCCCCAATTTCAAAAAATGAAATGGAAGCTCTCATTACCAATCATGTGAAAGAATATGTTTTGACTAATACATGACGATAAAAAATTTGCCGGGAAACCGCCTACTAATTCATATATTTGGTAAATTTGTTTCTCTCATGGTCTGTGAGAGATATAGGGTAGTCCCATATACATCTTTCTGTGTATATTGCTTGTAACTTTACGAAGAATGGGCCAAATTTCTTATCATTTTGATGATTCCAGAACCTTGCAGATGCTAGATGCTAGATGATCAACCTTTTCTGATCGATTCCACAACGTTTCTTTCACAATGCAATCGCATGACCATAACTGGTCTTTACCTTTAATCAGGGTCAACTTGGAAAAAGTGAAAGTATATACTTGAAGTAGATAATACCTAGTCACTTAAATCAGATATGGCCACTGTACGAAAGGTTAACAATTATCCAGCATTTCCTTTCAGGAAGGAGTTGATTTCCAGTTCAAAACTAAACTAATTTTTAATAAATATATTTTTCGTAAGAAAAATAGCATTAAAGTTAGGAACTGATCTTATGAAGTGGAGAAATAGTTTATACATGAAATTTACAACAAGAATTAAATTTCCTCATACATCTGAGATAAAAATGATTGGTTAGAAACGTAAATGAAATTCATGAGTTGCCATCGTCAACGATAACTGCTCCCTTACACATGTACATGTGTAAGGGAGCATACTATTAATGACTAATATCAATTGATGATAATGACAGATGACGAGGATTATTCACTTATATGAAATATGCTTGAACAAATAATGCAAAAAATAAGGTTTAATACTGCATTGATTATTTATTTGGGATTAATTTTCCTATTAAGTATACCAACAAATAAAGCCATACTAATGCTTTTCGTCTTGCACTCATCGGGGTACATTGTAAGAATGAACATCAGACAACTTAAAGTTTCCAATGAAGACTGGTCGAATGTTTTCTTTTCCTTTACACTGTAGAAACTGTCATTATCCAAGAGCCTTTTTACATCGAAACGAACAATTGGATGTAATTTCATTAAGCACATACAGGTGGGCCCGAAAGTTTACATACACCTGGAAGAAAAACATTTTACTCACAGTTTGACAACTGCACTCATTCTATCAGGAGTCATACATTTATACCCATGTAAACGTCTTAGACTGAGCATAACTGGTGTGTATACATGTAGTAAATACATTAAACAAAGCACAAACTTGTCCATCTTCCTGCAGTGAAAAGTTGGCAGGGAATGAGTGAAATTTTGATGATATTGCTTTTCTACTAGGTGTACGTAAACTTCCGGGGGGGGGGGCCTACCGTGTTATTTTCTTTCATGTTGTGACGATTCCGACTATCAAATAGTTTAATACTGAATTGAAGTGTTTGCTGCTGAAAATTCAATTATGACTGATCAACTTTCATTAAAGGCCAGGTTGTAATAATCCTAATAATGAGCCAATTAATTATGTTGATTCTGAATTAGGTATGTTAGATGCTGCTTAAAAGTATCGGCTTGCATGGTGATGTAGATATATATATAGAGAAGGTTTGCGGTTGCACCATGTTATAAGACCAGTTCACGGTTAGCACATTACTGCAATGACCCCGAATATCCACAGATCTTCACAACATGAAGAGGTCCCACTTTGAAATAATCACTCCAACAGCGATGGAGGTGCTACATAAATAGCCTTTGTTCCCCATTTTTAAAGAATACTTCCACCTGTGTATCATGGAGTGCATAAATGAATAATGATTACATAACTTTCATGAGCACGTATCCAGTATTTCGTCTTCGTGTATTTCACAATTTGTTCTGCAATGACCTTTATCTGCTCATGCTCAGACTGTAAACGTGAACTGGCTTAAAAAAGGACTCTCGGTATTCTTTCTTTCTTGAGTGTGTGTAGTCCTGAAAAGGACTGCTGGTGTAGTCTTGAAAAAGACTGTTGATAATCTTTCTTAGCTTATAGTTCTAAGGAGAACTATAGCGCCGGTTGGAGAGGAGCCCTAGCACCCATCCTCTCCAACCGGCGCTATAGATGTCCTTAGAACTATAAGCTAAGAAAGATAACCAACAGTCTTTTTCAAGACTACATCAACAGTCCTTTTTTGGACTTCCCAATCCTCCCCCTCCCTCACATGGTGCAACCGCAAGCCTTCTGTATAGGTATATGTGGTTTCATTTCATCAGGTATCATTGCGGGGAAATTCCCTCCAAGTCATCCTACACTTTAAAGTGTAAAGTTTAATGATAGGTGCTTCCTATTTAAAAGGAAGTCTTGCACTGAAGTCCAGAAATAGTGTGTTTATTCAAGAATCTATTTTTTGTTAATTTAAGAAACATTTTGTTTATTCAAGTATCATAGACTCTAAGTACCCCATACCTTCATATCTTTTCCTTCTCAAAGTTAACTGGTTACAAAAGAAAATGAAATAATACATTTCAGGCATTAAGGTCATTCTCATACCCTTTTCTTTCACGTGAAAATCAACACTTCTGCAATATTCATAATGTCATATTATGTTGAAAGTAATTGGGCGTAGTTTTATTGATTTTAATACAAAAAGAATGTATATTTTATATTCATCAATCTGGCAAAACTGGGACTACAAGTAGCTTAAAGTAGGTCTATCGGGGAATTTTAAAGACAAAAATATTGAATATCTGAAATCAAAATAAATAAAACACTTTCAACAATTTTCACTCACTCGATAAGCTTTTAACGACTCGAATGGTTGAAAATAGCTTTCTTTCCTCAATTTCGACCTTAATCAAATCCCCTTTTACAATAATTCAATTATTTTCTTAATAAAATATGCCATAAGTCTTACAAGTAATCAAATACTATTGTATATTTCTTGAAACTTAATGAAACGGCGTTACATTGATGAATGTTTCAAACCCCTGTCCGATGAAATATTTAATAGTAGGGCGTGTCATTTGCCCATTTGTCAAAGCGATGGGCTACCCTATTCATACATGTTTATTTGAACAATAAAGAATTTTCTAGAAAATTCACGCAGGGTTGGTGTGAAAAAACATAAGTTGCAATGATTTGATATGTACATGGATATACTTTTCTTTGTTGTTTTATCTTAAAATCTTTATCTTGTTCTATACGGACACTCTGAAGAAAAGTCTCCAGCTAAAGTGTGTAACCGTAGTGAAAAAAAAAAATCTTCAGAAAAAATGAACAAAATATGATTTTAAGTGCAAAGCAAACGGGAGAGGGAACTGAATGATACATCACATAGTTATACATTTGTTTTAAAACTCATACCTTCCTTCATTTTATTGAGATTTTGTCCACACTTGCCATTACAACCAACAAAATATCAGGGCGACTTCACCTTTTAGTAAATAATTATTATCTATGTTTTAATAATAATCAGCGGTGTGTATTTCATTTTAAAATATATATATTAATACAGTTCTAGCATAACCATTGCCCGTATTTTTCCATTTGTGTAAGTGACTATAGTTCATTCTATTTTGGTTTATTTCCTGAAACTATATATTGTAAGCTTTCCAATGATATTGTTTGATATAAGAGAACACACATGAATATCACGTTTTACTAAGATCAATGTAGTACTATAAATCTATTCAGAAGAAAAAAAAAATCATTATTCCCCCCGCCCCCCCCCCCCCCCCCATTCTTGTGTAAGATTTGCAAATTAAGGATTGTTTTCAGTTATTGAGACATACTCTTGCAGCAAAACAAATCCGGTAGTATAATACCCATTTTAGGTAAATAAACATGCAGTTGAATAAACTTTGGATGTGTTAAATTTGTTAAAGCCTGTATCATAAAGAGTTGCGACTGATTCTAATCAATCGCAACTCTTTATAAGACAGGGCCCTAGCTCTTACTAAAAATCCGACCGGGGAACTTAAATGACGTCTAACAAAATAAAAGATTAAACCTCAGAATAATTTCCTTTGTTACATCCGATTTTAACAGTGCCAATATCCCGGGTGGGTATAATATGGGAGATAAAGTCAACATAAACACACTTTCAAAGGAAATAGTTTTTGAAAATAATTACCTTGGATCCCGAACACTGGTTGCCATGGCACAAAGGTCAAAAGGAGGAAGATCATTTGAAGATACGCCCACAATCGAGGAAGATGGTGCATGTGGTACACGGAGATGGTTTCCATGCTAGTACAAGTAGCCCTGAAAGTAATCAACTTATGCCTGACTGGCATAGGTCAATGCGCGATTCCAGTAACAAGAGAAGCTTCCCTTACAACCACCAGTTGTTCAGCATGCCTAGCATCACTGAGTGACAATCCCTCTTCTCTGATTGGTCAAAGCTCCATCTACAGGGGGCATCTTGGCGTCTGATTGGTCAGTGGGCAATCCGGCTTTTAAAGGAAGTTGGAGTTTTTTCCCCTTAACAATGCAGCAGAGCAAAGCGCTGAGTGTCATCGGGAGAGAGAAAAAAAATAATTTGTGTACAATTTTGCTTGGTCTGTAACTGCTACTCCATTTCTACTATTTAATAAACAAATAACAAAAAAAAAAAAAAAAAAAAAAAAAAATTGTATTTAAAGTACAAGTTGAGAAACCAGTACAATATTTTATGACATAGAACCCCTTTGAAATTTCTCTTCAATTAAATTTGAATTATTGTTATTAAAAATCAACTTGAAGTATCCCTCACTAAAAATTGATCACTTTTCAGAAAACTTGGATAAGAAGTTATGTTAAAAATGTCAATCTTGAGGGAATGTTTTAACCTGATTTTATTAAAGTTTTCAATTGGACACTCATCCCAATATCTTTTCTTTTAAAAAGCAAATCCTCACAATCTAGAGGAAGTGTTTAATTCACTGTGTATTCAGATTTTGCAAACTACTTCTATTCTGGAAATTCAAAATCATAGAAAACAAATGTATCAAATTTCTTTGATATTGATTCTTGAAAATTATGAAAATTTTTATTTGGAAAGATTTGTTTAGATTTCTAAACATAGACTTACAGCTTTTTTTTGTATCCTCAGTAAATTCTGGGAATGAAACTGTTATATGAAAATGAAATTAATTATAATTCCAAAACAACTGAAAGTAATTTTCATTAACCATTAATTACATTACAAAAGCCTTTTGTGATTATATAATTACGAGATATTCCAGTGAAATTGGTTGCATGTCTCTACAATTCCTGTTAACATGAGGTTTTATTAAAAACAGAAACTTCAGCGGCAGCTAAATTAAAAAATCCCTCATTCTAGTTTCTGACATCCTACCACTCCTGCTCATTATCCATTTTTTCTTTAATCTGCCTTTATTTCGGTCTGTATTTATTTACAAAATTCGTGAGGGCAGGCTCGGTGAATATATCCTATCGAATTTGGATTTATGCTGGTATTGTGAGATGTAATGTAAAATATGAATATTTCTACTTGAAAATTGAAAATCGTGTTTCCGAATTTCCATAATTCGTCCTTGTTTTCACGAAGTGACGGTAGTGAGGAAAATCGTAATGCAAATTGAATGCAATTTTTTTCACTACCGTCACTTCGTGAAAACAGCGACGAATTCTTCTAATTCCAAAAGATTTTTGAGCAAACAGAAGGCCTACACATTACATAAGTTTTTTTAGGTTGAAGATATTTTTGAAAATTGAAATAAATTCGTGAGGATTTTCACAATTAGAGGTTAGGTGTCGTGGCTTAGTGGATGTATAACCGGACTGTGGATCACATGGTTTGCGGTTCGAGTCCCGCCGCGGCACTAACGTCCTTTGGCAAGACATTACTCAACGTTTGCCACTCTCTACCCATGTGTTAAACGGATGTTTTTCACCTCTCCCCAGAACTCCACCTTCTCTTTAAGTGCAATAAATACATTTTTAGAACCAACATCAGTAAGATGATGTTTGATTAGATTTCCATGTGTAATAAAATTGCCATTTAATCTTTAAAAAAGCCGGATCATCGTAGGTGGATTATATCACGTGCGCTGGGCTTAAAATTGATTATAGAAATTCATCATTTTGGACAGGTTGCCAGAATAATCTTTGTCCTGGTACTAGTATACTTCACCTCGTAGTACCAATCAAACGAAAATAGAAATAGTATTTGTTTACATAGTCTAAAATGCCAAATAAGATCCTGCTTATTAGTTACCTGGAATATATTACAAGGTTCAAACTGTAACGTATTTGCTTTTAATAAAAACAGAAAAAAGGAGAGAAACAAACTAGCGAAAGTGTGAGTAATATCCGATTAAAAAATAGAAATGTTATGAATTTTTGAAATTGACATCAGTGGAACCCAAATTGGCAACACCGTGACTGTGACGTATCTTGCGAGTTCCCATCCAATTTGCTGTGTACAGAACATTTCATAAACATTAATTTTCTTAGTTTTTGAAGAAGGGATAGATTTGTTTTATAGACAGGGATTGTATGAAAACATATCTTCAATAATTATTTAGGAAGAATGAAAGCAATTACTATTTAGGGTGGATGAATGATTGAACATGTGGGAAAATATAAGTTTTCAATTTATTTTGTTTAGTACTCGGCAATGGGATGGGATCTCGCAAGATACGTCACAGAGTTGCCAATTTTTGTTTGTAATATCCTCCTTGGTTTGATTGATCGCACCAATAATTTATATCTTTCTTTTTTTCCAATCGGTTTTTGCTCAAATTCTCATGTTTCTCTCTCTTTTTTGTTGTTGTTGCTTCTATTTGAACAAACCTTTTAAAGATAAACTTGAGTTCTGGTAATGCGATTGCATTGTGAAAGAAAAGGTGTGGAATGGATCAGAAAAGTTGATCATATAGCATGTAAGTTATGGTGTGTAATGCAAGGTTCTGGAGTCATCAAAATCATCATAAATTTGGCAGAGTCTTGGTAAAGTAACAATCACTTACAACAGAAAGATGTATATGGGACAACACATATGGTATTGGGGCTAGTACTACCCTGATTTCCTTATCTTTCTATGCTCATTACTCAGCCAGTATACATTTTCTTCCAAAATTGTTTGGCACATGAGATTTATTTGTAATCTTGAACATTCAGTGTAAGTTTCGTGAGATTCTGTGAGAATTCATTTTCTTTTTTTTTACCAGAACTCAAGTTTATCTTTAACAGGATGGAATGCCTTTGTGTATATATCACCAACATTGAAAAGACTTCCCTCCACTGAAAAGGATTATTGCCAATTGAGTGAAGAGTAATTTGCTCCTTTTCTATTCGTTTGTTTTGGGAGACCGTTTGGAAACTGTTTAGTGAATGATATAAGGAGAAAGTGTAAATGGTGTCAATATCAATTGACCATATTCGCGTTACCAGAACTCACCTTTATCTTTAACCCTAAAAAGGCCGGGCTATTTGAGGTCTTGTTACGGACGGGGGGGGGGGGGGGGGGGGGGCATTATGGCCCCCTAAGATCTCGGCCGCGAAAATTTGCACGCATGTCAAGTGAAGTGTATAGAATACTATGGCAATTCAAAATTCACTCATTTGCATATTTATTGTAATTTATGCAAATAAGGCCATAAAATTCATCTTTTTACCCATAAATCATATATTCTTTAAGCATTCTTTTCACTACATGTATTCATTAGACCATTTGAAACTATAATACGACAAAAAATTTGGAAGAGCTAGGGTATTCCTTATGTTATCTCTTGTTTTGATAATTTCACATGTATTTCATTGTTTTTTCAACTTTTTAATTGTTTTAAATTTTAAATTTTTATATTTCTAACAACAATTCAACTATTTTGACTCCCAAAACAAACACCTAAACTTTAAACAAGACCCAATAACGAATGTTTTATCTCTTTTTAGGAAAAATGACATTTCCATATTTTTGGTACACAAATCACAAAAATGAACGGTTTTCGGGCTGACATGCAAAGACAAAAGGCCTCGTGACCTTGTAACTGTACCCCCGATTTAAAAAAAAAATTGTTTTAAGAGATACGCAAGAATCTAAAGAAAAAGTTAGCGAGCGGCTGGGCGCCATCCGTATGTGTTCCCGAACAATCAGAACAATCAGAACAATCGCGGAGGGGGGGGGGGGGGGGGGGGTTAGAATATGTATGTAGGCTTCCCCAATTTTTTGTCAAAACAGAATGCTAAGTACCGATTTCCTTCCACTCAGTAGTTTATTGCGCCAGCTGCCTCGCTCAGGGTTGTGCACAACTTGGTTTCATTTTCCTCAGCATGAGTATACTGCTAATATTGTATTATTATTCCCTTGTATTCACACTATACTTTCATACATTTACTATTTTCAGGCTAAAACACTGGAATCCCTCAAACAAATTCATATCCAAACAAAAAGTCTGACTGCTTCGGAAGCGAACTTGTTGGACTTTTCTTGTCACTTTTCATTTTCTCTCTTTTTCTCTGTCTCCATTTTTTCTCTTTCTTTCTTTTTACACCTTCTCTTCCTTTCTCTCATTCACTCATTCACGTTCAGGCTCACAATCATGCTGTGTTTCTCACCTCTCTCTCCTCAAACTATTCAGTCATCGATTAATTTACCCAACTGATTTGTGGTTTCTACAACACTCGTTCTGTTTAGAGTACAACAAAATTGCCATACTCATTTGTTCACTGTCTGCTTACCTTACGGCTTGGACTCAAATAGATAGCAAATCAGTCTATTCCGTTCGTGGATATGTTCCTCTGCGACTACGTCTGGCTTCACGGATTGTCCAGCGTATAGAGCTTCAATTGTGTACGTTAACAACTCCTCCAAGTCTAAGATTTAAACAGAGTGTGCCTTGGCTGCAGTTATATATATCATAACCTAGGCCGCGCTGAGCTCCTCCCTCCCGGACAGGTTGCTCTGCTTTCGACACGGCACGATGTTGCTCAGTTGTCTGCAGACAACTCGAAAACAAACAAAATTGTTCAGGAACCCTCGATGAAGATGTCACAAATGAGTCCAGCTGAAATATCTAGTCTGTTCATCACAGGATCTACATCAACGACCAATAGCGCAGGCAACATTTAAGACAAATAGAGTTATAATCACTAACGATTAATTCTTTATTGGCGGAGACGTATGACCCGCAACTCCGCGAGCACATGTAGTTGAGCCGAAATGATGAGATGGAAGTGTGCGCAAATGGGGATATCCCCTAAAATGTTTCCATGCGGCGCGCGAGCGGATGATGAAATTGCTTAGAACGTCATTGGTCCTACTGAATATTTGTACCGGTATGTAGAGGAGACGATTGTCTATCCATAGTACTGATCTACAGCCTTCATGCCTTAATTCTGGGTCAATGAAATGAAATTGCCAAGTATACTGTGTACATACAAGAGTTAAGTGTAACCAGGGACGTGATAGAGAAGGACTGGAATCAAGCCGCTCTCCTTTGACCCCATGCTCCAAGCCGCCGAAAAGTTATGCGCTAATCTGCAACTGCTGACCAGGTGGTGAGATAAAAGAGCGCATGAATTTCAGGATTTAGAATTCCTACATCAGAAAATGGTATCACAGCAACTGTTCGCTGTCCCTATCAATGATTTCTCATTCATTGTTGAATGTGTAAAGAGTAGAACAAGCGAACACAAACTTGTGTAATTTCATCCTTTTTTTTAACTTCAAAAATACAAAAAAACACGCAAAAACACGCATAAGCAAACTTAATGTTATTAAAGATTGTAAATCATCGATTAAATAACGGGACATTAAAACATGCACAAATTAGCGCATTATCCTAAACTATTGGGTTTTTGTCAGGATGTAATTTTTCTTTTACCAACTCTGGCACACAAATTATAGGAAGGACGGAGTTCTAAATTTGGAAATGTGTTTGATGCACTATTTCCAATACAATCCCCATATAATTTTTTTGGTTTACACTGAAATTTTGCCGGTAATTTAATATTTTGTAATAAATGTAAAACTGGTGCCTGGCTTGCGAAAGTCCCCGCAGTGGAAGCGCGGTTCGGACTTCGGAGCATGGAACTTCAAACTGCCAAGTGGAATGTTACACATCCCATTGTTACGCATTAGAACTCACGAATGCGTTGAATAAATTACAAGAGTTTCGCCGGCTTGATTCCAGTCCTCACTATGAATATGACGGACAAAGAAAGCGGACAAAATATACAGTTCCTCAGGTAGACAAAGAACATCCCTTCACTGCTATTATGTAAAAATATGTAGAACAGGTGAATATGCATGTGACGCCTTTTCTACACATTTTTACATAATAGCAGTGAAGAGCTGTTCCTTTGTCTACCTGAGGAACTGTATATTTTGTACTGTTTCTTTGTCCATCATATTCATAGTGACATTCGGTACATTGGATTGTTAAAGACCCTTTCCGATGAAAACACAACTTGATATAAATGGAAAACTGAACGAATGATGAATACAGAATACAAATATAAAGGACAAAAGTATTTACCATTTCATTATTGCACAAAAGCAAATTCAAACCTCATTTTCCGCATCCCTCCAAATTACGGGTCAACAGTGGTCAAATTTGCCGAAGTTACAGTGATGACATAACATGTGGACCCGACCGGTTCACCTATATAGCTGAAGCGATGAGCCGTGCTTAATCAATGCAAAGTCATTGTGAATATGCATCCTCCACATAAGATGATGTCATGAAGTCGATAGCAAGTCTTTAGGTCGTCAACTTCTGATTTTCAAAGCTTTAGATTTTGAGTTTCAGAGGGCTGATACTCTTCTGACAGACACTAAACTGGTTTATAATTGATATTATTGTAGTCTACGGCTTATAAGTTTAACGTTCATATATTTCATCCATTTCATTTCATGTTCAAATTCGGATATGGTCTTTAATACCTGAAATGTGGAAACGTCTACGAGACAGAAGTCGGTGTCGAATATCGTAGCCATTAGAAATAAACGCAGTTGAAAAGTAATGTGAAGTATCCTCTACAAGGGTTATTTTAGTTGTTCTTCTTCCTCCATAGAAACAAGATACCACCATAGAGGTTACACGCCGACATGGGCAAAAAAGGTGAAGGGGGACAGGGGTATCGCCCCCACGATTTGGACAAAGTATTATGACCGTTTTTTTCTTTATTATTACTGCCTCCTCCTGAAAATAAAACAAAATCAAATCGATGATGCATGTCCTATTTAGTGTTCGAAATTAAGATTAAGTGACCCCAAAAGATATAATGACATTACATTCCCCCTATTTGGTCCGTCATAGAAATGTGTAGGTACAAAGAATTATGTCCTTTACGTTTTAAGAGTGATATCCGCCGAAGCATCCTGCCGAAGTTTCGAAAGGTCAACACGGAATTTAACAATGATGCTACCTACCACGCGTGCCTACGAAAGCTGATTACTGCCAATAAAAGATTTTTTTTTTTTTTTTTTTTAATTTTTAATTTTTTTTTTTAGATAAATATCTTGTTGTTTATGTTTTTGGGGAAAAATATATTTTTAAAAAGTTTTCTGGGATTTTTCTACTTCTAAATCAAGTAACACTGTACTAAATATAGTAACACATCGTTTTTAAATGACGTTTGATATAGACAACCTCGTATATGCATGAGTGGCAAGGCGTACGCAGGGGGCGGAAATATGTTAAATATTTGAGGGAACAAGCGAGCGAGGGAGCAAAGCGACCGAGCAGGAGCTTTTGTATTTTGAGAACTGAAATTGAACGATCTGGTGCACTATAATTTAACGTGCACGGCGCGCGGACAGGATATTTTTTTCCCGAAAAACAAAGTAGATCAATGCATAATTTAATAAAAAAAATTATTTCCAAAAAACAAAATAATAATTTTCTTTTCTCCAGAAAACCTAACCAAAATTTTCCCGAAGACAAAGAATTTTTTTTTCCAGGAAAAATAAATGTTCTCTAAAAAACATTTTTTTCAGTGGCTGTAATGGTCTTTAATACGTGCCTCTTCCTTACGATTCTAACCGATCTATCGTCATGTTTCCGATTAAATTTTTGACAAAAATGAGGTAGCAATAATCACCAATAAAAATTGAATACAGTATTTCGGAGAGGAACTATAGGCATAAGGAGAATGAACTTTTCAGAAGCAGTTTAGGGGTAAACAGGATTCGATATCTAATTTCTGATGGTTTTAGTTTTTGGTGCCGTTCTTTGTTATCATTGTTGATGATGTAAGATTCTTAATGATTCGCCTTTCGTTTTCTGAAGAAAAAGTATCCAAACATGAAGTAGGTAAACGGTTTACTGTAATAATAGCGTGCTCATTTCGAAAACGAAAGTGTAAGAGTATCTAATTATAGTTTCTTTAAGTTTCCCACACGAATAAATAATGAATAATTTGCCTACGCCATGGAAAACTTTAATACAGTTTCATCATGAAATACAATTTTAAAAAAGCATTCCAACCCTTGTAGAAGTTCATTTGTATAAAACGCATTACAAAAAAGAGAAACAGGATGGTGAAAGATTGACAAAAATGGGTCCAATAAAAGTGTTATTAATGTTTGAAGTATGAGATCTCTAAATCTATATGAATCTCAAATTGGCAGTTTGGTCAGTGGATAGTAAAGTAGTCACGGAGAAACTCGCTCGTTTACAAAAACGTCATCAATTTCTGTTTTTTTCTCCTGAGTGCCTTCTCCTTTAGGGCACTATTCAAAATATATTTTGGGTAACGTTTTATTATAGGGCGTTTTAAAAGAAAAGACTCCCCTGATTAAAAAAATAAGACAGATTTACATTATATTCATTTTGTGTGCTGAAACATAATAATTTGAAAGTTTTCCGGCACCACGTCACAGTGGGATGACCGATTGCCAAATTGAAGTGCCCAAATATGTATAGCCATTGCAACATTTAAACAAAAACCCATAACTTTCTCATTGTCTGTCCGATTTTTTGTTTAAACTTTCACCAGTTTGCTTCTCTGATGATATTGATTTCTTTCAGAGTAGTTGCATATCAAGGTTTGATCTTGCTTTTGACAAAATAATGGTGTTTATCAGGCCTTAGGTATAGATACCTCCAAACACACCCACTGAAACACACGGAAACGTATCTATTTTTCATTAACTGGGAGCGGTAATTTAAGGCATTTGTTATTACAGTCTTACCTGAAATCGTAAGTATTTTGAGTATAATTGATGGTGATAAACTTCTATTTCAAATTTGATACTACTAACAGGATGTGAGAACCAGGTCACAACAAGGAAATATGTTTCATTTACAATTGCGGAAGATAAATATCATATCTTGTATATCAATAAATTGTGGTCTTTTAACAGTAAATCATAAAGCTCCATATAAACATTATTCCGTATTAGTGTGTAAATGAAATAAAAAGAAGTTATTTTAATATTGCTTACCTGGATATCGATCAGTTATCTATGTTTATGACTTTTCTCCCTCTCAATCATCTCTCTTTCTCAGCCACTCACTCTTCCTCTCTTTCTCTCTCTCTCTCTCTATGGCAATTTTTGTTTCTCTCTCTCTCTCTTAAAAAAAGTGCTACCTACCATTGCATCAATCATGTATTTCTCCAAAAATAATCAATGGCGTATACTTAATGTTATTTTCAGAGCACATTCTATAACTCTTGCATTTGTGCAGTTGAAAGAATTTCAAAAGTAGGCACTTTAAATGCCGCGGCAGCCATTCTCGCGAGTAAAAGTAAAACGATGAAATCTCAAAGGTTACGATAGCAACAACAAGATGTGGTAATGACCGGTCATTACCACTGGGTAATGACCGGTCGTTACCCAAATTACGCGTTAGGCAAAATAAATGCCTGGTCACGTGTATGCTTTCAATCAATCATTTGATTAGGATCTACGTCATCATTTTATAAAAATAATCAATGGCGTATACTTAATGTTATTTTCAGAGCACATTCTATAATTCCGATTTGAAGTATAACGTATTGAAAAAATGATTGTTGTAATTACAAGTATGAAGAGAAATAACTATAATCATACTGACAGTCACATTTGTATAGATCGTACTACGTTTCTCAACGCTTTACATTGTAATCAATAATCATTGTTATTATTACCCGGTTATAGGATTCAGTTGCTATTCTACACATGATTTCGTACACGCTCCGCTCCCCGGGGAGTATAAAAAAAGCTGGTTGCATTTTTGTGTATATAGATAGATGGGGAGTGAAAAATACACACATTAACAGGCTCATTTTATACTTGATGCGACAACATTTTATTTCTCTCTCTTAGCGTGCAAGAAAACAATATCTACAGAAAAGCAACACATAGTATTAGGAGCTTAGGAGTTAGGAGTATTATAGCGACGCCCATATACATAGGAAGCGGTTACAAGATTAAACAAAAAAGTTCAGTCTCACAACTAGACTCACAACTGTTCTGATACCTAGCTGGGGAATTCACGTGAGCGAAATGTCTGGTCTTAGAAGCCAATATCAAAGACTTTCAGTCTCGATGACCTTCGGCCTTTAATATGGATCACCGATATTCTGGGAAATCCCCTTGAAACTTGATGGCCCGTATTCTACTTTTCCAAAATATAAACCCGACGCTGAGTTTGGGCTTTGTCTAAAGTCGAGGTTAACAAAGGAACTTAGCCTGAAGTCTACGTTTTCCTTTGTTGAACGTGTAATATAGACCTGGCGTCCGGTTTAACTGAATACGGGCCTATAGGTACACTAATATGCAAGAAATGACAATGACTTTGAAAATAGGACAGCTTTACTATGACGCAAATTTGTTAAATGTTTTCGAAAATAAGAAAAAACAATATATATATATATATAGGCAATTTTTAAGAAATTTCGTTTTCCAAAGAAACAACAATGAACACACACGCACCAAAAAAAAGAGAGTATATTATTATCATTTAATTAAATTTTAGGTGAATGTAAATCTTCACAAAGTAATGAATTGTCTCTACATACTATAGAAACATTTTTCTAAAGCCCTTTTTATGCCTTTTTTCATGAAAAACACAGTAGGAAAGTTAGAAGGGGGTTACACATTGACGCCTTCAAAGAAAACCATAAGTATCTTTGTGGTTTGATAATTTTTTCATCATTTTTTGTATATTTAACAATGTTACCGGTTACCTGAATCGGGGTCTGAGATTAAAGGAAAACTTTAGCATGAAACCAACTCCCTTTAGTTTGTTCAACCCGATTTTGAACAAAGCTTTAAACAGCCCCTCTAAATTTGCCATAAATTCGATTGCAAAATTGTACTCGTAAAGGATGCCATTTAAGACACAATTCTGCAAAGATTCACCCCCCCCCCAAAAAAAAAGGTGTTTAAAGAAAATTATTGATAAAAGAATACATAATTAGGCTTTTCTGTTATACGAAGATAATCTTAATTTTGTATTCTTTCATCAATATTCAAGTTCAAGCACATTTGTTTTGAATATCCTTGCATATATGTGTCTCAAATTACATACTCTTTCACATCATGATACAATTTAAGTGAAATTTTGCCATCAAATGTTTGTAGCTCCCAATACGTTAGAGGGGCTTTAAGCCCAGTTTCAGTTTTGAATTGTGTACATGTACGTGCCTTAGACCTCCGTCGAACTTTCTTTGCTAAACTCAATTTAGCATCGAGCTTAAACTTCCGTCAGGTTTAGAATTAAAAATGAAGTTGAGTGCTGGTCATGCGATTGCCTTGTGAAAGAAACGTTGTGGAATCGATCAGAAAAGGTTGATCATCTAGCATATAAGTATTGGTGTGTACTGCAAAGTTTTGGAGTCATCAGAATCATAAGAAATTTGACACAGTCTTGGTAAAGTAACAAGCACTGTACATAGAAAAATGTATATGGGACTACACAAACATGTGGCATAAAAATTAGGCCTCATTTTTAAGCTGTTACTTGTCATATTTAGAATATGTGGGCATTTTAAAGAGCCATGCTTTTCTGGGAACATTTTTTCTCTTATGTTCTTCCACAAGTGCATAATAACAATGATAACACTCACAAACTATTTTTGACCGCTCCCAAGAACTTAACCTTCTCTTTAATTTTGTTTAAGTTGACTGATTTCGTTCATCGAAGACAATGTATACAGCATATATATAAACTGAAAACTAGATCATAATGACGATGATTAAAGCAGTATTAATTATAAGAGTAGAACAAAATACATGCTAATGTTAAAAACGAAATGCCATGGAAAAAAATGTTTCATAGGAGGCAACGATGGCATGAAGACCCTTTGAAATACTGAACGTTTTTAAAGTTAATATTTGATGTGATAAGTTTTATATGCTTGACTCACGTTATTAAGCTCATATTATTCTATATTATATGTATGACTGCACCAGCTTCTTTTTACAGGGGGTGTTGCCCCAGGCACCGAATTTCCCACTTAAAGTGTCCTTACATTTTGGGGGTGCCTATAAAAAAATGAAACGAACAAAACAAAATCATGAAAGCTTTCAATTAATAACTAGGATCATACGCCAGTAAATTCACTTTACGTTTAGGATGTAGTTTTAAACGTCAATGTCATCTTGTTGTTAGCATGATTAGAGACCGTGCGAACACAATCGAGGTCACGAAACTTCAAGTTCACTCGAAGTTATAAACCACGACATATCTCAAGATTACCGCCATAACTTCAATCCACAGTCCTCGCTCTCGGTTATTTGCCGTGTGAACGCAATTGACTCCGAGGCTAAAGTCAGTTGGTATGAGTATTCAAAGTTTTAATGAATGTGTACATGGCTTGTACTAGTTTTAAACCTCGAATGCTACACGGCTTGTTGCTTAAATCTTTAGAAAACTCATTCTTTGGTTCGCGTGTGAACCCCATCATTGTTATGGATCGTATTTTCTAACTTCGAGATTTCGCAAATTTTAGGCCTAAACAACGACGACCTCATGCGATCGTAGCTAAAATTACGTAATCCTATAATGTTTTATATAGGCGAAACCTCTTATGGTACTGAAAATGCGCTTAAATTGATTTTCGAAAGTCTCTGCGATCGTGATATAATAAGATGAAATAAGGCCTATATTTTTCAACCGTAATAGGCCAGAATAAACGCACAGGCACCACCAAGTAGAATGCCGTTTGCCAGGGCAAAGCGGGCCCATTTGGGGTTCTCGTAGGCAGAGGCTTTTTGTTCGACACCGGCTTCATTCCCCTTGTCCACACTGTCCTGGTCACCGCCCCGTTCATCGCCGTCGTCGATTTCGGGTGGAGAGGTTGAGATGCAGCAGATGATGTACCACAGTTTCCACTTCAGTCCTGTCCTCGTTTGAGCATCTAGATTTATCAAAATTATAAGTAAATTTTTATAAATAAAAGTATGAGCAAGCAAAACTAGTTAAGATGAACGTTAGGCAATTATTTGCCTGTTCGCAATGCACCTAAATCGTTCGCACTGTTATAATTTATGTCTGTGAGAATTGAGTCAATTTGAAAATGTTACTTATTTCAGAAACGGTCATAGCGGAACCACATTTCCTTCTACGTAGTGCAATATCAGCCTTGATAATGAGCGTTTAAGAATTCGGACAGCAGTAAAGAAAAGCTAACGTAATAGAAGGAAGTTATGTATATTGTAAGTTTAATCTTCTTACTTATCGCAGCTTGTTTCTGCTTCTCTTTCCTAATCTCTTCATTCTTGAGTCTCTTTTCTTCTTCTGATGATGAAATGGGCACTCTTGGTAAACCAGAGAGATGATTCCACCAGGTCAGGCGTACCAACTGTAAGAATTGAAGAAAAAATAATTGGGGGAATTTGTTATGTGTATAAAAATTATGGACATTGAATATTCATGTATTTGGCGTTGTGAGCTTTGAATATTCATGCTTTTGGCGTTGTGCGCTTTGAATATTCATATATTTGACGATGTGCGCTTTGAATAGAGTACCAAAGCTGTGACATCATAATAATCAATTTTGAGAATTCCTTAATTTTTTACTTTAATTTCCCAAAGAGCATCAAAAATAATGTCCAAATGTCGAAAACCAATTGAATATGTTAAGTATTGGCTGAGATATGACTCTCTGAATAAATAGATTTCGTATAGGAACTGCAGTGTTGTTTTGCTCAGGTTCGTAATGTTATGTATTCGGCGTTGTCTTCTTGAGGTTAGGGTAAAATCCCAAACACACTCTGATATCAACGAAGAAAAAAAGGGAGTGTCGGTTCACATTTCTCGGATACCTGTGAGGGGTCAAACATTTCTGCCGGGGAAGGGTGTATGGGCACGTTATATTTGAGTGTTTACTTTAATAGTTAATGAATAAGAGCGCAACTACTCAAGGGCAATTTCAGAACCCTAATATTTGTCCCATAGAAATCATGTTGACATAACGTAATAATTCATTGTAGCGTTTGCACATTTCAAACTGTGACGTACAAAGCTATAGAAATTGCCTTGGATCGATTTTTTCTAAAGAAGTTGCGGTCTTGTTAATGCCAGATTGGGTCTTTCCGGGAGATGGGCACGTGCCCCTATGCCCCCTGGATCCGCCAATGCTTACCTTATAAGGAGGAACAGGATCTGCGAGAAAACTGAAACCGATGACGAGGATGAGGGTGAGACCGTAGACGAAAGCCGCGAAGTGGAGGTAGTGGAAGTCCTTGATCATCGCAGGTCGGTTGTCCTCCTGACCACACGATGGCACACCGAACACGAAGTCGAGGACGGCTCGGATCAGGCCAATCACGAACCCACACACCAGGCCCCAGAAAGCTCCCTGAAGATGGAGAAAAAGGACGATACGAAGATTTGATTATGTTACGTTTTATTTTGTTTGTTTCACTTTCTTTGCCCTTTTTTGTTATAGTTGAGGAGATTTGTGTGCGAGGCCCGGTGCCTTGACGACTCCCATGTAACAAAACGAAAGAGACCCCCCCCCCCAGTAGCTAACTTGAATGCACACCAAATATGTAACATAATTGTTTCTTTATTGTTAAGCACCTAGAAACATTGTTTTCAGCGCTTATTACAATATCATTCTAATTATTTAAACCTTCAGACTACTAGAGGTATTTTTTTTAAATGCAGAATTGCTAGAAAAATGTGCTAAGCGTCTGCCGAACGTCTTCCACACGTAGCGTCGTCAGCCCTTTACAGGGGGGGGGGGGGGGGGAGGAGGAGAGATTCCATTGGAATCCCATCGGTTTCCGTCACCAAGTCCACGAAGGGGGTGTCTTATTTAAAAACACAAATGTGCATATTTTCATAATTTTTCCTTTCTCAAACGCGACCGTTCTGCGCCCTTTGGATCTTTTCCCGCCACCCACAATCTTACCGTTTCGTTGACCCGTTGAAACAAGATGGCGGCCGTGAAGACTGAGAAGACACCTGGTGTAAGGTATGAGTTGATTGCCTGTATGTAGGTGAAGAGCTCCCCCGAGCCGTAGGCCTGGAGGATCGGTATCCAGAGCACCCCGACCACCACCATTACAACCGTAGAGAATCTGCATGGAGGATAGGACAGTCAGACGCAACTTCGGAAAACAGCTATTAGCCAAATACCTCAAAAACAGCTATTAGCCAAATACCTCAAAAACAGCTAATAGCCAAATACCTAAAAAACAGCTATTAGGCAAGTACCTCAAAAACAGCTATTAGGCAAATTCCTCAAAAACAGCTATTAGACAAATACCCCCAAAACAGCTAATAATTATTAACTATGTAAATATAGCCCTCGTCGTTCAATGTGCCCTGTATACAAGACATAAAGAAAAACAAACCTGCTGTTGATATTTTTTGGGAAAATATTCCTGTGGCTGAACTATCTTTGAAATCCTTGAATATATTGTTTACCTTTCAAATTCAAACAATTCTAATATTCAAACGTTTTGAATGAAATGCATCCACAGTGGCGTCCTAGATTTGACGCCCATTGGACTTTAATTCTGACTAGAAGTATTAAATGCACCAAAATTTAGGAAAATGTTTTTTTAGATTTCAATCTAATAACACGATCGCAACTACTTTCGAAAAATAAATGTAATGCCATTTCAAAGGCCTTGTACCTCACCTTTTGAATTGTGCGAAAAATACATAAATGTATTACTAAAAGGCATCGTTTAACAATGTTAAATCTGAGATGCACGGCCCTACGTGTTATCAGTGTCTGTGATATGGTGCAATATTGAAGCCCTAAAAAAATTGCGCTTCAAAATGACCAAGAAGTGCCTCAAAAAAGTAAAAATATTTTAGTGACCGGTTTTACCATACTCGTTTCCCCCAATAGACTGTATTGTTATTAAAACTGTTAAGAAAACGCAACATTTGATTTCGATTTTCAGTCATAAATATCTTGATAATCAGACAGGCGATCGGCTTGTAAAAGTCATGGGGTTCCTGACTGACTTAAAGGTTTATAATTATCATCGCAGCATAAGCTAAATTCAGGATTTTGTTTCAGAATCGGAGACAAAGTTACCGGATCCCTTTAATCCAAAGATGATTTCTATATTATATGCCGATGGAATTATGCAATACTGAAATAGGGTTTTTAAATTTGCCATGAGTTTTTTTTTTTTCGAACGAAGTTGCTATCATGTTTAGTAATAATCGACATTTCCTTGATGATCAGATCTTAGGAGGAGCGTAGATTATAATCTGTTCTTACTTTCCAACGATAACAAGCTCGAGCTCGGTCGACCTCGGTCTGATCTTATACCAAATATCGAGAACGAACATGGAGCTGGACGCGTTGAAGATTGAGGTCAACGAACTTATCATGGCAGCAAGCATAGTGGCAAGCATCAGGCCCCGTAGTCCTAAACGTGCAAAAAATGACATATAATTATGATTATTAGAACTGTTTCTTACTCCAGCAATTAGCAATCTGTAAACCTTTAATAACTGATCGTAATTATTGTAATCGTAAACAGTGAATTAAAAGCGTACTCGGATAATAATATGATGATGAATGTATATCCAGCAATACCGTTTTTTAAATTAAAACAAATATTTTGAAGATGACACATACATACATTAAATCATTAACAAGATGGTATAGAGATACATAAATGTATGCTGCTTTGGTTATTTGTTTCAGTACTGAAGAAACATGTTGTTTTCAAACAGAGTCATTATCCGTAATAGGATCTTGGTGTGAACATGATGGCTTGGTCAAATTGTATACCATTATCGGATAAGGTGGGATTTGATATTTTGCATTATTATGTCAATTATTAATCAATATCTCCCTTGCTTCTTCGTAATCAGGCATCCATATCACTGCCTTCGTATTTACACGATGTAATCTTTGATTGATTGGACTTAAAGCCATCGTGGATCATGCATGGTATCCCATTGCCTACATGAGCCGGGTGGCTCCTGTGTTGAAGTCAATGGGAATGGGAGAATCCAGGGCCCTGTCTTACAAAGAGTTGCGATTGATCCAAATAAATCGCAAATCCTCCAAACAATCGCAAGCTTGCAGTCTCCTATCTCTTACGTACATGATTGCGATTGATATCGATTGCAAATAAGTTGTGATTAAAGCCCCATTGTACTATTTGTAGCTACTTGCTCCCTCTATGTAGAAAAAATGCCTAATCGGTGATCATTGGTCCCCCATGATCCTCTTTTCTTATGTTAAATGAGAGCTTAGTTGATGAGATAGCAACATGTCAGTGACCACCCTGTGTGGTCTAATTCCTCCTAGCCAAACTAGTACAGCCGGCCTTTAATTTCAACTCTTTATAAAACGGGGCCCAGTAGTGAATGGGTTAATATACAATCGTCTTCTTACCTGTTGGCATAAGTTGGACAACCATCCTCGGGTACGCAATGTCTGAGCATCCGGCAGGATTCCCGCAAACCCTCTCGCAAGTATCCGGGTCAACGCAGGCCACAAGATCTGAAGCAAACAAAACAATCAAAACAGGAAATTATTGCTCAATTTCTTTTAAACACTAATATTCTTTTACCTTTCACCTCATTTATTTATAAATGGAAATGTGTATTGCATTAAACTTAGAATTAAGCAAAGCAAAAGAAATAACATCCAACCAGTACTGCACGATATTCGACAACAGCTTGACGTCTTGTGGATAATTTTATTTAATCATTCATGCAAATCAAGAGGTTCCTAGTGATGCAGAAGAGTAAATACAGATAAATAAAGATAGACGCAATTGAGGAGAGTCAAGGAAAGAGAGAAGGAGAGAGAGAATAAGAAAAAAAGAAAGAGAGAGAAAGAGAGAGAGAGAGAGAGAGAGAGAGAGAACAGGAAGGTACGAAGAATTGCTCAGAGTTGCTCATTCTCATCTGATAAAGGCACCATTTTTCTTTTAAATACACCGACCTGGCCACAAGCTTCGGCTGATCATACCCGGGATGATCATGAGGAACATTGGTAGGATCTTGAAGTAGCCCGTCATGATGCAAGCACCCTTGCTGTGAGTAACATTTTTGGCTGCGAGCGTACGTTGGACAATCACCTTGAAGTAAAATAACAACAAACAAGATTTTAAAAAGGAAAAATGAACAATAAAAATGTATTATCTTTAGTCGTAGTTAAATAATTATCCTGATTTGCAGTTGCGTAGTGTGGATGAAGCCATGAATAGAGTAGTGTCATGGTGGCGGGTTGGAGAGCTAGGGGTGCCATCGGTCTGACCATGTAGATGCAATTAAAATGTGAGAGAATTATAAAGTAGTATAATAATAATAATAATAATAATAATAATAATAATAATAATAATAATGATAATAATAAAAATAATAATAATATTAATAATGATAAAAAAATTACTGCTCTAGCATATCAGGTACCCAGTTACACCTTGACAGGGATGTGGCAAATGTAGATTAATGCCTTTGCAAAGGATGTTAGTGCGTGGCTGGGATCCGAACCCCTTACATTGCGTTCCACAAGTCCATTGACCACGACACCTCTACAAGAAGAGCTGGAAGGCCAAATCATTTTTTGTTTACTTTAACTTCCCTCTCCCTCTCCTCATTTTTCCTTTTCAGGATACGAGGGTGGTAGCAGTAAGGCGCGTGCGCAGGATTTTTGCAAGAGGGGGGGGGGGGGTTAACATTTTTAAATCGAGCCGAAAATTTCGCAACGACTCAGCCATCCGCTGAATAAGCGGGGGGGGGGGGGGGAAGAGGGCACTTTTTTTTTGGGGGGGGGGGTCTCGAAATTTGAAATATGACATTTTGCTCCGTTGAGGGGGGGGGGGTTCCTTCAAAATACACACATAAAAAATACCAAAGGGGGGAGGGGTTCAACTCCCATCCCCCCTGCGTACGCGTACACGTGCCCTATACCCCGTCCCTTATACGAAACTGTTTCTGTGTCGAATGTACGTGTCAAGCCAAGCTCAGAAGAGCACTTCCACAGTAATACATCCCACCGCTGCCGCATTTTTTAAGATTGTAAATGTGCGATAATAATAATACATTCTAATCATGATATATAATAACAATAATAATTGTGTTTACCCAGGAAAGCTTCGTCAGTACCAATGTTGTTCTTCCTATAAAGGGCCCTGCAATAACTATTACCCAAGCAATTTTCAGGTACCCGTTTACACGCGGGTGTACATGTAAAGTGGCAGAAGTGGATTAATTGTTTCCCCCTTCCCCCAAAGACGTTAGACGGACTGGGACAGGCTAGGACTCGAACCCTTAAACCATTTGGAGTTTGATTTATGTTGAATATTGACCATCAAGCAAATTTTTGCCTGAGCAAGCATGACTGTCCGTATACATTGAGTCACCGCTATCACGCCATATTCAAGACCAGGGGGTATTTCACAAAGATCCTAAGTCAAACTTAACTCCAAGTTGGACTTAAAAATTATGAAGAGCCATTTGTAGCCTTAAAATAATATATTAAAAATCGAAAATTTAAGTATTTTAGATTTTTTATAAATTCCACATCAAGAACATGAAATCTCCTTGATAATATAAAATATGAATGATTCGAATCAACATGATGCCTTTTAAAATAACTTTTACAAAATATTTTCATAGATGCTAAGGGCTTTCCATAATTGTTAAGACCAAATTAGAGATAAGTTCAACTTAGGATCTTTGTGAAACACCCCCAGGTTGGCCTACCTGATTGGTGCACCAGAAGTAACAACCCAGGACCAGGGCCCCAAAGACAGAGCCAGTCCAAGGTAGACTTTCATCATCAGCTGGATGGAAGATGTGCCAAGTCGACTCCTGAGGGATGCCGCAGGAGGTGTTTCCTGAGAGCTGGGTGGTGTTGGGGATGGCCGACATGTAATTCAACCGGAGTGTATCCATCGACCAACCAATTTGCGAGAAAGCTTTAAAAGAGATGAACACAAAGAAGAACGGAACGAAGATAAAATACGAAGTATTTTTTAAAGTCTTTATAAGACACTTTTTTTCTATTGTATTTAATCAGGTCTCGAAAATTCTCATTGTCACAATTCTCATCTGTCTCGTATTTGTTTGTTTATTAGTTTGTTGTTCTTCGATAAACATTGCTGATATGATACATCGTTTTCATTGAAACACCTTACACATGTTTTAACATATGAATAATATGATTAGGTTGAATCTTATCAGCGAGATTGTTCGATCAGTGCATTTAACAAAGCCTAATGCAACTACTAACAAATCCGATCCTTGTTAAGTATGCTCTTTGAGGTTCTAATCTCACAACTGTGTCCAGAAATATGAAAATTAACGAAATATATTGAGGACCCTTCCGACTTATATAAATCCTGCGAATCGCCTGCATGTAGGAGACAGTAACAATAAATCAAGTACAAAATCAAGAACTTAATGTGGATGAAAATGTTACCTATTCCCATGAGTGCAAAAGCGCCGATCATCATAATGACGGCCTGGATGGCGTCGGTGTAGATGACGGCCTTGAGTCCTCCTGCTACCGTATAGACGGCTGTCATGAGCAGGAGAACGATGATCGATGTGTAGAGGTCCCATCCTAAGGACTGCTGGATGACCAGGGAGGAGGCGTACATCTCGCTCTTTGGAATAAATAAAAATATGTCAGAGCAGGGAAACTGCTTTACAGGTAACGAATTATACACTTTCAACTGTTATAACTTAATTGGCAGCACAACTTTATTTTACCCCAGGCACTTCCGTGATGCGTATACCCGACACAACAACAACTGAATTACTGTATGTGACCTGTATTCTAACTGTTTTAAACAAGGAGTTACCGCCGAACACAATTAGGTGATGTCAGTACATAATCATGAGATTCCTAGACAATGGTATGCATTTGTGAATTAATATGTTGGCGAGTAGATGTATTGATATATTCCAGAATTTGTATTATCATTGAGATCACCAGTAGCTGCCGTGTAAATAAATGTTGATTGCCAAAAAAAAAAAAAATATTGATGGAGAAGAACCTACCGCTAACATGACGACAACGGCAGTGACAAGGTTGATGATTGCTATGAAAATCTGAAGTCGATCACCGCCGAATCGATGCTTGAGGTATTCTGGTACCGTCGATATCTTCGATAGAGGTAAATATAATCGATCATGAATTAAAATCAATAAGGATTTCTTTTTAAAGGGACAAAAAGTAAAACTAAAACTTCAAGATCCTACCGAATCAAACCCTTTTACGATGTTTTCAATTCTGTAGATTAAAACAGGTATCAGATCAAATGCATCAGGTTTTTCTTTGCTTAGCGTATCACCAACAGTACTTCGGTATCCAAAATATTCATCGTGTACATAAAGAAGCTCTTCAACCCATTGCTTACTGGAACCTGGTGGTCCCTGTGTTAAGCCTATGGGAATTAGATAAATCAGTAGCCAACAGGTTAAGTTAAGTAAATCGTCAAGGGAACCTCTTAAATGGTACATACTTTTAGAACTCAAACATTGGTAAGTTTGAGTCGATTTTTATACCTCGGATGCGAAATATATAGGAATAAAGATGAAGGCCAGCAGTAGTAAGCAATTCAGCGCCTGTATAACAAGATAAAAAGGAAATTAACATGAAACGGAGAAATTGACAATTGAAAGGGGATTTGCTCTGAAAAAAATTATGTTACATAGAGGGTGGCTAGAGGAATAACATTTATTTGAATACAAATTACGCAAACTGTGTTAATACGATTATTGTTGATCTATTCTATTTGCTACATCGTGAAACATGGGGAAATTTATCGCTTTAAAAATAAAAATGATTAAACCTCTGGCAACATATCAACTGCAGATAATTTAGAAATTATCCCTAACCTTTACCTGTTTGCAAAATGTCACTTTTAATTTCAAGTGCCATCGACAAAAAAGAAGGAAAAACTTAATTAAAATATGACATTAATATAAATCACAGTTTCAAACACATGTATATCCGTTTATCTAAGAGATGGTTTCGTGAAATTTTAACAGAGATATCTAACACCGTGCTCCTACAGTGACGGATACTAATTACGACAATGTACTCGGATAGGGTAGGGCCCTAGTGGGTGGGTGTGGTGTGAATATACTGTTGTCTATTTTATTTACTGTGACGTTTCATTGAATTCGTTTTTTATTTATGTGTATTTGATTTATTGTCTTGTTTCTTTTGTAAAAACATGCTATGTATTTTGATTGGACCCCTATAAAAAAAACAGCTGTGCTGACTAGGGCGCTCCGCCCCGTACCCGAACACCTACCCCCTGGACATCCTCCCCCGGATAACCACCCTCTATGACAACTACCCCTAGGACAACAACCCTCCAGGACAACTACCCCTGGACAACTACTCCCAGACATCTTCCTCCTAGGAAAACTACCTCCCGGACAACTACCCACTAGACAACTTTCCTCTAGGATAGTATTCCGGGGTAGTTGTCCTATATAGGGGGCAGTCGTCCTAGAGGATGGTTGCCTTTAATATGGGGGTAGGTGTCCTAGAGGGTGATTATCCGGGGCTGGTGTCCAGGGGGTAGGTGTCCCTAGAACCGTTCCGCTCATATGTGGAAATAAATACATGAAATAAATAAATAATTTCATTTCATTTCGTCTTATCTTCTCTCTTTTCCATTTTATGAACTATTCCTTTAAGAAAAGCAAATCTTGCCGATTTACCTGAAATTCAAAAATTGCCACGCCGTACCCTGAAGCTGAAGCGGATCCTGCTATTCCGATGAAAGATCGACTACCTATGTTAGTCATCCATAATGACAGCCCCACCTATAGACAAACATGACAAAAAATTATATTTAGAATCAACGGTCTGCATGTTCTGTAACACGAGATCAATCATTGATATTTGTCATAGAGTCAAACAAATTATTACATATTCGATTTATCATGTAAAAAGAACATATTAACGTTCGTTCATGAAGCTGGGTATTACATCTATATCTTGAATTAACTATGTGTTTATATGATATATCCTGGTATGTAGAATGGACATCTGGTGAACGAAATCCAACACCTCAGTGATGAACAGTTCTGATGATTTTAAAGGTATTCATTGGTAAGAGCTGTTTATATGATAAGCAACGGTGAATACTTCTAGTATGGTATGATACAGATAATGGATATTGAATTTAACAAATTGTATTGACGAAGAAAAGGCTGCTTCTTTATATATTCTCTAATAATGAATTATACATATCAGCATAATTTGTGTTGTTGTTGTTGTTGTTGTTGAGATTAATGGCGTTGTTGAGATTAATGAAATTACAAGGAATGTTTTCATATCTCCATGAAGAAGCTGTAATACTAGAAGGTGAAATCAGAATATCTTACCAGATACCAGGGCATCTGTCGACCAGCCAAGAAATACCCATTCGTGCTTTCTTTTTCACTTCCGCATGATGCCTGTAGGCAATAGATAAATAAATAAATATCAACAAATAAATGTTTTCATAGTTAAATAAACACGTTATTATCATGATTATTAGAAAAAAATGTTCATTTGATGATTGGTCTGTATCATATGACCGCAATCTTATTTTGTCATCAGTACTCTATGTAGGGAAATGTTGTTATTCAAGGAAAACAAATCACATTATTGATAAGATATGATGTATTCATTTCTCATTGAGCTGATGAGGAAATGTAGTATACAATAGTATATATTTGTAGGGAGCATATTAAAGGGAAAGACAGAAAGAAAAAGCGAGAAGGGAAGAAAGAAAAGAAGGAAAAAGAAACGAGGAAGCAGGTGTGGCGATCATTTGTAGGATGGCGGGGGAGGGGGACCTATTTATAGGAATGAAACGCCCCATATTATGAGACACAATTCATTTTAAGTGCATATAAGGAGTGGGGCAAGTAGCCCTGGCACCAATTGACTCACATTATGAGGGAGGGGAATGAATGAATGAATTATTTTCTCACAAGTATTCTTAGAAAATGTAATGTAAATGTAATGTATTTTGAAGTTCTCATCTCCACTTGTTTGTGTTTGAATTAAATGTTTGAATTGTTATTCACTTTTTATGTTTTGAAGTTAACAATGACGAGAACTGAAGATACATTAAGATCCGATTGGTAGGAGAGAGTGATTTAAAGTGGAAGAAAATCGGGAGAGGATCGATCCGATAATCCTTCTCCAGCATGACGTGGTATGTGTGTGCGTTAGTGTATGTGGGTGTATGGGAGGGGGGCACACCAGTCCTATGCATTGCAATAGAACGCTCCATATGGAAGACGAATTTTATTCCAAACTCTTCGGAGATGGGGGGAGGCAATTACCCCTAGCCCCTTATTGACTCACAAATAGGAGAAGGGAATGAATGACCCCGAATGTTCTTCAGGTATTTATAGAATATTAAATTGTCATCAAAGTATTCTTAATCTTTCATCTCCACTCGTCATATACACCCCATCTCTGTGCTTAAATTAGCTATGATGTCGTGGTAGTAATGCGGTGGTATATAATAAAATGATGTAAGATTTACTTCTATTTGTTGTTATGTCACGCTGGCTATTTTATAATGTTGATCAACCGTTGTTCACATGGACCTTGAAGTAAATTTATGAGATTGCCTAACATAAAACCTAGATTTTTTTTTTTTTTTTTAGAAAAAATTTCATAACAATCGAACTATACTGCCTATAAACTTTGACCAGATTCCATTTTCTTCTAACGAAACGAAATATTATCACAAGTATCTTTGCAAAGGATATGCAAACATCTTCACATCGGTTCTCTAGCTACTGCTCGACAACCCCAGCGTTTTATAGTCTACTGTCTACAACATTTAGATAACCGTGATAAGAATGAAAAATCAACCGATATTTTTAGAACACAGAGCAGGAGAAGTTCTGTGATGATCATGGTGGGATCTAGTTGTGTGTTTTGGTATTTATGCCGAATAAGGAAAAGCAGTTTCTGTGTGCTTAAAATTGATGTCAGCTGACCTTTGCAGTAGAAACTTATCTTAAGTTAGTAGTGGAAAATAACTTTAATTACTAAGCGGTATTATTATTTGTTTAAATCCCGATGGTATTCCAATTCAGAGCCGTATACTGCTAGAGCATTCAGTGAATCTTCTATGCAATGGAAATAAAACTTTTATATATTGTAATGAAAGCGATATCCCTTTTTCAAAATTGTTTTACCCTAGTCAGTGATGTTTTAATATGAGGCTCTTTTATTTTACGTCTATACGAATGCGTTCTGACACCACCTAAAACGGTAAAATGTACCACTTTCTAGGCTCAAGTTTACGTTTTCAGCGTGAAATGCATTTTCATAATAAAGAGGATAAGCCCTGGGTTGTGAGATAGATTTGATATTTGCTTTATGCTATTCGACAGATTATCAAACATGTCCCGCTTTTCTGAATACAATCTAGACTATAAAGTATGGAGATTCTGTAGCGAATGTTCACAAATATCCAGAACAAATTTGTAGAGTAAATGCTTTGGAGGACTATTTACTGTTATCCAACTCTGTCTTAACAAAAGAACATAAGGAAAACACTTGAAACTTCATCTTCACGCTTGCTAGATGCATCAAACTCGGGTGTGCAGGGGGGCGTATACGTATCAAATTAATAATAAACCATTATCGTGCTCTGGGCCCCGTCTCATAAAGATTTGATATCAATCGCAACTTATTTGCAACTGATATCAATCGCAACTATGTCCATGAGAGATAGGAGACTGCAAACTTTCGATTGATTACAGGACTTGCGATTTATTTGGATCAGTAACTCTTTATAAAACGAGACCCTGGTTTATCAGGGGCATTTCCTGAATGTAATATACCATTTCTTAGTAAAAGCATGGAGCTCTTATAGCTCCATAACAGGAATATGAGTTTATGTTACACGTTTTTTGTTGTTTATCTCAGTTTCAACACTGTTATACCATCTTTGCCAGGATATTTTCTTAGAGGGAAGACACGTGCAGTATAATAAGAAAACAGGATAAAAGAGGGGAAAGGGCAACGGAAGGTGTGGGTGATAAAGATGGTCTGAAACTAGGCAGTAAATTATCATGGTAATTTTTTAATTGTAATAGAATATTATAATGAATGATAAGCACATCCTGACACAATTTTAGGTACGAACGAAAAAAGGTTATTTTGTAAATTTCTTGTAATTTATGAGAGAAATCTAGACCATATATAACTTGACTAAAACTAAAGAAAAAAAATAACACAAAACCAACTTTGAATGAGTCACTATGTTTTTTAATCTGTTTCACCTTGTTGCTATTTTCCCGTTATTTTTTCTTCTTTCTTGCCCTGTTTACTCCCTTTAATCACGTATTTTAGCATCTATGCTAAATCCAGAATATTTGAGCGACTAGAGTACTTTATATCTGCAATAAAACCAAATTTATATATACTATATACTTATTCTTTGGCATGTTAGAAAAGTTCAAAATTTAGATGTCGGAAAATTGTCCGACATCTCTTGGCCCAGATTTCCCAGCGGTTGCACCTCATTTTCAGTTACATAAGCGCTACAATGGTCGTGTTTAAACTACACATCCCTATAGACCGACAGCTCATGATACCAATATTTCAGGAGACTGACAACCTCATGAGAGCGACAGCCCACGAGTTTAATAATGTCGGTCTGGTGTAAAGTAGAACAAAAAGTTGTCAAAAGGCCCCAGGAGACCGGCGACAGACTGTTTGTCCCCTGGCTCGGTGGTCTCGTGGACTGCCGGTCTGGACAGATGGCTTGACGATTTCAGCAGTTGTAGCTTTTAACTTTCAAGGATCATGCAAAACATTTCCCCAAAATGTTTTTTGTTTAACTAGCCAGAATTTTCTTTTAATTTTTACAGGTCTATTTATTTATTTATTTACCGTCTATGATGAATAAGATGACAAGTTCTTACCCATAAGCCGAATGCGAAGACACCGACGAAATTGAGAACTATAATGACGACATCCCAGGTCTCAAGATTACCGTTTGTGGCGGTATTCCCCATATTAACTCGAATATCGCGACCAAATCCCTTCTGTATAATAAAATTTTACAAAGTTTAGGGAAACTTTCCAATAAATTTTGACGACCTCTGCAAACAACCATGTAGACTCGACTGTTAGAATGAGTCTTTGATTATTGTTCTCTAAACCTGCATCTAAAATGGAGTTCAAAAATCGTCATGCAACCAGGTTATGATGAATATGATGAATAATAGAAGTGTTATTTTTTAGGATGAGGTTACGGGAAATTAGAACGCATTCACGAAGCCCCGCCGTCTGTAAGTCTTTAAAGAACAGTAGAGATAGATCAAAATCATAAATTGGTATGCTGACAGATGCCAGGTGTCCATGTAACGAAGCCACTTGGAGTTTCGACGTGTTTTGTAAGAGCCTTTCCATAATCTGAATCAATTTCTTAAGCGCAGATTTGAGGCTTGTAATCCCTATTTTGAGAGTCAGCGAATTTTACGATTTGAAATCACACCCACATTCCCATAATAGAACTGAGAAAATAAATAAGAAAGTTAATTCGATTGTGAACTTCGATCTTTTGATACAGGTATGAGGTAGGTACACAAAGTGATGTATGCAGACCACTCAAATATCTACAATCCCTATCTATCTGTGTCGGGTCGGTCTTTCTCTCATCTCTTTTTCTTTCCCCTCTCTCGTTCTCTCCTCTCTCTTTCTTTCTCTTCACCCTGCCGTTTTATTTCTCCCCTTTATTTCTCCTTCTCGCTGTTGTATGTTGTTTTCGAGTAGATGTCACATGATCTCTATCACCCAATGCCTACTCGTGTCAACAACTCGGTTATTTAAAGTACAAATATTTCACATTTTAATTCTGCACATGGATGTATTAAAGCCCAAGTTCACGGATATAAGTTCTCTTGAACATATCATAGTTCAATATGAACATTCTGTTATCCCTTAGATAGTTAAAGTATGCATTTTAAGATAATGGACCACAATGTATAAATAAATATATTAAGTGCTTGATCTCCATATCTTTGAGTCAATAAGGTAGCGCATGTCATTTTCTAGAGAGAAGATACTCAAAGCAAAATAACCTTCCACATGTATTGCACTTATATTTTCCATATATTCCCTCGTTTGATTTCGTTAATGATAAATAACACGTAGGATCCTACATGTTATTGTACGTATTGCTTTAAATTGACCCCTAATAAACAGTCTTATTCATTTCATTTCGAATCAGATTCATTTGAAATGAAATAATATACCTTATCTATCATCACTTTAACGGTAAAGTTTCACCAGTCCATAACATACTGGTGGGTGGGATAAATATGAAAACAAAAACTAATCATGGAAAAATAAAATAAAATTTTGATTGTGCATTTAGTTAAATATGTATTGTAAAATCACATCAATCTACAAACAAATATATTGTTGAATATGGATAACTTAGCTCAACAATTGTTTGAAGATGTTTTTTCTTTCGTACATGTAAACGATTTGAAGCAGTCTAAAGTTCAAGATCAAACATGCTTGAACTTCATGACAGGCTGCAGTAATATTTGATTCGTCATTGTTTGTAATATCTATCAATCTTTGCTTTCAGAGTGGCTCTATCTTCTCAAGTTGATGTCTTTATGATACCATATAATTTTTATTTGACAGTATCAACAAATGGAAAATAGATAATTGTTAGAATGTAACAATGCCCGATCTTAAAGGGATCAGATAATTATGTATATACATACTGTATTATAATTGACTGGTAGGTGTGTTAAACATGTTAAGACCGCCGAAGAGAGGAAAAATACGATCACGATGGAAAATATTACTCCCTCGCAGTCCAAAATTGTTATATTACACATCCTATCATTCAATGTCCATTAGAAAAGCACTGATATCACTTTGTGACATCAAATTTAGGGTGCACTGCAAAAACCAGGGTGTTAAATTTCTAACACTAGCACGGAATAGAAAAAACAACACCCTTGGTGTCAATTTCACGTCCGTTCAACACCAACAGTGTCGAAATATTTTATTACAGGTTGATGTTCCGAACCTTGGTGTTATACATGGTGCTGAACTTGCGCATGCGCATAAGTTAGTGGATTCGAGCAAAATCATTGGACGACAGTTGTCATTATGATATGATGTCGTATCGTGCATGCGCATGCGCGAGCTAGCTGTCAAGAATCTCTTCATGATATCGTGGTTATGGAATTTTTTATAGTCAGGGTCTGAATATCCTATTTCATCAGCGCAATCATGCCGTTAAGTGTAAAAATTTGTTCTGCAGACAGGAAAGTTAGAAACTTGTTATCACTAAATCCAACATACATCGCAAGATTCTTTGAATTGAGTGTTAAATCATTGGTGTTAATTTTAACAAAAAATCCGGATTAAATTTTATACACGTCTGGTGTTGAAGGCAAATAGTGTTGGATTTTTTAACACCAAAACTAGAATTGAACTTTAACACCAAGTTGAAAAAATGGTGTTAGATTTTAACACCAAAGGCGAAATTACTTCAACACCAAGAGTGGAATTGAATTGTTTTATTCCAAACCCTGGTGTTAAATAACACCAGCTGATGATTTCCGATATAGATACCGGGAAAGTGTTAAAATTAACACCCATGGTGTTGAATTTAACACCCTTTTTTTTGCAGTGTGATTGTGATCTCACGCTTTATTTTATCTGGAGGTTTATCCAGCCTTCCACGTCAAATGCGCGCAGTTAATAAAATGCAAACAATAGGTAATCGCTGGTTTCTGCAGTGTAGCTTGGATACTGTATTATAACGTTAACATATACTCATTCTTTTAACAGGTTGGTGATTATGAATCTAAAAATGACCGGTAGTGAAAAGTGCAATTTGAGATCCTCGCAGTCGATATCACGTGACGAACTGTGGACGGCCAATCAAATCTTTATATCTGCTAAATAGTATGTACTATTTGATCACATGACATGTATTGTCCAAGGCACGGTCGGAGGCAAGGACAGGCTTCAGAGAATCATGTTCAAGAAATTTGCTGACTTGGTGCTTTTGAATTGCGTGAACTATCCCCGATATCAAACAAATTTATCACATTAAACTTAAGAGTCATGCAAATCTGTTATGGCCAGGGGGTATGGCTAACATATTTTTATTGCACATTTACCGTGTTTGAACTTTAAAAGATACTCACACCTTCCCCTACACAAATATATGTTAGAGGTCACAAGATCAACCCAAATAACTGCGTAATATCACTGCATGATTAAGGACGAAAAAGCGTAAGGGGAAAATGGCCAGGGGTATGGTTAACATGACTGTTTTCCTTTTGCACGTAATCAAATAATAAAGGGAACGCTTCGTAAATTTACTCTGGGGTTGTTGCTTGTAACCAATTTTCCTTTATCTTGCGTGCGCATACGATACAACAACGTCGATGAATCTTTTTTACAATACGCTGTTGCCATAATTTGGAGTGCAATGTGGTATTTACTTTAAACTTGCAATAACTCTTTATAGACCAAAAATTGAAGCTGATGCTTTAAAAAGGGGAGATGTTGAAGTGTTCTTCTCGCTTTCTCTTCCCTTCTCCCTTCCCCTCTCTTCCCCCTGTGACGTGTCTCACTACTTATATTAAAGAAGAACTGCAATAATTGTATAATGTACCTTTTTCTTTAGTAAGAATATCACAAGCATAAGGCTGAAGTTTAAACATACCCATGTCAATCTATCTTGTTAAATGCCTGGAAAAAAATGAAGAAAACATACTTTGACTGATATTAACGCCTACCATTGTTAAGTTTTTTATTTGTTATACACTCAATACAAGTTATGCACATTTCAGATTTTTAAAAAAAATGAAAATTCGCCATGTACCTGCAAAAATTATCTCTAAACTTTAAGCGTTGCAGACTGCATGTTCATTAAATTTCTTTGAAATATTTTTTCTTTTTCTTCAATGAATAACGTTTATGGGACCTTGGATTATCACGACCCACTTATATCATGATTTAGTACGATATCTGACGGTCGAGATGACACCAATTTTTTTTCCAGTTCATATTTAAAAAAAAACAATTTAATATAATAAACTGCTGTATTTGTATCACCCTTCGGTGTGTTTACATATCCCATTCCAGAATTAGGATACGCACAGAAGTGATTTTACTGACGAGTGACAATAAAGTTATAATCATGATGACATTAATTTATTGTATTGGCAATCAAACATTCACAATCATTGTAAAATGACAATCTGTTACAAAGCATCTGTTTAAACAGTGTGAACTTTAGATCGTGTTCATTTATTGTAGTTTGCTTTGATGAATGCACGTACGCTGGTACGCATTAATTCCATGGTTGTCACGTGCACTAATCTGATTCTTTTTGTTATGGTGGGGGTGTTTCCTCCACCAAGCAAAGATAATGGAATTGTAATTCGTAATAAAGTCCTTTAATTCTCACTTAAACGAAAACGATTATTTCGAGGGTAATCGTATGACTCTTGTGCTGGCCACAGATAATGGCGTAGTGTATTTAGGGGGTACGGCACCTAAGATATCTGACTCGATAGAAGAATCTGCAAAGTCATCAATAAGGGAGTGTGTGTGTGTGTGTGTGTGTGTGTAGTGTGTGTGTGTGTGGTTGAGTGTGGGTGTGCGCGCGTGTTTTTTCTTCTATACAAGAACCCACTATTACTGTATAGTAATCGTTATCGATGGTGTAGGACTTGAACATGGCTGTTACTATCTACCTTGAAGAAAAAAATGACATTGGCAAGAAAACTCATTGGGGAGTCTATTTAGGAGGTTCTGCACGTAGTTAAATTGCATTATAAATTGCAAGTATCAAAGGTTTTTACAAGGTATCATGTTTGCGTATCTAATATTTGCAGATCAAATACAATGCTTGAACTAAGAGGTTCAGATTCGATTTGGTGGACTTGAAGTTTTTATATCGTGATGATGATGTGACCAACTTCCTAATTGCAACAGGGCTCTACATGAACACACCTAAACATAACCTACTTCCAGATTTAATTTGTCTTTTTAAAGACAATGCTGACTTTAACCGTTTCCAGTGTCTTTATTAGCCAATATTTCGATGTTGTCGTATCGAGCACAGCACGATAGAAGGGAAATGGGAATATCTCTTGGTTGCTGTGAACACCGAAAAGTGTAGCCTATATAGCAGAGCCGGGTTCACATTGCAGTGCCTTGAGCACCTTGCGCGGTAGACATTTGCGCTATAAAATTATCCATTATTATATTGATATTATATCTGTGGGGGGGGGGGTGGGCGGGGTCGTCTGAGATGGGGAGTGTCGTAGGGAGGGGAAGGCTCGTGTCATCTACCTACCCTTCAGTAGTGGTAGTGGGTAGTGAGCACTAAGAGCACTATTTTTGGTTTGTTTTTTTTTGCTCCCGAAAATTTGAAAGTCGCTCAGTGGAGGGGGGGGGGGGGGGGGGGGGGTAGTAAGCATATTTTTTTTTTTGGTCCTCGAAAATTTTGAAATTTGCACCCCCTCCTTGAGCGCCAGGGGGGGGGGGGGCCAACCCCCAAAAAGGTAAAAATCACGGGTTTTTACATGATTTTTTTCTCAAGGGGGGGGGGGGGGATCCGCCACTGATCAGAACCATTTATAATTATGTGTGAACGAATACAACAAACAAAAACATGTATAGTTTCGAGATGGTATTTTATTATCTTTTTCCATGTCTCGAAAAACGAGACTTCTTTGTACAACATCGTATAAAAATTATCTAAGCTTTTTTTTTCTAAATTGAAAAATATATATAGTTATAATGAACAAGCCAAATTTTAAGTAGTGTACAAGCGTATGAGTAAAGAACTTATACCGATGACTGAATCTGATCTCATCGTATTTATAGACCCGAGACCAAGCTTAAACATTACTGAGATTTTAACCAATTACCACTGCAAGAAAAAAAAATCTAAAATCTGGCGTCACCATTTTTACACAGGAACTCCGATCTTAAGCGACTACTACGAATGAAACGTGTGCATTATTTATATGTTAAGGCTATTGTAATATTATATGTTTCTTTTAAGCCTGAAAATAGCATTAATCCTTTTGTTCTGTATGGAGTCGTCAGCATTCACTGAAAAACACACCGTGAACGATATACTAGTGAACAAACTCTACCCAATAAAGCAAACTAGAACCTGGCACTAACAATTTGATGACATAACTTGATTACTTCATGCTTATACGGTATAAGAAAACAGTAAAATATATAACAATATTCAGCATTCATCAATATTATTTGCATAATTTCTCAGTTCCAACTTTAAATTACACATTAAAATGTTCAAAAATCATAAAGGGATTAATACATTCCCCCTACATACCAAATATATATAATTTGTCTCTTGTAGCTGCACATTGTAATTGCACTGTGTTTTAGTTTTTCCTGCAAAGTGTAAATAAACATTGAATACAAAATATGTATATACATAACATAATAAATGAATTAATGATTGAAATATGTATCCTATACTTCTGCATATTCAAGTACATTTCGACGGAGGATTCTTCTTTTAAGACGGGGTCTCTACCTATCAAAAATGGAATCCCACAGTACACGCATGAACAGGGTATATATTAGCCACATTTTGAAATCGCATTGCATGGAATAACCACTGTTGCCCATAGAGTTGCAATAAATTATCCTTACCCCTTTTAATGAAATTATCGTGACAATACAGCAATCAGGTCTTGATAGATCAAGTTTAGTTTATATCTTCTCAGAATGTTATCGATTGGTACAGATTGATCAAAAAAGTTCTTAGAAGATATAAACTTGATCTATCAAGACTAAATCATATGGTCACAGTCATTTCATGAGAACAAAAAAAAAAAGGGGGGGGTAATAGAAATGTATTCCAACTCAACAGTGCAATTATGATACATCGATGTATATAGGTGGGATAGAGCTAGGTAAAGCAGTTTTTGACAATCTGACTTTCAAGTGTCAAAGTATAATCTCTTTAGGATGCCTCGTGTATGGAGGATTTCCGTTGTTTATATTAGGAGCCTACTTTACATTCGGGTTAACTTATTATGATTTGAAATATATAGTCTTTTGAACAGGCAGTCAGAGGCTGAATAAGATATTCTTTTCATGTTTAGGAAAATTGAAATAAATCGTTAGTAACAAGGGAAGAATAAACACAAATAAAAATATTATTCTATGGAAATTAAATGGAGATATTACATTAATATTGCTGGCAATTTTGTAACGCAAAGTTTTAGGACCAAGTTGTAACAAAAACATATTAGAAGCTACAAGTGTGAAAAGAGATCAGTAAATTGATAAATTATCAACAACAAATAATCTTAGTCACAAAGAAGTTTAAAAAATAACCCACTAAAGCTATTAGTAATAATTGGTTCCCTAAGCATTGGTGAAATTATATTATATCGCCTCATTTTATAGCACTCCTTTTCAATACGTGGAAGACTTAGAAATGTAACAATCATGGTCGTAAATACTTTCGAAAATTCAACTAAAGGCAATACCGATAGCCTTGTGGGTCACCTATTGAAACGTAGGAAGATGACAATACGTATTACGTAATCTGAACATGATTTCTATGGGACATACACTCGGGTATTCAAATCGCAGTTTAGGTGAGTTTTCGAAAGAAGTTGCGATCGTGTTAACCGAAATATTTCCTCGTATTCTATAAATTGAGAGCAGCGTTTTCATTGCCAAGGCAGGCTTTTCCACCAAAGCATATTTCTTAATTTTCGTTTGTAAAAACTGATAGTCCCTGTTATTGAAAACTGTTTTTGAAGTGTTTTAAGAAAGAAAAGACGTTTTACTGAAACAAAGAATTTGACATAAGATGTTGGAAATTTTCAATCGTCTTTGGATAAAAGTTGTTTACATTTTTTGTTTGTTTTTACAATGCATATCGTAACGGGTTTGTCTTTAAATAAAGCGAAACATGTTGACAGTAGAAAGATATGTAGGATAGACAAATATATTCTATACAATGATACATTTCTCATTTTAACAATTATTTCAATAATAAAATTATACCGATATGCAATAGAGATTCATAATAATCCAAATATGTTATTCTGTAAATAGTTTGTCAAGTATGTTTTTCAGGAAAGCAGTCGCCATCACCTCTTGAATACTCCGAAAATCCCCATATTCGCTCTTCCAAAAAGCATAAAATCCTGTTCTTCCAAAATATCCGGTTCTTTCTCTTTCCGCCTATTTCTATCGTCGCTAGAGGGCGACCTTTTTATCTGTCCATTATTTGGTCCTGCGCGGTTCGTGGCGTCGCCACCGTTGTCTCCTTCGCTGTTCTCGTCGCGGTGATCCGCCGCGGAGAGCTTTTTCGCTTTCACACGCTTCTCGCGGTAGAGTTTCATAAATGGCGTGTCCAGACTTGTCTCGTTGTAAACCTTTGGTTTCCAAACGGGATGGTGGAACGAGATGCGGTGCTTCTGGGCCCACCGTCCGAAGATGTATTTCTCGGTGACGAATAGATGCCCGCTGTTGAGGCGTTCTTCGCTGCGTCTGTAGTAGTCACACTCGGATCGGGTCTTGTTCTCCTCTTGTAAGTAATAGTGGTACGGAGTTGTGTCGTTAGGATGATCTCTGCAAAGCAACGCAATGTAAACAAACCCTCAATATCGTGCTTTTGTAATAGATGAAATAATGGCAATCTAATTGGCTGAGAGCATCTTGTCATTGAAATTCAGCATTTGTTAATGATAGCAACTTTTATGTAATAGGGCCCTACTCTTGGTAGAGTATCCAAGAGAGGTAAGAATCAATTTAATAATGCCGAAATCACTACATTCTAAATTCACACGAATTTCCAAATATCCTACTCTACAACTGATCCAGCCCTCCATACTCTACATCCCATATACCACTGCCAACATGACAACTTAACATGTATCGCAGATGAACAGTTTTGTTCATCTACGCAAAGACGATTTACAACGATGATCAATAAAATCATTAACAGAATATTTTACGTTCTTATGAAGTTCATCAAGAAAAATTGCAAGGAAAAAATGCTTGGGGCTAGAGATTTGTCTTTTAACCCCAATTACTGGTGACCTATCCTTAGCGAACGACAGTGATTTTTTTGTCTACGTGCTACAGAAAATGGAACCCAAACCAGGCAGAATTTAGTATTCATCTCGATTTCCGAAGACTTAATGTCACCCTCTAACATTTCAAAGTTGTAATGCGTTTGCAAATCCGGACGTCGAGCAGCAGACTGCGTAAAAGAAGATTGCCAGACCGGAAAAAGATCTTCAAGAATTAGGGTAAAAAACGAATCAGTAAAGCGATTTTCTCCATGAATGATAGATTACGTTAATGCTGGTTGAATTTGTGATACTGATAGAAGAATGTTACAAAACAATGTAGAGCCATGTGGAGCAATGCATGCAGCGCTTTGTAGCCGCTAGAAAAAGACGCTAGATATCAAATACCTTTTGATTAGAGATGGATCGGATCGGGAGCAAAGCATTAGAGCAAATTCGTTCAGCAACGACAAATCGCTCAGAGGCCTCTTCCAAGCCAGAGGCGCGTTATTTCAACTGCGTTACTTCTGCGCTATTCAAGTCTACGGAGGCAGCAGCAATGCACACGACGTAACTAAGACCACATTTGCACCGTTTATTTTGCATTCATTTTGTGGGGTACTATATCACTCACAAACGGTGAGTCAAAAGGCAAGTACATCGCTGACGCAGCCCTGCGTCAGGCAAAAGACGCCTCGTCTTCAATAGGCATGTGTGACCCGGGGTCAAAATTGAGTACTTACTGGCAGTATTCGTCATAGACCATGCCATACACATTGATTTCATCGCATGTGTCTAGGGCGAGGAGCATTGCATGCCATCCCGTGGTAAGCCATGTCTTTGCCTGAGTTCTGTGAGAGGGAAAGAACAGATTTAGAATTGAGTGGAACCGATGGCCGTATAAATGTAGTAAATTCTCAGCGATACTCTAATACGTTCCGTAGTATATTTAAGCATTCTTCGTTCTAGATAAGTAAACAAGTTCCCTTTGGTAGCCCAATGATTCTTGCAAACAGATTATTGTTAAATGATACCCCGGGAATGATACTCAACATGTTTGTGCGTATGTATGTTGTCCAAATGTTCGTTTTGAATGATAAGTAAAAAACAACAAATGTAACGGAAATCATCTCCGTTACATGGGCATGCACTGTTTAACGTTTGTAGAATAAATGACACCTTACGCTTTAACGATGGTAACATTTTGAAATCTGGGGGTGTTTCATATTAAGCTGTGTGTAAAGTTACGCATGACTTTACGAATGCCAAATGGGATGCCCAAAGTTTTTTTCTGACATTTTAACAAAGTTTGACTGTTTTTCGCATAATCTCAATTAAAATGTAGCCAAAATACACTTTGCTTTAAAATGTTTTGTTAATATTGATAAGATTAATCTACATCTGCATATTTCTTGAAAAGATTTGAGTATCATATTCAGCTCTTTATATTCAAGTCTTTCGTAAAGTCATGCGTAACTTTACGCATGGTTTTATGAAACACTCCCTGGTTTGTGTAAGAGTGTAGTCCTTACCTTGTTATACCCGTTTCATTATGAAAAGCCTCGTTGTTATGTTGCATCATGGCCAGCGTGTGCATAAAAAACGTTACGTTCCTGTACATCTGTGAGTAGTTGAGGGTCAGTCGGTACGCAGGGTTCTTGTAAATGTTCGTAGCGTACAACCATGCAATCACTACATTTTCTGCCCTTGTCAGAGGATCCCTGAAATGCACGTACTGAGTCCGTAACTTGTTCTGGAAGATTGTCCGAAAGTTAGAGTGTCCGACCACGCGGACAGTTGTTCGTCGGCCGACGTCTTTCTCGAAGCCTCGTATGGGGGCGTCGTTCATCCTGATCACACATTCTGCAGAATCAATGTCTTTGCCTGCGGATTTGCCGAGAAGCTGGCCCGAGCTAGTTACCAGGGAGCACGTGTCGCAGTGTAGTTGGAATGGCTAAAAGAAAATAGAGCGAAAAAGAGTTAGTAATATATTGGTTATTATTACAAGACCTGTTATTATTTGAATAAGGAACAAGAGGAGGTCAGGTTCTCCGTTTCTCTCTATAATCACAAGACACATGCAATTGGGCTTTAATTTGATTTAGTTTTTTTTTTTAGTGATTAAACCTATTGATATGCCCAACAAATCCATTGAAGGATCAATAACTAAAAAAACACAACAAATTGGCATTTTAAATACCTCTCGATTTTACATGTCAACAGGAAAGTACTAGAAATCATTTTATACTCATTTTTTTTTAAATAACAAAATTCAAAACTTTTACTTGCTTTGCAAGACTATTTTGCATTAACTCAGTGGAAGAAACAAAGTTAAAAGGTTATGGAAAGTAAGAAAATATACAGAATGTCATTATACCCGACTTACCCTATGGTCAGGTACTGAGACGGGTACCAGCAACTTTTGCCTACTCTTTTCTAGTGTCTCGTTCCTCTCTCTATGTGACCGTCGGACCAGGGTCGGACTGTAAACGTAGCAGCGGGGATGGTTGCATTGCGGGACGCGAGAGTTGAGCTGGAAACTACCACGTGACAGGGCCCCCTGCTTCTCAGCGTAGTAGAAGTAGGCGAAGCAGATGATGAAAGAGTAGAAGGTGGCGAGTATCAGCATCCCGCAAGGTCCCTGGGTTACCGAAGAGGATAACAAAAGTGGCTTTGATAATGGTGAGCAGAACACGTGATAATGTTCAAATATCATGCACTTTCCTCAATAACTATTTTGAAATAGAACGGTTTACTAATATATTCAAATTTATGGATGTTTCTTTCCTGGGGACCTTAGTGACAAATTATTCTAATAACCTGCTATTAATTAATGAATTAAAATAGGCCTACTTGGAATCAAGTCTGTTTACATTATTAGTTGTTATGTCGGGCAAGCATTGGTTCAAGCTTTCAGGATGTCATGGACATCCTTGGTTTATAAAAATATGCATAACATTTGAATATATTAGTAAATCTGTCTATAACGATCGTTATAGAAACAGCACTATTATTCGTATTCTACTAATATTAGTAAAAATTCATGTATATGATCGCCTTTTTCGAAGAAAGGCTTGGACCTTTGACTAACTTTCTTTGAAAAACCCGATTTTTAACAAAATCTTAGACCGTTGTCGGGTTTTAAACTTTGGTATAATACAGGCCTTTGCATGTGGTCGACGATATTTTAGAGGATGTGTTGTCGTTGAATAGGGTAGTTCCTCCTGGGTTTTTTTTTTGTTTTGGTTTTCGTGCAAAGTGAAGAAAAGGAAAGAAAGAGAGAAATGGGTATGTTTGATATGAAGGCATGTGCATACGCGCAATACGTTTTTTGAACATTTGTTGATGTATATATTCTTCAATCTGCGCAAAGTGCTGTTTAATCTTGAAGCATTGATGAAAATAGGACAATTCCACCTATTAGCACAACAAGCTGAAGTGTTGATAAGTAGGTCAAGTGAATGAATCGTTCAACAAAGGCAATCAAAAAATTACTGCAAATGGATGCGGCGTTATATTAAACTGAACTCTCCAAAGAAACAAAAAAGTAAAAATAAAGGAGAAGAAGAAGAAGAGGAGGTGAGAAAGGGGGAAATAGGGAGGGATAAAATGGAAGAATTCAAAGAATGAGAGAGCCTCGGAGAGAGAAAGAGAGATGGAATGAGAGACTACGGAAGAATAGACAACAGATACAGGTGAAAGAGATAGATAGAGAGATAGATAAAGAAAGAGAGAGAGAGAGAGAGGAACTGTGTGTATGACTTGAGGGTAGGGGCGGATGGTGGTGAATTGGGAGAAGAGAAAAAAGTAAATTGTGATATCCAGCGCTCGATGACGGCTGCTCGTCTGCTCTATTGAAAATGAAGTCAGGCATTGGGCGCCATCTATTGATAATCGAAGTCCATTTACATGCCCCGCTGGAAGAAGAAGAGGGCAAACTCGACTTCAAGTGTGCAGATAAGATCCAGTTTAAATATAAAACATGTGGGCTGGTAAATACCCCCCCCCCCCTTGTGTTTGAACGAACATTTATTGCAATTTAGTGTTTTTACCTTTTATAAAAAATTATGTGAAACAAGTAGAATTACAAATGAAACTCATGTTGAAGATAAAATAGAGTATTATGGGTGCATGGAACTGCATTGTGAAAGAAACTCTCTGATTTTTTGTGTGGAAGAGCTTATAATGTAGTACATTAGTATTTATAGTCATCGGCGTTAACTGACCCATTCTTAATGGAAGTCACAAAGATTAACAAACACTACACATGTATATCGGAACATGAGACGACACCATTAATGTGGCATGGAAAGTTAGTCTAACATTTCTTTATACTATTATTTTGTTGTAATATTTTAAATATAAGGGTATATCAGGAGCAATATTGTTCGTTTGACATAACAACTGAAATATTCTTTCAAATTCGATTTAGAATAATGATAAAGCTTACAGATTAATTTCAATATCACCAGGGGGTGTTTTACAAGACTAAGATCGAATTTGAGTTGGACTTAACTATGGCAGGCCGTTCATGCCACTGGTCGCTCTCACCATTGCTCTCTCAATTATGATCTCTATGTAAAAATTTTTCCTTCAAATGAATAATGCACTATCAATAAAGGTAAATTCTGTAGATTTGTGACCACGATTTGTACGTCCCTTGAGAGACCAATGCCAGTAAATGGTGAGAGCAAATAGTGACATGAACGGCCATATTTAAGTCCAACTTAAAGTCGATCTTAGTCTTTGTGAAACAACCCCCCCCCCCCTTAACCCAAACTTCATCTGTAAAGTTTTCGTAAGTTATTTACTTACAACGCTTCTTCCCGTGATTGGGTTGCGTAGACACATGGTGCGTTGATGTGCGCAACACGGCTACGCCTACAACTAATTCCTTTCATTCATGTACGTGACGTCACTTGGCTGCCTCGCCGAGAAGTAAAAAATGTCAGCCGACAGATTACATCAACATCCCTGTCAAGGTTGCACCGGTGATCGACAAGGAGAACGCTGGTCTACCATCTCATCTTCGTCATCGTCGAGTTCATGGAGGAAGGGGGAAGGATGACTGGTGATCAAAGCGGTGACGAACGTCTGTTTGAAATACAAAAGCAGGTTGTACGTTTATGCTTATATTTAAAGGAGACATTGTGTACTGGCAGTGGTAAGGAAGCCACATTTGTCATTTCTGAACGAAACCGTTATCCTCAATGTTTGACAATCACATAAACAGGAATTACGGGGTTCTATGAGGCTTTGACATAATCAGGATTTCTATAATATAAATTTGCTGAAACTTGCTGAAAACCGTGCACAAAAATGAAATAACAAATCGCCGCATACACGTATCGCTACAAGGGACTGCACTGTCAGATATATGCGATTAAAGGGACTCGGTAACATTGCCCACAGATTTTGAAACAAAATGCTGGATTTAGCTCATGCTGCAATGATAATCGTAAACCTTTAGGTCAGCCAGGAATTGCATGACTTTTACAAGCCGATCACCTGTCTGATTATCAAGATATTTATGATTGGAAATCGAAATTTCATGTTCGTTTTCCTAACGGTTTTTATAAAGTACAGTCAATTGGGGAAATGAGTATGGTAAAACCGGTCACTCAAAGATTTTTTACTTTTTGAGACACTTCATGATCATTTTGAAGCGCATTTTTGTTTAGGGCTTCAATATTACACTATATCATAGACACCGATAACACGTAGGGCCATGTATCTCAGATTTAACATTGTTAAACGATGCCTTTAAAGAAGATTGGTCCACAGGACTGTTATAAACTACTCCAAGGGTAACCCTCCCCATGTAGCACTGCTTATTTTTTCCAATATGGAATACTAAATCTCAAGAAAGCTCAAAATTTGATTGCTTCGTTTTTATCTTTGAAGGTGATGAGCCACTGTGCGCATGAACACACGGAAGAAGTAGGTGCTAAGAATGAATGGGGAAAAGGGAAAAAAGAAAAAAGACAGAAACAAAGGACACAAAGAGAAGAAAAAGAGAAAGAAAAGGGGGAGGGCACCACTTTCCCAAAGAATATACAGTTTAAAGGGAGTGTACCCTGATGAGACTAACTTCCCCGTGGCCTCACTCGTGGCCAATCGGGTACGACTATACGGATGACGCGACCGCAGCAATCAAGTGTGTGCAACATACGCGAAACCGAAGCGTGAGGAGATTAAGTCGCTGACTACCGTTAATCACATCCATTCGTTTATGTGCAGTTGTCCAAAATCAGACGTAGGTGGCGTTTACCAGTATTTGCCAAGCTACACTCCCTTTAATATCTGTCGCAAATAAGGAAGAGTACGCTTATTACCAAAGATTAAAGCACATTCCAAGTATAGTGATGCAGGATTATGCTTTTCTTTTTGGTTGATACTGATGAAAATTTCTAGACCATAAGAACGGTAGATGTGAATTCATCTCGATAAGACTTCAGTAATTGTGTCCTTTGGCAATAATCATCAAATGATTTCATTTTTTCCCTAAAGGTGGATTTTGACAGGATGAAAGAAATGTATTATAAACAAAGCTTCGCCATCTATGTATAAAATGCCTGAAGCCTATAGGACAAGTCACACATCAATGTCGGGGCTTGTATCATTTTTCTTTCAAAATATAACGCCTGTAAAACATGTAGGCAGTGCTAGATGAAACAACAAATACATGTTCCATCTCCGACACACGTTTTCCCCGAATGCATATGAAACACGAGCAAAATATAACTTAATTGCAGGTTACATTGAAAATGCTTCTACCGATTATGCAAATTCATTCAAGATTATAATCTTCCCTTCATAGACATAATGATCTTGGTGTGCTTGCAGCGATACACCCGTGTGGAATTTCATTTAATTGGTGGATACTGATTAATTCGTTCAAAGGTAAGATTGTTAAACATAATCAAATAGTCTCGCGAAGTTGATGCATCAATTTTCTAAAATGTCAGGGTATCAAGATCTCTCTCTCTTTCTCTCTCTTTCTCTCTATTTCTCTCTTTCTCGCCCTCTCGCTCTCTAAGCAATTTGAGTTCATATTGCGCTCTTATCTACCTTCTAAATCCTAAGCACGATCGATTGACCACGTAGCGTCAATATCACCCTCATGGAAAATCCAAATACAGCATACCGTTGGAAGCAAGCAAAGTATGCCTAGGTCCAGTGACGTAACGAGAGTCTAGTCATTAAGGGGCACTGGTATCTTGGGGATAGGGGTTGTCTACTTTCGGAAAATGAAATACCCAATAACAAGGCTACTGATTAAGAGAAAGGGGCAGGAGGGGTTCTGTTGTCTTCTTTCATTAAACTATATTCACCACTGTTAAATAGGTACCCGGTAAGATGCGAACGATTCGCATATTATGTGCGCTTGTCAAATGGCGCCTGGCCGGAATACTCCCCAGGGAGCGAAGCGTGAGCCCTATCATTAGCAGTTGTGTCTAATGACACAGGTAATAATTACATTGTCAAGTGCTTAATAGAAACGTAGCAAAGCGCTATGCAAATGTGACCATTATTTTCAGGTATTTTTTCCTCGTGTTCTCTCATCTCTTTCTCCATTTTTGACATGGGTGGGGGGGGGGGCACATGCCCCACGGCATCCCCCATCTTCACCACTGCCAAGATGAGACGAGAGAATGGAAGCGCGCTGACTGGCGAGGATATTCTTTGATCCAGTGAGGTGTTTGCTGTGTGACGTCATTTCCAAAATCGCTCCCTCATCATCATCATTCTCTTCGAAATGTCATTCCAAGTTCTATTCTTACAGACCCTGTTCCTCTCGGCCGACACACTTGCTGAATAAAAATTACATTGAGGTACAAGTGAATTAAAGGCATCGTTTAACAATGTTGAATATGAGATACATGGCCCTACGTGCTATCAGTGTCTGTGATATGGTGTAATATTGAAGCCCTACAAACATTGCGCTTCAAAATGATCATGAAGTGCCTCAAAAAAGTAAAATCTTTGCGTGACCGGTTTTACCATGCTCATTTTACCCAATAGACTATAGTGTTATAAAAACAGTTAGGAAAACGATTTTTGACATTTCGATTTCCAATCATAAATACCTTGATAATCAGACAGGCGATCGGCTTCTAAAAGTCATGGGATTCCTGAATGACCTTAAGGTTTATAACTATGATTGCAGCATGAGCTAAATACAGGATTTTGTTTCAGAGTTTGAGGTTTGAGTTTGAGTTACCGAGTCACTTTAAAGCACATTTCATGTACGCCTTTTCGACGAATATGATGTGCCGTAAGAGATAAAGGTTCGATTTTCCATCGAACCGGTACAAAACAAACACCCTGAGGGATACCAAATTAACCCTTTTCAGAATTAAATTCTTAATATACGTCGCATCCCTAGAGGTGCATATGGGTACCCCTGAGGATCATTTTGCACCCTCAACGGGACTCTGGTCAGTATACAAATTTATAGATTTGAAGCGCGTAATTTAGTTTCAAATTTGCAATGTTTCAGACGGATGCTGTTGTTTTCGGGAATTAATATCAAGTTTTACCTATAGATATGTCATGTATTCAAGTGAAATTACGTATCCTTACAAATTCATCGCTCACCATTCCTTAGTTTGCTAGTGCGGGTAATTGTATGAATGGCGTCACTGCTCCTTGAGTACCGTAATAACGTGTATTGTTTAACTAACGTTAATATTATGGTATTGTTGAAATCCTTGCGAAATCCTTGCTGCTGACGCACACTGCCTTCAGACTGGAAGTCAAGACAGTGTCTGATTTTGGAAGCCTACTTATCACGCCATCGATGAAGCTGTGTGGCGCTCATTGCTAATGCACCATTGAGCAAACTAGCAAGGGAAAAATGCCCAGGGGGAATGATCCGGAATCGGGAAGAATCAGTGTATAGCAGATGAACGAGTCAATTCTCCTTCAGTAAACTTATACGAGAACTTGATCAAAATGAGGTGCCTTTTCCATCTCCTATCTCCATAAAAATCGCATTCTATTTGTACTTTATCTCTTCCATTGGAAGGTTTGAAGATTTAAAGAACTTGGGGTGTTTCACAAAGCCTTTCTGTCAATTACAAATGGCAAAAATCAGTGACAAATCTGCTGATGACCAATCAGAAGCAAGGATTTCAGTAGCTTATTATAAAAATTGTCATTTGTCACTGATGACAAGTTTTGTGAAATACCCCCTGGTCCCTAACCCTATCTTTAAAATCAGAACAGAAGTACAGAAAGTTAATCAAATCCTAGTTAACGTTTTGCATACACTAAACGGTACCTCTGCATATGTTACCTGTCTTAATTTCAATCATTTGGATTAGTCTTCTCTCTCTCTCTCTCTCTTTCTCTCTCTCTCATACTTTCTATCTCTTCATTGACTCTCAACAAATACCTCTTAAAGGGGCAGATTGGCACAAAAGAAAGAAAACAATTAAATCACCTCTTAATCTGATAATAGCATAATTATGTGTAACCTAGAATGTGTGTAGATATATCATTAAATTAACACTCTGTGAGTGATTCTCTTATTTTGCCCTTTGCCAAAAAGGCTATAGATCTTCCCCTCTACTTCTATGCCATTTACTAGCAGAGTATATTTCCTTTTTTTTTTTTTTTAATTTTTTTTTTTACTATGCTTTAATTCTTGTTCTCTCTTTTCTCTCTCTTTTCGCCGACTTTTTCGTTTGTCACTTTCTCTCTGTGGTGCATAAAATGTTTTCTTTTTCGTATAAGCTTTACTTCTTGTTCTCTTCTGTCGTCGGCTCGTCCGGTTGTCTCCTTTTCTCTGTCCACAATATGCTCTCTCCCTCCCCCCCCCCTTTTTTTCTCCCGTTACTTCTTCTGAATCGTTCTCCCTCTCTCTCCCTTTCTGCCCTCTGCATAAAGCATTGTTGCCAGGAGCAGGGAGGTTGTGCCCGCCTGTTTCCGGCAACCAAAAACAACTTCATGTCAATAATATCGTGACTTTCACGACACGTCCGTGATATTGAGCTTACTCTCGTTCGCATCCTCGGGGCTCCGAACCCATTTCCCGCCTTGTGCCATGTCTACTTTATCTGTTTTCATACCGTCTGGCATTCCGAATT